CTAGCGCCACCACATCAGAACCCTCCCGTCCGCCACATATCACAGAGTATCGGTCACCTCTCTGGAAGCAGCAGCCCGTGCAGCGGGCCCGTCGCATCGCTGCCACGCAGCCTCATGTTCGCAGCCTCGCCTCCTCGCAGCCGCCGGTCGCGTCGCTGCCATGTAGCCTCATGTCGCAGCCTCGCCTCCTATGTCTGCCTCAATCACCACCTCCTTTGTCACCATTCCTCCTGCCCCCATACCACTTGCCCCAACCCCTCTTGCACCCTATGCGTATTTTCCTTTCCTTTTTTTCCTGATTGAGAACTGTGAGGGTCTGGCCAAGTAAAGGCACGCACTCCCTCTGTTTCCTCCTCACCTCTCCGTCACCCCCAGCTACACTGCCATTGCTTTTGAGTCGACTCAAAAGCATCCTCCTCTCCGTCACCCCCAGCGCTGCAACTGTGTGCCCTGATGGCATCAACGACCCCCTACCTCTTCACGTTCCCCTCTCCCTCTCCCTTTCCCTCTCCCTCTCCCTCTCCCTCTCCCTCTCCCTCTCCCTCTCCCTCTCCCTCTCCCTCTCCCTCTCCCTCCCCCTCTCCCTTTCCCTCTCCCTCTCCCTCTCCCTCTCCCTCCCCCTCTCCCTCTCCCTCTCCCTCTCCCTCTCCCTCTCCCTCTCCCTCTCCCTCCCCCTCTCCCTTTCCCTCTCCCTCTCCCTCTCCCTCTCCCTCCCCCTCTCCCTCTCCCTCTCCCTCTCCCTCTCCCTCCCCCTCTCCCTTTCCCTCTCCCTCTCCCTCTCCCTCTCCCTCCCCCTCTCCCTCTCCCTCTCCCTCTCCCTCTCCCTCCCCCTCTCCCTTTCCCTCTCCCTCTCCCTCTCCCTCTCCCTCTCCCTCTCCCTCCCCCTCTCCCTTTCCCTCTCCCTCTCCCTCTCCCTCTCCCTCCCCCTCTCCCTCTCCCTCTCCCTCTCCCTCTCCCTCCCCCTCTCCCTTTCCCTCTCCCTCTCCCTCTCCCTCTCCCTCCCCCTCTCCCTCTCCCTCTCCCTCTCCCTCTCCCTCTCCCTCTCCCTCTCCCTCCCCCTCTCCCTTTCCCTCTCCCTCTCCCTCTCCCTCTCCCTCCCCCTCTCCCTCTCCCTCTCCCTCTCCCTCTCCCTCTTCTCCTTCTCTCCTCCCAAACACCACTCCATCCTATTCCTCATCCCCTCCATCCCCAGATGCACCGTATGTTTTCCTTATGACTGCAACCACGCTCCACCTCCTCCTCCCCACACTCAATCTCAGTCACCTCACCTCTCACATGTCCCACAACTCCCCTGCCAGTCTCCCTTTCCTCCCCTCCACCATCTCAGCTGTAACCATGTTTCCCTTATGGCAGAAATTACAATCCACTACCTCCTCCCCACACTCAATCTCAGTCACCTCACCTCTCACGTGCGCCACAACCCCCCTCCCGGCCTCACTTCTATCCTCTCCTCTGACAAGTAATCTTGTGCCGCTGCCTTTTGGGCTGCCCGAAAAACAACCTCCAGGCGTTCGTCTCATTTTACACGTTTGTAGGCGCACTTGGTACTGGGGTTTCTGTCTCACCGTTACTGTATCAGCAGCTGGATTTCATGATTCATCCTATTCAATAAAGGCAAAACAAGTAGCACCTGGAAGAATAATGGATTCATGCAGTAAAGACGGAGATCGTTGAGATTGTTCATTCTCACCGGTTCTGAGGTGACTAGAGGGTGTTAGGATCTGGCAATTCGCTGTTAGGTTGCAAGTGATGCTGTCCTCGTGCTAGGGCTCTCGGAGAATCACTGAGCACATCACAATGGAGTTACGGGCATTTGAGTTACACTGTTTTTCATTCTAATTCGAAATGGACAGCATCACGGGCAAGAATGCTCAAGTAAAAGATCACCACGGCACAAGCGCACATAAAAAGCCATGGTGTACATATTGACCACACTGAAGTATGTAACACCTTGATTTACAAATGGAGGAGAAACATAACGAATCTCAAAACAGCAAATACAGCCACAGCATGGAGACAAAATGCCTGAACTAGGTACAGAGGAAAGACGAACGACGCCAACCCACACAGGTAGCAGACAAAAACCACCACTTGCTGCAGTGCTGTTGGCTTGTAATGAAGGGTGGGGGAGTGCTGGGAGGAGCAGGGCGGTGGTGTGACTATAAGCAGAAGTGATGCTATGGAGGGCAGGATGTCTTCTAAAGGGGCCATGGATATTGATGCCTGGATGGGATAAGGGCAGGACGGAGGAGGCAGGAGGGGGGAGCAGAGGTGAGAGACGGAGAGGAGACGATAAGAGATGCAGGTTGCAAAGGCCTCAATGATGCGGGTTCCTCCAATGGGGCCATAGATATTGATGCCTGGATGGGATAGGGGTGAGATGGAGGAGCAGGGCCGTGGGGTAAGTATAAGCACAAGTTATGCTTCGGAGGGTAGGACGTTTCCTGGAGGGGCCATGGATATCGATGCCTGGACGGGATAGGGGCAAGAGGGAGGAGCAAGGCAGTGGCGTGAGTGTAAGCAAAAGTGATGGAATGGAGGGTAGAATGTCTTTTAAAGGGGCCATGAACATTGATGTCTGACTCGGCAAGAGGAGGCAGACGGAGAGGAGAGAGGAGAGATAAGGAAGACGGGAGGGAGAGGAGAATAGAGTGCACGCAAACAAACTAATGCACAGGTGCTGGCAACTCAAGAGCATGCGCACACATATACACTCACTCACTCACTCACTTGCACCTATGCATGCATGCATGTGCGGGTGTGTGTGTGTCAGGGAGGGGGGAACTGACCTTGGGGTGTAGTTGAGCGATGAAGGGAGGCAGGCTGACAAGGGTGGTCAACAGCTGCAACAGAAAAATCGCGTGCATGTGTGCTTGTGTGAGCACGCGCGCGCACGCGTGTGAGTGCGGGTGTGTGTGTGTGCGTGCAAGCACTCATGTGAAAGGACCTTGGCGTGTAGTTGAGCAATAAAGGGAGGGAGGTGGAAGAGGGAAGTGACAAGCAACAGGAGCATCGGCCATTAGGAGCTCTGATACCACTGGGCGAGAAGACCTGTGATTGGTCGAAAACAACAGGCAACGACAGTGGAAGGGGAAGACGAATTTCATGTGATCAGACCAGCAGGCACGAGGTGACTTTTGAGTTGAATCAGAAGTCACAACGATAGTGGAAGGGGGAAGCTGATCCGACGAGCAGGCACGACACGATCATCAAGGGAGAACATACTGATTTCCATGTGCATGCAATAAAATTAGACTTTATGAGTGTTAAACACAGAGCAAAATATCAGGAAACAAAAGTCCACCTGCCTTTATCCATCTCACCTTGACTTGGCTTGAGATGCCCGTATAATTTGAGCAGCAGCAGCGAGGAGGAGAGCGAGGAATGGGGAGGCGAGGGCAAACGGAAGGAAGAGGAAGAGGAGAGCAGGCCAATATCCCTGTTGCTGGCAGATGAATATACAGGGACGGCAGGCATTGGAAAAACAACTATTAAAAGACGGGGAAAGAATGTGGATTGATATAACTACTAGTCTGATAAATGTTTCAAGCATGGAGTTGAGGCGATGCAGGAGCGGTCGAGAAAAAATAAATCCAAGAGTTGTGGGCATGAAACAGGTCATTGTAACGTACCGTGCGAGTGTTTGTGCCTTCATTTGTCTGTAGACCAGAGCGGGAGCCGGCGCAACAGGAGATGGTGCTAAGAGTCACTTTTAGCAAAGCGACAAGGAAGCAGAGAGAAGAGGATGCAATCACGGCTGCTACGAAGAGTGACACGCTTGCTGATGTCAGAGTGGAGAAAGTACAGCTCAGCATGCATCGTGCTGATGCAAGGAGAGGTAGATATGACGTGGCATGGTGTGGTTGGTTTTGGAGAAAAGAGTTAAGAGTGTGAAGGAATGAGGTGAGGGTGGGGGAGAGTCTTGGAAGGGAGGGGAGGGAGAGGAGGAGAGGAGAGAGGAGGGAGTGGTAGAGAGGGAGAGGGTGAGAGGAGGAGGAGGAGGAAGCGGAATGGGGTTGGACTGTGGGAAATGATCTGTGTTTGAGGGGTGATTCTAGATGGTGTGAGTGAGAAAGGGGGAGTGAGGAGTGGGCGGAGTGAGAGAGGGAGTGTAGGAGAGAGAAGAGGATGAGTGAGGAGAGGAGGGAGTGCGAGACAGGGCTAGAGAAAGACGGCCAGGGGGAAGAGGCGGTGAGAGAGAGGAGGGAAGGGAGAGTGTGGAGAGAGGGAGCGGAGGAGTGGGAGAGTGAGTGCGAGAAGAGGTAGGAGGAGGTGCAGAGAGCGAGCGAGAGGGCTGAGCCAATGATGAGAGGGAGGGAGGAGAGGAGGAGGGAGGTGAGGGAGCGTGGAAGGTCGACAGAGATGATGAGGGAGGAGGGGCAGGAGGGATCCGCCTGGAGGGAGGGAGTGGGGGTGAGCAGAAGGAGTGGGAAGTTGAGGCAATGAGGAGGGGCAGGAAGGCAGTGGGAGGTGAGGGAGCGAGGGAGATCAATGGAGATGAGGAGGGAGGAGGGGCAGGAAGGGTCCGCCTGGAGGAAGGGAGGGCAGCAGGAGAAGGGAGTGGGGGTGGGTGGGAGGAGTGGGATGCTGAGACAATGAGGGAGGGGTACACCTAGAGGGAGGGAGTGGGGAGGGAGAGTGGGGGGAGTGGGAAGTTGAGGCAATGAGGGAGGGAGGGAGGGATTTGAAACGGCTCAGAACTTGGTGAGTGAGGGAGCAGGAATTCTGAGACTGTGAGAGAGGGAGTGGATGAGGGAAAGCATGCAATGCTGATCATTTCTGATACAAGATGGCAAGAAAGAGAGGAGAAAGGCAGGCGAGAGTGATTGTGGGCGAGTGCGAGAGTGGGAGAGAAGGGATGTGGGTTTGAACCATGCATGGTTTACCAGCAGCATCAAAACGTGTTCGTCCTCTCTGCCCCAATGCACCACCTCCTCTGAACCACCACTGAAAAGACAGTCCCTCGAGGAAAATCCGCCCCTTCTTTTGTCAACTCAAACATCCTTACCAGCAGCATCAGAGCGAGTTCGTCCGTTTTGCCCCAATGCACTTCCTCCTCTGAACCGCCTCTCAAATAACCCCCACCGGCATTGCTCTCGGCATGACTTTGCACGTTATGAGACGCCTCACAACGAGAGCTACTGTGTGCCGCTGCATCCCCGCCTTCCTGCTCGCTCTTGTGCGAGCAGCAGTGGGAATGGTGGCAATCGCAGCGGTGGCAATGAGGGAGATTGTGGTGATCATCGTGACAGTGGTGGCAGGAGGGGCGAGTGAGGTGCGGATGGAAAGAGTCGAGCTCGAGAATCGTGGACTGGTGGAATGTATGAGTGGAGAGGATCTTATAGCTCCCTGCACCGTGGGTAGACACTTCTTCTCTCAGAGGGATATTATAACTCCCTTCACAGCGTGTGCAGCTACTCTGATCACTAGAACTCGCCGCTGCAGTCTTAGATGCGGCTGGAGCAGCAGGAGCAGCGGTGTGAGCAGATGCCAGGATAGCAACAGCTGGGTGGCAACTGGTAGGACTTGGCTGGGCTCCTGGGCGATGGGAGGAAGGGGGGTGGAATGGGGGAAAGGGGGGTGGAATGGGGGAGAGGGGATGGAATAGGGGAGAGGGGGGTGGAATGGGGGAGAGGGGATGGAATGGCGGAGAGAAATGGAATGGGGGAGAGGGGATGGAATGGGGGAGAGGGGATGGAATGGGGGAGAGGGGATGGAATCGGGGAGAGGGGAGGGAATCGGGGAGAGGGGATGGAATCGGGAAGAGGGGATGGAATGGGGGAGAGGGGATGGAATCGGGGAGAGGGGATGGGATCGGGGAGAGGGGATGGGACCGGGGAGAGGGGATGGAACCAGGGAGAGGGGATGGAATTGGGGAGAGGGGATGGAATCGGGGAGAGGGGATGGAATTGGGGAGAGGGGATGGAATCGGGGAGAGGGGATGGAATCGGAGGGGATGGAATCGGGGAGAGGGGATGGAATTGGCGAGAGGGGATGGAATCAGGGGGAGAGGAGATGGAATAGGGGAGAGGGGATGGAATCGGGGAGAGGGGATGGAATCGGGGAGAGGGGACGCGATCAGGGAGAGGGGATGGAATTGGGGAGAGGGGATGGAATGGGGGAGAGGGGGTGGAATGGGGGAGAGGGGATGGAATCGGGGAGATGGGATGGAATCGGGGAGAGGGGATGGAATTGGGGAGAGGGGATGGAATCGGGGAGAGGGGATGGGGTTAGGGAAGACTCCCATCTAAGGGCTCCCATTCATCTGCACGATGGGATTCCTATTAGCAGGTTCAAAAGTAAAATATCAAAACTAAAGACGTCCCAAAAGTGGAGGAACGTACTAGGAGAAATGCTGGAGGTGGTTTGAGGTTGAGGGGGCAGCAAGCGTTAAATGAAGTTAACTGGTTTCTTTTGGGAACGAGAGGGATGGAAAGATGGTGAAGGAACGTACCAGGCGAAAGGCTGGAGGCGGTTTGAGGTTGAGAGTACAGCAGGCGGAGGTGCAGAGATAATTGGGCAGCAGCAGGTGGGAGGGAGAAGACTGACAGAAGCTGCTGCTGCTGCTGCCACTGCTGCCGCTGCTGCTGCTTCTTCGAGTCAACCAGGATTGACGACAGTGGCTGCACACAGGTAGAGCATTAACATCAGAATGTATGAGTTTGAAAGTGGAATTACTCAACGACATCACCTGTCCTACGAAGACATGTGCTGCATGACAAGAGAGCATCAGTGAAGAGACAAGGTATCAGAACACTTTGATGGAGGCATGACTCACTGAGCCATGGTCTACTTACCAGACGTAGAGGCTGAAAGATTGAGAGGAGCAAGGATAACAGGGAGAGAGTCCTTGATGGAGAGGAGGTGGTGGAGGAGGGGGAGGGGGAGGAGGAGGAGGAGGAGGAGGAGGAGGAGGAGGAGGAGGAGGAGGTGTCGAGTGGAGGGTGGAGAGAGAGGGGTGCAAGCTCCACAGAGAGGAAGTGGTGAGGTGGGCGAGGTTTGCCCTGTGAAACAAGAGGAACATGGGAGGAGGAAGAAAATGAGACGAGGGTTGTGATTGCTCGTTCTTTTGTGGCGCCTCAAAATCAGCTCCCTCCCACAGACGTGGAGAGGGGGGCGCGGTTTGCGCTGTGAAGAAAGTGGAACATGGGTGTGAGTGAAGTTATTGCGGATTGAGTGATTACACTGCCTGTGAAGGCGTCTCAAAGTGGAAGATGGGTGTGATTTTATTAGGCGCCTAAAAAACCACCGGTTTGCGCTGTGAAGCAAGTGGAACACGGGTGTGAGTGAAGTGATGGCGGATTCAACACTGCCTGTGGAGGCGTCTCAAAGTGTGGGTATACTGGTGTTTACGCTGGGAATTGAACTCCGCACCTTGGTGTTCACATTGACATGCAGATTGGCTTTTCTTACACCACCACCCCCTTCAGCTATCTCCAAAGGCAGCATGAGCAGGGCAAGGGGGGACGGCTGTGGTACCTGCCTTTTGCATCAGTAACTAGAATAAGAACTTATCAGGAACTCCTCACCTTTGTGTTGATGTTCACGTGCAGAGTGGCCATTCTTACACCACCACCCCCTTCAGCTATCTTCAGAGGCAGCATGAGCAGGGCAAGGGGGAACTCCGCACCTTGGTGTTGGTGTTGATATTCACGCGCAAAGTGGCCTTTCTCACACCACCACCACCCCCAACCCCAACTGCTATCTCCAGAGACAGCATGAGCAGAGCAAGAGGGGACGGCTGTGGGACCTGTCCTGTGACCTGCTGTGATGCCGGTGATACTGGCAGGGACTGGGAGGGAAATAGGCAAGGAGAGGCGAGGGGAAGCAAGGGGAGCCAAAGGGAGCAAGGGGAGGCGAGGGGAGAGGCAGAATGAGCAGAGAAGGAGGGGACGGCTGGGGCACCTGTCCTGTGACCTGCTGTGATGCCGGTGATACTGGGAGAGACTGGGAGGGAGGGAAGGGAGGAAGAGCAGAGTGTCACAAAGCACGTCTTGTCGGAGAACAACCTTCCCCCGGCACCTGCTCTTCTTCCTGTTGCCATCCTGTTTTCTTTCCTTACGTGTGGTGTTTCCCCTCAGCCTCTCCCTGCCCCCTCCTGTGCCCATGCTCGAGCAGCTTGAGCGCGGGTCACAGGACCACCCTGCTGAGGCATAGCTCCTCGGATCACTGCCGTGTTGGTCTGATGCTCCTTCAGCCGCACCCCCTTCTCGTTCTCCAGCACCAGCACCCCGGATGGGCGCACTTCCTTCACCCTCCACTTTTCTGTCCCCACCCCCACATCCAGCGTGTCTTGCTTCGCCCGTTTCAGGTACACTTCTTGACCCTCGCTGACCCCCTTCTTTGCCTTTCCCGATCCCTGTTGCTGCCACTGCTCATAGCGTCTCGCATCTCTCAGCTGCGCTGTGTGGAGGTTCTCCAAGGCCGCTGGCATCATGACTCGCAGGTACCTTGCTCTGACTTCAGACAGTGCTACCCAGTTGTCGATGGTGCCCGCCGTCACTGTGTCTGTCAGGACCCGTGGAGCTCCCACCGGCAGTACTGGCTCGCATCCGAACAAGAGGCTGTACGGTGAGTGATCTCGCAGGGCTGCCTGCTTCCCAAACCGGTACCCTGCTGCAATCCAATGCAGCTCGTCATCCCAGTCCCTCTTCCTCTTCTCCCCATATGCCCGCAGTCCTCTCTTTATGGTCTGCACCAGGCTCTCAGTCAACCCGTCACTCTGAGGATGGTAGCGGGAGGTGCGGCGGTGGGTAATGCCCGCCTCCTCTAACATCTTCTTGAACTCCCCTTGGAACTCATTTCCCTGGTCCGTGAGGACCTCTCCGCATGCCCCAAATCTGCACAGCACTTGCTCCTTGAACGCTGCTGCTACGTGCCTTGAGTTCTTGCTTGGGATCGCCCTGACCTCTAACCATTTGCTCACGTGCTCCACCATGAGCACGATGTACTGTTTCCCTCCCCTACTCAGCGGCAGTTCTCCCGCCAAATCCAGGGACCACCTGAATCCCAGGCCGCGGATGGGCAGCGACTGCAGCTCGGCCTTGGCTTGCGTCAGGTTCGCCCTGCTTCTCTGGCATGCTTCACAGCTCTCCACCCACTTCTTCACCTGCCCTCGCATTCCTTCCCACCACCATCCCGTCTTTAGCAGCTGCACCGTCCTTTCGTGCCCATAGTGGCCTAGCTTAGCGTGCACTTCTCGGATCACCGCCTCCCTCTCGCCTGGCGCTGGCACCAGCTTCCATCCATCCTCTGTCTGTATCTGCAGCTGTTGCTGGTATAACCTGTAGTGGTGCCCCCTTGCCCTTACCCTCTCCGTCATCTCCTCATCCTCTTCCGTTTCCCCCTTCACCCACCTCATGGCTGCTTCATCCTCCCAGATGTCTGCCGGCCCTTTGCTCCCCCTGGCCCCCTTTAGCTCGACCTGCTTTGCCAGCAGGATCAGTGTCGCCGTGGGCTCTGGTGGTGGCGGGTTGCGGGAGAGGCCATCCACGTGCTGCAGGGTTTTCCCGGGCCTGTGCCGGATTTTGAAGTCGTACTCCTGTAATTTCATGGCCCACCGTGCGTTCCTGCCCGTCAACCCCGGTGTGGTCATCAGCCACGTTAGTGGCTGGTGGTCCGTCACCAATGTGAACTCACGGCCCTGCAGGTACACCCTAAAGTGGCCCACGGCCCACACCGCTGCTAGTCCTTCCCCTATGTATGAGCTGTACTGTGCCTCTGCCGAGTTACAGCTCCTGCTTGCATATGCTACCACTTTCTCCTCCCCCTCCTTTTCCTGGCAGAGTATGGCCCCCATTCCTTGGCTGCTCCAGTCAGTGTATAGGGTAAACGGCTGGTCCGCCACCGGCAGCTGCAGCACCGTTGCCGTCTTAACCACTGTCATCAAATCCTTCAATGCCTCTTTCTGTGCTTCTCCCCATTCCCACGCCTTGTCCTCCCTCAGCATCCCATTCAGCACTGTGGCTCGCTTGCTAAAGTTGGGAACGAACCGCCTGTAGTAGCTTAGGAAGCCCAGCACTGCCCGCAGCCCCGATTTATCCTTGGGCTCCCGCAGCTTGGCCAGGACCTCCACCTTGGCCTGTTGAATCCCAATCTGCCCCCCTGTCACCTCGTACCCCAGGTACAGTACGGTCTGCTCTCCCCATCTACACTTCTTCGGGTGGCAGGTCAGTCCTGCCCCCTCTATTGCACTCAGCGTCCTCTCCACATCCTGTAAGTGCTGCTGTTCCGTGGCGCTGAAGATCACTACGTCATCAATGTAGCATGCAGCACACTCCACATCCCGCAACACTGAATCCATGACCCTCTGGAACACGGCTGATGCGTTCCTCAAACCGAAGGGCATGTACAACCACTCATACAACCCGTCTGGCCCATGGAACGCAGTTTTCTTGATGTCTTCCTCTCTGATCTTAATCTGATTGAACCCTTGTCGCAGGTCCAGCGTCGTGAAGAAGACCCCATCCGCCAGCTTATCAAAAATCTCTTCAGCCATTGGCATCGGGTACCTGTCCGGTACGGTGATTTTGTTGAGTGCTCTATAATCACCGCACATCCTCCTGCTCAGAATCTCCCCCGTCAGGTCTTTTCTTGCGGCTACCACTGTCGGCGTAGCATACTCCGACTCTGACCGCCTAATCAGCCCTGCCTCCAGCAACTCTTTGATCTTCTCCTTACAAACCTCCTCATCTCCAGGTGGCATCTTCCTCCTTCGGTGGAACACGGGCTCTGCGCTGCTCAACTTCAGCTCCATCTCCTTCACTTTGCACCTTCCCAACTCCTGCAGGGTGAAGGCGAAGCATTTTCTATGCTTGGCCAGCAGCTGTTGCATGGCCTCCTTCCCCTCCTCACTCATCTGGTCCCCTATTGTCCACCTTTCTTTCTCTTCCTCCCGGCAGCTCCATGCTCCTTGCGGGACAGGCGCATTTTCCTTCTCATCTTCCCGGTGCCCCCAGTTCAGAACCGTCTCTCTCCACATCCGCTGAATCAGCCACCTCAGCATGTTGCCGTCCATGGCATTCCCTAGCGCCCTCCTCCTTTCTTCCTCGCTCCTTAGTGGCAAAAGACGCGTCCTGCGTCTAAGACGAGTGCGTCCAGACGCAGCGTCTTAGACGCAGGACGCATGATGTGGGCCTTTGAGACGCAGCAAAAGACGCAGGCCCGGGCAGGGCAAAAGAAGCCCCCGGGCAGCCAAAAAAACACGTTATAGGGCATGGGAAGGGGGGGGAGGACGACGTATCACACATGTGAGGCAAAAACATAGCTATGGAGCGAAAGGTACACTATGGAGCGAAAAGGTAGCTAAACTCTCAAGGGTTTACGAAGGAGAATTGTGTGTGGGCTGTTTTTGATGGTCGAAATGGGTCTGGGGGTCGAAATTTCGCGATCTCCCTCCTGACGGTCGCGGCGTTCCTCTCGCTGCTCCTTTCGTGCGCCCTCTGGCCCGTCGGCCTTCGCCTCGCTCTGGTCCGCCGTGCTGTCCGCCAGCGCGGCGTCAGCCTCGTCGGCTCCAGCGGTAGAGCCGTGACTCCCGCTGGCGTTCTCCTCTTGGCACTGCTGATTCTCGCTGCCCTCGTCCACGCCTTCTCCGCGGCCTTCCTTCCGCATTTTCCCCACGGGGGAATTCTCCTCTTCGCTGTCCGTATCGAGATCTCCTCGTCGACCAAGATGCCCTCCTGGCGGGCCTTGCGCGCGGTCGCCTTCTCCGCGTCGGCGGTACCCTTCTTCCGGCGAGGGATGTGCCCTCGTGTCACGGCGATATCGACGATCGCCTCCAGCTCCGTCGCGCGCATTTGTCCGCCACGGATCGCCTCTCGACATGGCGGATCCCGCCCCACCGGTTTCATCCCGTGCTGAACCTCCTCCACGTCCATCTGGCGCTTGGAGGACCCGATCAGCGCGGAAAGCCGGCCTCCGCGGCGATCGTTCCAGCGAGCGCCCGCGTTCCTGCGAGCGCTCGCGCCGCGGCCGTTCCTCCTGCTCACGACGACTGTACTGCCTGCCCCATCGCAGATCGTGCTTGTCCATGCTCACGCGATGATGCCCTTTTCGCTTGTTATGAAGGAGTTCCCTCCCTCACCCCGTAGGTTCCCTCCTAGTGGCGTGCTGCTGGATGTAGGATCTAAGCAACTGATTTCACTATGACGAGAGAATAACAAGCGAAAAGCATAGATTGTGTGTTTGTGACTGAACTTACCTTGCCCAGGCTCCAGTCGCACATTTCACAATGTGCGGCTCGAGTTTGGGCTGGTCCTCCCTGATTGGTTCAATGCATTTCGCCCCTCGGTGCTTTCCCTCCCATTCCCAACGTCGAATTCGTCCCCCCCCTACTCCACCTCGAATCCCACTACAACATCTGCTACACCTCAATCTGCACCCGCGCATCACTGTCATCACATATGCACGAAGTGTATATTTGGTGACAGTCTTAGAAACTGAAGATTTCACTAAGTGTCTCCTTTTTTTCCCTCTGTATTTGACGACACGGGGCGGGATGATGCAATGAAAGGCACTTACAAAGGAATTGCTTCTGGGTGGTGGAGGCAGAGGCACGAGCAACCGTGTCAAATCATAGGACGACACGTCATCCTCTCCCTCTCCCACTTCCTCCCCTTTCCCCTTCTTATCATCTCCCTGTCTCCTCTCCTCCTGTTTTCTTCTATCGAGGGTACCCTCTTCATGCCTCTCCTCCGCATCCCCCTGCTGTGTGCTTATAACGAGGGTGAGATTCAAGCCATCGCATGGAAGAACATTCGATAGAAGAACGAGGGCCCTGCTGCTGCTGCCTGCTGGGTTGAGTGATAGTGCTTCAATCTGCGCGGTAGCGTTTTGGGAGGGTCACGGTTTGGAGGAGGTGGGGTGGGAGGGAGGGGGTTGTGGTTGGGGGGACGGGGTGGGGAAATAATGAGTGAACAGGTGAGAGGGAGTACATTCAGTACAAGAACCAGAGCACTGGAGCTGCGATTAATGGATGGTTATATTGGTTCATTCTGATATGATTGGACAGGTGAAGAGAGAGTTAGGGAGGGAAGGGACGTGGGAGGGGCAGGTGAGGAGGGGAAGATGGGGAAGTGGAACTTTGCATGACGGTAGAACGCTCTGAATGAGACAAGAATTTCTATACCTCTACCCCAAAACCCAACAAGCAAAGCATGTCAGCTCACAGGCAGGTTGATGTGGAAGGAAATTGATTGGTGGGCGTGGGAAGCCCATTTGTGCACGAATGGGGCTGCATTCAGCTGCACTGCTGTATGTGCTCGTCACCACAAGAATTCTTATACCTGTACCCCGAACAAGCATGTCAGCTCACAGGCAGGTTGATGTGGAAGGAGAGTGAGTCAAAGGAGAGTGAGTGTAGTAGAACGCTCTGAATGAGACAAGAATTTCTATACCTCTACCCCAAAACCCAACAAGCAAAGCATGTCAGCTCACAGGCAGGTTGATGTGGAAGGAGATTGATTGGTGGGCGTGGGAAGCCCATTTGTGCACGAATGGGGCTGCATTAAGCTGCACTGTTGTGTGCCCATAAATCCGTTGCCCTTGCTTCTGCGGATTCTGCTGCTTCTGCGGCTGCTGCTGCTGCTGCTGCTGCTGATTTTGTTCTTCTGTCTGTTGTGAGTTAGGTTCATTTGGTAAAGCTCCAGCAGTTGGCGATCCCAGCAGCAAGGGCCGGAGGAGGAGGAGAGGTGGGGCGGACAGGTGGCAGGAGATGATTGCACGACGTGTGTTGTGGGAGGAGAATGGCTGGGTTGTGTGTGGGTTGACCAGGGCTAGGAGAGCATGGGACATCTGAGGTGAAAAAGGGGAGGAAAAAAGGGGGGAGGAAGAGTGGGAAGAGTGGGAAGAGCGGTAAGAGTGGGAAATTGGATGGCGCTGAGATGGGTGGAGATGTGTGCAGGTTGACCAGTATCAGAAGGGCATGGGATGGGAGAGCTGATTTTTGAGGTGCCTCAAAAGTGGCGCTGAGAAGGGCAGTGATGTGTGCAGGTTGACCAGTATTAGAAGGGCATGGGAGAGCTAGAGACGGGAACACGACAGAAAAGGATTGGGAAAGGGATTGGGTTGAAGAGAGTCGAGATGGGAAACTACAAGGGCTGTTGATGTGTGTGTGACATACCCGCACCCACTCTCACCGACATTCACCCACCGGAGCCACGGGCTGGTTGCACCACACGGCTTGCTTGTGCCCTGCTGAGAGGCACACGTGTGAGGAGATATGCTGACAGCACAGCACAGTACATCCAAGCATTGCCACCACATACCACCACACACCACCGCAGAGCACTGCGTCACACCGCGTACCACCACTCACCTGAGCCACGGGCTGGTTGCACCACACGGCCTGCTCGTGCCCTGCTGAGAGCCACACGTGAGAGGTTGTGCTGACAGGCAAAGCACAGACTAGCACGGGCACCACATACCACCACATACCACCACGCACCACCACATACCACCACGCACCACCGTGTACCACCGCTCACCTGAGCCACAGGCTGGTTGCACCACATGGCCTGCTCGTGCCCTGCTGAGAGCCACACGAGGGCGGCTGTGCTGGGCGGGCGGTGCCAGCAGCACAGAACGAACTAGCATTGACGCTACATATCACCACAAACCACTGCATACTATCACATACCACCACCTGTCACCATATACCACCGCAAACCTGAGCCACAGGCTGGTTGCACCACACTGCCTGCTCATGCCCTGCTGAGAGCCACACGTGAGGGGCTGTGCTGAATGGGAGGTGCAGGGAGATGGTTCCTGGGGACGGGGGTACTGCTGCCGCCCATGAGCGCACATGGAGGGACGGGGGAGGAGGGTGAAAGGAAAGGGGGAAGGGGGAGGATGAAGGGGAATAATGGCATAGTTGAGGGGATGTGCTGAATGGGAGGTGCAGGGAGGTGGTACCTGGGGATGGTGGAACTGCTGCCGCCCATGAACGGACCTGGAAGAAGATGAAGAGCGGAAGGACAGTGGGTGAGTGGTGGCGTGAAGTAACGAGAGAGCGTGAAAGAAAAAATGGATGAGAGGGAGCAGGCAGGGGTGGTGGAACTATCACAAGAGACGGTAGGGGATTTGAGGGGATGTGAGGGGGTGTGAGGGGATGTGAGGGGATGTGAGGGGATGTGAGGGGATGTGAGGGGGTGCGAGGGGATGTGAGGGGATGTGAGGAGATGTGAGGGGGTGTGAGGGGGTGTGAGGGGATGTGAGGGGATGTGAGGGGGTGTGAGGGGATGTGCTGAATGTGAAGTGCGGAAGGTAGTATCTGGGGATGGCGCCACTGCTGCGACCCATGAGCGGACCTGGAGGGAAGGGGGAAGAGGAGGGTGGTGGAAGGGGGAGAGGGGGAGGACAAAGGGGAAATAAGAGAGGAAATGGAGGGGTGGGTGGGGGGAGGAATGGGGGGCGGAAGGGGAGAGGGGGAGGACAAAGGGGAAATAAGAGAGGAAATGGAGGGTGGGTGGGTGGGGGGAGGAATGGGGGGCGGAGTAAAGTAACAAGAGAGTGTGAAAGAATCAAGGAAGGAGAGAGGCGACTGCAGAGGAAAAGAGAGGGAGAGAGCTGATTAATGCAAAGGACCATTTGGGAGAGCGTTGGGTGCATATGTGTCTCTTATATCTGCACATCTGATTTTTGAGACGTCTCAAAACAGCATTGGGTGCATATGTGTCTCAGATCTGCACATCTGGCATACGTGGGATGGCAAGGCAACCAGTAATAAGCTGACACGTGGCGCCAAGCCAATCTCTCACCTGCCAGTCACTTTGGCCAGCAGCAAGCGAGGAGAGGAGTAGTGAGGCTGAACTAGAATGGGGGGCTGGGTGTGGTTGCAAGGGGCGGAAGGTGGCTGGGCTGTGTTGGAAAGGTTTTTGGCTGAGGGAGTGCTAGAGTGAAAGCATGGATGGCTGAAGGGGAAGAGGGAAGAGGCTGGGGGAAACGGGGAGAAAAAGGAGGAACAGAAAAATGTGAGGAAAAAAGTCAAAGGTCACCAAAAGTGGTGGTTGAGTTGAGGCTGTGGTGAAGCGGAGCTGCTCTCATTTCAGTTGGGTTAAAAATTAGGCGGATGGGTCAGTGAAATGCAACAGGCAAGACTAACCCTTTGGTGGGGAGAAGGCGCTTGGTAGAATGCAGTAATGAATGCAAGCCTATGCTGCTGATTCACTTCTGAAAAACTATCAAAAGTGATTCGGATGGAGGAGCTAAAATGCAGCACTTAGCGCTGGAACATCGCCTCTGGTGGTGAGTTAAAACCTGCCTGTGAGGTGTGGCAATGGTGACAATGGTATGCACTGGATTATGTCTCTTTCCCTTCTGATGGGCAGTGGTGCGTTGCCCCCTCTCTTGCTCCTGCTTACCCCCTCCTCGTGCCTCCCCCTTCCACGCACACTCCTTCACCTCTCCCTCCCTCTCCCTATTCCCTCCATCTCTCACATCTGCTCCCCCTTGCAGTCTTTGGTGGGCCAGGCGGGCAACTATCCCCCCCATAGAGTGACCCACTAACAGCACAGAGGACGGGCGGGCGGGCATGGAAGCACAGGAGGAACTGTAGAGGGAGAGGATCTGAGGGAGTGGAAGGAGGGAGGTGGAGAGGGGTGGGGGGGAGGCGGAAAGGGGCAGTATAAGTTATGCAGAGGTAGAATAGATTCCTTACAGTGCAGTGCTAGAAATGAAGAGTAGAGTACATTGTGTTATAGAGTACATGAAGATTCAGGGTTTAGGGTTTAGAGTCCCACACCACATTGTGCCCCACTAGCACCACAGCGAATGGCAAAAATACGAGTCTGCAGAACACAGGGGAATGAGAATGAGCTGAGATAGAGCTAATATGTACACCGACACACACACGCACACTCGCGCGCATGTACACGTGTCCACATGCACACATGTACAGGCCCACCCGTGCACACGCACACCCACCCACCCACATAAACCCCTCAGCACTCACCTGAGTGACAGCAGCAGCAACAAAAGCCGTCTGTTTGAGCAGCAGAGCTGTCAAGAGCAGTCAGGTGCTCCCTCAAATTCACAGGCACAGGCCCACCCGTGCATTTGCATACCCACCCACATGCAATGCGGCACCCACCTGGGTGACAGCAGCAGCTACGAATGCCGCCTGTTTGAGCAGCAGAGCGCTGTCAAGCAGTCAGGTGATTCCTTCGATCCACGAGAGCCATGCCAGAGGAGCTGCGTATGCCATAGATTTCACATGCACACACGTACCCACCTGAGTGACAGCAGCAGCAACGAAGGCTGACTGTTTGAGCAGCAAAGAGCTGTCAAGAGCAGTCAGTGTTAATGTTAGCCCTCAATCTCACATTTGTACTTGTACTTTTTATATCCTAGTTTAGTGTAGTTTGCACTTTGTGTTTGGTTGGGTGTACACCCACATCCCAACCAAACCCAAATGTGATCTCCAAGCAATCTCCAACCCACCAATTGGAGGCTGCCATGGGATTATCCCCAATTCCCTAGGATTGTCCCCGATTCTCTCCCCACCTTTACCTTGCCCATTTCTGATGTACTTAAAGAGCCTTGAGCTCATTACTAATGCATGGATTCTAAGCTCAATTTCTAACATGGTATCAGAGCTCTTCAACCACACATGCGGATCTTGATCCTTTTACCTTTGCAGAATCCTCCCCCGCACCCTTAGGCGAAGCCGCCTTCAACATTCATCGCTCGTCGTAAAGCACCTACATCGACCTAATCTTCTTACCGGCCAGAATATTTCCCGCGCCGCCTTTGTCGCCGTTGATTCGCGACATTTTCTGTGGGTAGATTCTCTCCCACACTACCTTTCCTTCAGTTACGAGGCACCGATTTATGCGTCTCGCTTAAGGTAACCGTATCTACCATTTCCTCGTCGCTCTCCCTCATCACCGCGGATTTGTCCCGCCGCCCTTCCCGCTTCGGCGTAACCAATTATTTCCCATCTCGTCAATCGTCAGGCTGCCGCCCGTCGCCCTACAGCTTCCCTTCGGGCTGACGCCCGTCGCCCTGCATCTTCTCTTCGGGCTGCCGCCCGTCGCCCTGCAGCGTCACCTTCGGGCTGCCGCCCGTCGCCCCGCAACGGCACTTCCATCACCCCGCAGCTGAACAGGTGAAGCTGCGCAGCTGAGCAGCCGTGTAACAGTGAAGTTGAGCAGCATTGTAGCTGCAAAGCTGAGGGTGGTGTGAGGGGGGGGTGTGTGGGAACAGGGTTAGTAGTTAGTTGACACTACCAAAATCGGCCGTTTCAACCTATTTTCGTCGGCCTTAAACCTTCTATGAGACATCCTGACGCAGCCAACATTAACGTTCTTCGCTCTTCGGGACCTTCGGATTTCGAAATCGCTAAACCTCTCCTCAAAATTCTCCTTCATAAACCCTACTTTGCAATTCTCCTTCGTAAACCCTAAACCCGAAGTGTTTATCGGTGACTTAAGAGAGACATTTTGCGCGAGAAAGAGGCTCTTCACCATGGCTTTCGCCTCGGCAACTATCAACTTGTTAATCCCTGGTACCGCCATGATCAATGAAGCAACCTCGCAGCATATCGGCTCACTGCAGGCACCACAGTACATAGAGTTTACACTCGACACCGGGGCCACCCACACAGTGCTCAAGGAGACACTCTCCTTCAAACCCTATTCAACACCCATTCCATTCTTGGGAGCTGACTCAAGCTTCACCACCTTTGCCAAGGGTTCGTCCACTGTCCCATGCCCCGCCTTCCCATCCAGCACTGTCACTTGCATGTGCATGCCTTCATTACGCCACAATTTTGTGGCTCAAACAGAAATTCAGGAGGTGGGGTTACGCACCATCTTTTCGGAGAACAAGGACTACTGTGACATCATCGACCCACTCACCAACAAGGTCTTGGCTCGCTTCACCCTCAATAGCAGCGGCCTTTACACGCTGCGAGTACCTATCCCACGGGTGTCAACCACCCAAGCACAGGCTGCTATCACACCATGCTCATGTCGCAGCTTCTCCAACCCGACCATCCTCTACCACCATGGGCTTGGGCACCCCAACTTCCGCACGCTTGCTAACATGGCCTCCAAGAAGCTTCTTCTCGCCCTACCAACCTCACTTCCTCCACCACCTGACTCTCCCGCTCCTACATGCCGTAACTGCACCAAGAGCAAGTTACGCCAACAACCCCACTCTGCCTCACCCTCAGTCGCTGCAGCCCCACTGGACCTAGTGCACATGGACGTCTGGGGCCCTGCCCCTGTTTCCGCACGAGGCGGTTATCGTTATTTCCTTGCTTTAGTTGATGATGATAGAATTGGAACGTAACTGATTGATTGATAAGGAAGGCACGAGGCTTTAAGTACAAACACGGTTGGGTTGAGCAAAGCTAGGGAAAGGATGGGATGGGAATCCTAGCAAATCTCCAATTGGTGAGTTGGCAGATTTGCAGGATTACGAGGGAATCCCAACCAGATAGGGTTGGGATTACAAATCTACACCCAACCTACAAAGTAACCTAACCGATATAGAATATAGTACAAAGTGTTGACTGACTATTTCTAACACACCCCCTAGGCTGACAACACTTCAGCCACATGGCGGTCCAACACCCATGGACGAGAGGAGGCGGTAGTGGTCTTGACGAACAAGAGACTTGGTAAACAAGTCAGCAAGGTTGCAGTCGGAGGCAATGTGTTCAGCCTTCAGCTGCTCGTGCTGCACCAGCTCACGAAGAAAGTAGTGACGGACTTCAATGTGCTTGGTGCGGCCGTGGAAGACGGGGTCCTTGGTGAGATGAATGGTGCTCTCGTTGTCACACCAAAGCGTTGGGGCTGGTTGAGGATACCCAAGTTCTGCCAGCAAGAAGGAGAGCCAACGGGCCTCCTGGGCAGCCATGGTCCCGGCATACAGCTCTGCCTCACAGGTCGACAGTGAGACGGAAGACGACCGAGTGGAGCGCCAACTGACAACCCCACTGCCAAGGGTAAAGCAATACCCTTGGGAAGAGCGCCGATCACTCTGGTCATCAGCATAGGACGAGTCACTGTACCCCTCAAGGCGAACAGGGGAAGAGCCGCCAAGAGTGAGCACATAGTCCTGTGTGCCTTTGAGATAGCGGAGGACCCGCTTGGCGGCAGACCAGTGGTGGCTCGTGAAGCGACCAGGTGCAACGTAGCGAGACAGGACACTGACTGGATAGGCCAAGTCTGGTCGAGTGCACATCATCGCGTACATGAGGGAACCAACGAGCTCGGGGTAAGCCTCATCGCAGGGCTCAGGTGAGGGAACAGAGGGTGCAGTGAGTTGGTGCTGCAGAGAGAGTGGGGTGGGCATTGAAGCTGCTTCCTGCATCTTGAACCTTGTCAGAACGTTGTTGATGTAGAACTTCTGCGAGAGGGTGATGGTGCGGGCCGTGCGATCACGTGTGATTTCCATGCCCAGATAGTTCGTCAGCTTCCCAAGATCCTTCATGGCCAGCTTCTCACCAAGTGCGGTTTTGACTGCTGCCAGCTCAGTCTGATCCTTGGTGACAAGGATCATGTCATCAACATAAACCAAGATGAAGAAGCGGGATGGTGTTGCTCGGATGAAGAGGCTGGGGTCAGAGGTGGATGGGTGAAAGTCGAGGGACCCTAAGGTGCTCTTGAGCTTGTTGTGCCATTCCCGGAGTGCTTGCTTGAGGCCATATACTGGTCGATTCAGCTTCCATACAGTGCCTGGTGGAAAAGGAGCTGGAAATCCTTCGGGCCGCTCCATGTAGATTTCCTCTCGAATGATCCCTTGCAGAAACGCAGAAGACACATCCATGCAGTCAACCTCCATGTCATCTCGAGCGGCCGCATCGAGAAGGGTGCGCAGTGTGGGAGGTTTGGCAGTGGGAGATGTCTCAAAGAAGTCCAGTCCACGCTTTTGGGTAAATCCCTTGGCACAGTACCGGGCTTTGAAGACAGGAAATTCGCCTGGAAGTTGTTTCACCCAAAAAACCCATTTTCCCTTCACAATGTTGACGCCGGAGGGAGGAATGATATCTGTGAAAGTCCCTGTGTGAATGAAGGCCTCAAACTCTGCGATAATGGCCCCTATCCACTGAGCGGCGTTAGGACCAGAAACTGCTTCAGCATAGGTGAGAGGTGTGGGGATGGAGGGGTTGTCTGAGAAGTTGAGGGTGGGAGATTCTGCGATATCTGGAAAGAGAGAGCAGAGCGCGTGTATGGCTGAGTCAATGTCAATCAACTCCTCATGTCTGTCCTCAAGAAGGGAGGGCATGAGCGAATAATCACCCCCGACAGGAGGAGGATTGAGAGAGACACGAATGGAAAGGGAAAGAGGCTTGGGAGTTTTGTGCGAGCGGGTGCGACCAGCGATGGGGGAGGGAGGCGGAGCTGGAGGAGGAGAAGCATGAGGTGTAGTGGCAGCATCAGGAGCAGCAGCTGAATCAGGAGCAGGAGCCAGATCAGGAGCAGGAGGTGGAGCAGGAGCAGGAGGTGGAGCAGGAGCAGGAGCAGCAGCAGGAGGACGGCGTTGGTAGGTTTTGAGAGGAATGGACTCGGGGGCGGGAAGGAGCGGGGGAGACTGCGTGGTGCTGGATGGGGAAGCGGGTGACGGGGGGTCGGAAACTGTGGAGGGAGCGGGAAGAGGAGGAGATGGAGTGGTGGCAGGAGGAAGGCTGTCAAAGTCAGCCCAAGTTAGAGAAAGAGGAGGAGGAGAAGGAGAAACTGTGGAGGAGGGGTAGAATGGGTGGGATTCATCGAAGAAAACATCTCGGCTGCGATAGAGTTTGTTGGTGGTAGGATGGAGGAAGAGGTAGTCTGGTGAGTCCAAGTTGTGCCCGAGGTACACGCACGTGATGGTTTTCGGAGCAAGCTTGCCGCCAGCTGCACGACGGGCTTGGGAGTTGAGGAGGACATAGGAAGTGCACCCCCATACACGAAGAGGGCGGACGGACGGCTTTTGACCCGTCCACAGCTCTGCGGGGGTGGTGTGGGTGTGGTGAGGATGAGGATGGAGATTGTGGAGGGCGGCAGCATGGAGCATGGCGTATCCCCAGAGAGAGGGAGGGGCGGAAGCATGAGTGAGGAGGCAGCGAGCAATCTGCACCAGGATGCGGTTTCGGCTTTCAGCAACACCGTTCTGTTGAGGGCTGTCTGGGAGAGTGAAGGTCTGTTGGATACCCTCAGTAGAGCAAAAAGCTTTGAGAGTAGTGTTGAGTGAAGAAACTTGATTTTGGTTTTGAAGTGTGAATGAGCCTGCCTGGCCCATTCCATGATGATGGCTGGGGCTTCAGACTTGGCGGTGAGAAGGTGAACAGACACATAGCGGGAATAGTCATCAACGATGACAAGGAAGTAGAAGTGTCCGCCACGGGAACGAACAGGAGCTGGACCCCAAAGGTCCATGTGTACGCGATCGAGAGGTGCGGTAGAGATGGACTCAGTGGGAGGATGGGGCTGTTCCCGAAGCTTGCTCTGTGCACAGTCAAGGCAAGGCGGTCCAGAAAGAGAGGGGGGTTGTGGAAGTGAGGCGGGCAGTCCATGAAGGAGTTGCTTGGTGGCAAGGTCGGAAAGTGCGCGGAAGTTGATGTGGCCGAGGCGGTTATGAAATAGCATAGTCTTGTCAGTGAGGAGGCGGCAGTGATATGAGGGGGAGTCTGAGGATGGAAGCGGAAGGTTGGTGAGGGAGCATGTTTGAACGGGAGGTACAACTAGTGTGTACAGGTTGTTGGAGTTGAGGGTGAAGCGGGCAAGATGGAGTCCGGTTTTGGCGTCAAACATGTCACAGTAGTCAACATCATTGGGAAAGATGGTGATCACGCCTGCGTGTTGGATTTCCCGCTGTGCAAGAAGGTTGTAGCGGAGGGTTGGAGCAGAGATGCCAGTGACTGTGCCAGATGGGAATGCTGGACAGGAAACTGTGGAGGAGCCATGGCATTGGATGGAGAAGCTAGAATCTGCTCCAAGGAGTGAGGTGGGAGCCTGGTAGGGAACGAAGGCGGTTTGGTCTTTAAGCACTGTGTGGGTGGCACCACTGTCTAGTATGAACTCGATTCCCTGTGTGGTTGAAACACCGATGTACTGCGACCCCTTCTCATTAATAAGACCAGCACCAGAGAACAACAGGTTAAGGCGAACATCAGATGGGGCGCTAGCAAATGCCTGAGCAGGTTCCTCCACTGCCTCAACCTGGTTCACGCGACGGGGTGGTGCCCAGTTGGGAGGACGCTTGTCCTTGGAGACACCATGGACGTCATACCACTCGTCATCTCGCTTCTTGAAGCAAGTGGCCTCAGGGTGGTTGGTGCCGTTGCACTTCTGCCCCGCACGTGGACCCTTCCTAATGAGGTACTGGCATGGGGGAAAGGAGTTGCGCCTCTGGCCCTGCTGGGAACGAAATGGAATGCCAGGGGAGTAGCGCACAGCATTGACTGATGCCTGGGCTGCAAGGTCCTTTTCCGCAGAGAGAAGGGCCAAAGCGACTTTCTCGAAGGTGAGTTCCTTGGTGGGGAGCTGCTTGAGCATGGAACTGGTGACGTTGTAGGCCGGGGTGAGTCCGACGAGAAGCCCAGCAGCAGGTGCCTGTTCGGGGAAGGTGATCCCAATGTCCTTGAGCTCCTCATGGATGTTGCGGATTTCAGAGATGTAGTCTGCCATGCCCGGGCATTCCTCAAGGCGGATTTGGAACATGCGAGGAATAAGGATTGCAACTCCCACGGCAGTTTTGTCATGAAAACGATCCTGGAGGTACTTCCAAATGTCATGCGCAGAGCGGAAGGTGCGGTAGGACTTGACTAACTCAACTGGGGTAGTGGTGATGAAAACCCTAATCACTGCCGCATCCGCCTGCTCCCAGAGACTGAAGTCCGTCTCGTACTTGGTGGTCTTAGCATCGAAAGCACTCTTGGCTGTGGGAGTGGCGCCTTCACCGATAGGATCGGGAGGGAGAGGCATCTTCCCCTTGCCACGGTTGAGGAGGATGTCCTTGAGACAAATCCCCTTGAGCTCCGAGCTAAGGAGGTGCTTCTCCACTCCATAGCACCACTCCCCGAAATTGGTGCTCGTGCCGTTGGGAGCGAGGTTAAGGATGATGAGGTTTCCGACGAGAGTGGAAGTAGAAGTTGCCATTTCGCGCGGAGCGCAGCGCTAAAGTCTCCGATACGTAGCGGAGCGAAGCGGAGCGATTTTGGCAATAGAATGCCCGTAATGTACCCTGCTATACTGCTTCGCCGATGCCCCCTATTCTGCTTCGCTGCTGCCCCTGTTCCGCTTCTCTGCTGCGCCGCTGACCTGTTCTGCTGCGCCGCTGACCTGTTCTGCTGCGCCGCTGACCTGTTCTGCTGCGCCGCTGAACCTGTTCTGCTGCGCCGCTGAACCTGTTCCGCTGCGCCGCTGAACCTGTTCTGCTGCGCCGCTGAACCTGTTCTGCTGCGCCGCTGAACCTGTTCCGCTGCGCCGCTGAAAACCTGTTCGAAGTTAAGAAGATGCGAAAATTTCGACGGAGATTTGAAAAACCAGAGGCTTACGATGAAGGAAGTCGAAAGCTGAAAATGTCGCCGTTGAAAAACGAGAAGCGCGATGAAGGAAGCCGAATGCGCGCTTGACCGGAGCGACGATGTGAAGTTTCTGAAAAACGCTAAGCGTAGGAGCCGGGAGCCGAAATAGGCATAGCCTAGAAGGAGAGAACCATCAAGACGCCAAGGATCGGATTCCGCGTGAGCGGAATTTACTAGCTCGATACCATGATAGAATTGGAACGTAACTGATTGATTGATAAGGAAGGCACGAGGCTTTAAGTACAAACACGGTTGGGTTGAGCAAAGCTAGGGAAAGGATGGGATGGGAATCCTAGCAAATCTCCAATTGGTGAGTTGGCAGATTTGCAGGATTACGAGGGAATCCCAACCAGATAGGGTTGGGATTATAAATCTACACCCAACCTACAAAGTAACCTAACCGATATAGAATATAGTACAAAGTGTTGACTGACTATTTCTAACAGATGACCACTCCCGCTACGTCTCTGTGCACCTCCTGCACACTAAGGCTGAAGCTCCAGGGGTCATCATGGCGTGGGTCAATCTGGCACAGACCACCTTTGGCCGCAAGGTCAAGCACCTCCATTCAGATGGAGGTGGTCAATTCTGCAACGATAAGCTCAAGGCCTTCTGCTCCTGAGAAGGCATTCTACAAAACTTCACCCTTCCTGACAGCCCGCAGCAGAACGGCATCGCAGAGAGTCGCAATCACACGTTGGCACAGATCACCCGCTGCCTCCTCAGCCACTCCAACGCACCACTCTCACTCTGGGGGTACACCCTCTACCATGCCGCCCTCCTCTACAACCTCCCGCATCTTCCTGACACCACTCCCATCACACTCTGGCTCGGGAAAACACCCACTGCTCGCCCCCTTCGCGTACGGGGGTGCACCGCCTATGTCCTCCTCAACCCGCAGGCTCGGCGACAGCAAGGTGGCAAGCTCGGCCCCAAAAATCAAACATGCATGTATCTTGGGCATAACGCCGACTCCCCTGACTACCTCTTCCTCAACCCCTCTACTCAACAACTAATCCGTAGCCGCGATGTCGTCTTCGACGAGACGCACCCTTTCTACTGCTCTTCGGAGGGGGATCCTTCCTCCGGACCACCCTCTCTTGTGTGGGCTGACTTTGATGCACCCCTTGAACTTCCACCTGCACCAGCTCCCTCACCTCCTTCCTCCCCTGCCATCGCACAATCCCACTCTGAGGTCTCTAACCCGACCTCACCGGTGTCCTCGGCAACTGCTCCCTCATCTCTCCCCTCTCCCACTCCACCAACTGCGCTCCCACCACCAAGCGCACCAATCGCATACCATCGCCGGTCGAACCCTCCGGCCCCACCTCCTCCCCCTGTTCCCCCTTCCACTCAGGAACCTGCTCCCCCACAACCGCCCGAACTGATCACGTTCCAGCGACGGCCGATCCCTCCGCCCAAACCCCCTAAACCGACCCCTCCAGTGCCGCCCGCTCCACCCTCTTCTCCGGTGGCTCATTGCACTCGGTCGCATGGGGCTGCTCCTCCACTGGCACTTGCCATTCGGTGCTCAGTGATCACTCCGACTCCTCCTGCTGGGGGGGGTGTGCCCTCTACCCTTCTGGAAGACAGGCATGAGGAGCTGTGTGATCTCCACGCTGTCACTCCTCAGCTCTCGCACATCTTCCCCGACATCACTGAATCACCCTCACTCAACTTCTCGGAGAATCCGACCATCCCCATCCCTCTCACTGCCGAGTGGCATGCTGCCATGAAAGCTGAGTGTGAAGCCTTCACTCGCAACCACTCTTTCGACGACGAAACTCCACCGCCAGGAGTTAACATCGTTGGGGGCAAGTCGCTGTTTTGAGTGAAACAACTTCCGGACGAGGCCCCAGTGTTCAAAGCGCGCTACGTAGCCAAGGGATTCACTCAGCAGCAGTACTTTGACTTCTTCAAGACATTCTCTCCCACATCCAAACCTCGCACCGTTCGTACGCTCTTGGATGTAGCAGCACAAGAAGAGTTCGAGATCAAATCCATGGATGCCTCATCGGCCTTCCTGCAAGGACGCCTCAAGGAGACAGTATTCATGGATCGACCTGAAGGCTTTCCAGGAGAGTTCCCTCCCAACACTGTCTGGAAGCTGAATCGCCCTGTTTACGGGCTCAAGCAAGCCCCTCGTGAATGGCACAACAAAGTGAAAGAAGTCCTTCTCTCATTGGACTTTCACCCATCATCTGCTGACCCAACTCTCTTCATCCGCCGTCATTCTGAGCCATTCTACATCCTTGACTACGTCGATGACTTCATCCTCGCTGCCAAGGACCCGGCCCAGATGACCTCTGTCCAGGCAGCCCTGGGCAAGGCCCTCCTGATGAAAGACCTCGGTGACCTCAAGCGCTACCTGGGGATGGAGATTACTCGCGATCGCCAGGCTCGCACCATCTCACTCTCCTAGGAGTTCTACATCAACAATGTGCTCAAGCGCTTTGAGATGGAGCTGTGCAAACCTACGGCCACCCCACTGCCGCTGCAACACCTCCTCACCGCTCCAGATGTACCCACACCAGAGGCATGCACTGAGCCATACCCAGAACTTGTTGGGTCCCTCATGTATGCCATGATGTGTACCCGGCCTGACTTGGCACACCCTGTCAGTGTCCTCTCTCGATATGTGGCTCCTGGACGCTTCACTGACCTCCACTGGAAAGCGGCAAAGCGGGTGCTGCACTATCTGCAGGGCACCAAGTCTCATATCCTCACCCTTGGTGGGCTTTCTCCTCCTCGCCTGGAAGGTTACACAAACTCCTCTTGGGCTGATGACCAGACCGACCGACGCTCCTCCCAAGGCTACTGTTTCACCCTTGGGAGCGGAATTGTCAGCTGGCGCTCCACCCGGTCGTCAACAGTCTCCCTCTCCTCCTGTGAGGCCAAGCTCTATGCTGGTATCATGGCTGCTCAAGAGGCCCGCTGGCTCACATTCCTACTCCAGGAGCTTGGCTACCCTCAGCCCACTCCCACGCTCTAGTGTGACAACAAGAGTACCATCCACCTGTCCCAGGATCCCGTGTACCATACTCGCACCAAGCACATCGAACTTCGGCACTTCTTCATCCGTGACCTTGTCCAGCGGGAGCAGCTCAATGTGGAGTACGTGGCTTCTGACTGCAACTTGGCTGATCTGTTCACCAAGCCCCTTGGGAAGGTTCCTCACCATCGCCTCCTATGCACCACGGGGCTCTGCGGTCCGCCTTCTCTACCATGAGTTCGATTGACGCCTATGAGGGGGTGTTAATGTTAGCCCTCAATCCCACTTTTTATATTATAGTTTAGTGTAGTTTGCACTTTGTGTTTGGTTGGGTGTACACCCACATCCCAACCAAACCCGAATGTGATCTCCAAGCAATCTCCAACCCACCAATTGGAGATTGCCTTGGGATTACCCCCAATTCCCTGGGATTGTCCCCGATTCTCTCCCCACCCCTACCTTGCCCATTTCCAATATACTTAAAGAGCCTTGAGCTCATTACTGATGCATGGATTCTAAGCTCAATTTCTAGCAGTCAGGTGCTCCCTCAAATCCACTGAAAGCCACGCCAGAGCAGCTGGGTATGGTTCAGACCCCCGCCTTCCCTTCCTTGATCCAACTGCTCTTCCTGCTGCTGGTTCCCCTTCTCTGTCTCCTCTTGTTTCCCCTGCCTCTCCCGTTTCATTTGATTCTTCTGCTGCTGCGAGAGCCTCTGTGCCTGGTTCTTCCTTACAGGTGAAACAGGGGTTGTTGTTCCTTGATATGTGTTAAGCATGAGAGGCGTGGTAGATGTGGTGGGAGACAGACGCGAGCGAGCGCACCTGAACCGAAGAAAAAATGGAAAAACAAAAAGAAAATGGCGACATGATTTAAGGGTGTGTTAAAAATTGCCTTAAAAAGTCACACCAGAATTCTCAAAAGTCGCACCAATAATTGCCTCACAGTTCATGCATATATTTGTATGCAGATTTGGTTGATGCTCAGTGGCCTCACTCACTCACCCACAGAGGCCCCTCTTCACCTCCTCCCCACTGCCTGCAAGAGCCTAGATTGGCGTGTAACCCATGCAACACACCTGCCTGTGACAACCGGCATCACATCACATCACCTGCTTGTAGCAGCCCGCGTTCCCTGGGATGAAGAGCACAGACACTCTCCCACAGAGGCCCCTCTTCGCCTCCTCTAAACTGCTGCTGCCTCCCCAGGCGTGGCCCTCTTGGTATAAGAACAAACTGTATAGAGAGGCTGCGCGTTGGGTGAGGGGGAGGAGTGGGCCGGAGGGAGAGGAATTCCAGAAGGAAACAGGAGTGTGATCGCCATCTCAGCCTCCCAATGCTGGCTCCCGCGTCCTCCTTTTGAGTCGACTCAAAAGTCTGGTGACTCCCACATCCTCTATAAAAGCTCTTCCAGTGTAAGTACATTCCATTTCACCTCTAGTTGGTCCTTTGGACTCCCAATTCCAGTTCCGTAACGAAAAGAGACTGTTACTACTAATTAGGCCAGACACATGTAGGTGATTGTGCCACTTTAGACTGAACTAATTCTCAAAAGTGACACAAACAAGGCCAGGCACATGCACATGTAGGCATATAGCCGCATTCCTATCTCTCCATAGGCTCCCTCTCCCCAATGCCAGATGCGCTCATTTGAGAGAAGGCAGAACCGGTCAAGGCGTACTCACTTGAATCCAGTCCGTATTCCTCCAGGGTCCGGTTGCACATGGGAATGCGAATGTAATCAGGCCACATGTACGTCATTGAGCACTCCCGCTCCATAGGCTCCTCCTCCCCTTCCCTTTCCCCTTTTCCCTCCCCTTTACCCTCCCCTTTACCCTCCCCTTTCCCCTTCCTCTCCACCCGATCCCCATTTTCCTCCCCTACCACTGGTTCCCCTATTCTCCCCCCTCTTCCCCAAACGAGTGCGCTGAGGGTTCCCAGAGGCGCCACCCATCCGGCTACTGCTAAGGAGATGATTACTAGCGCGGAAAGACACGTCAGAAAGACGGGAGCCGCGGTGGATCGGCGAGTTCGCGCTAGTACGGGTGAGAGTGGTTCCGCTGTCGCCGCCATTGCTGGAACTAAAGACGATCGGTTTGCTGCTCCCAGAGCGCCGGAACCGGAACCTTCGGCATTGGGACGCGTCACCTCCCTCGATCGATCCTGCGTAGGATCGATGTTTGGCATGCTACAGTTAATTTGTAGCATCGCAGTTTACATGGATACCCTTTTTCGAGACAGTTAACGAACGCCCAGTAACGGGTGCACCACGATCTTGTCACCTCCCCCCAATCGCGATTGTTGCATCATCATACACACACCGATTTTGCGTGAGCTCCAAGCTCGCGCTCAAAGTGACAGGCAAGATCGATTGCCGTCGCACAGTTTGCAGGGTTACCTGTATCGTCTCATGTTTTTTATCGCAAACCATCCATACGACGGTGCTGCATATTTTCGCCCAACCATATCCCCTGTCGCAATACCGAACGCGTCACCCAGGGCTCGAAACCAGCATGCGATCGATGTTCAGCTGTCACCTCCCACCAATCGTGCCCCAATCCTGCGATCGGTGTGCCCGATCGGTTTTTCCTGGCGATCCTGCGATCGATCGAGGGAGGTGACGCGTCCTTAGCTTCGCAATGTCCCTTCATGGGCTTGCGGGACCGGAACCGGAACCTTCGGCGTTATGTTGCGGAAGGTGTGGAAACATTCCTGATGAAATATAGGACCATCAATGGTGTCAATTTTTCGTTCTTGAAGCCCTGATGAATCACTGGCTTTCTAGCGATTGGAAGCAAGAAAAAAACACTAAATCAGTAAATATAACATTGTCGAATGTGGAAAATTATTGTTCCAGTTTCAGTAATAACGGGAATGAAAGTGGATGTAGCTGATTCATGATAAGTCAGGCAGATTCGGCGGGAATCGAAGGAAATTTTGTCAGGTTGTCAGATTTGGCGAATGGCAAGCGCCAGCCTTGGGTTTGTCTTGGTTCAGTGTCAACGCAGCGAACCGCCGCGAGGAACGACAGCTACGGTAACGCGATCGTTCAGACTTCGTGCAATCTCGTCAAGGCTCGTTTAGACCCTCATTTTTGCGAGATGCGAAAATTTGTAAGGAAAGACTTTGTGACACACGAATCACCACAATTCGCACTGGCCTGGGTGGTTTCGCATCGCAACTCCCGAGTGACACGTGCACAGCTGGTGGTGCTAGGCTGTTTCGCATCGCAGGCTATTCACCACCACCACCTTTCAGTCATATCGACGGAGCAGAGACGGATTCCGTCAGAAGACTTTCTCGGAATGCTGTAGCATGGTGAGCGCCATTCGAGCCAACTACGTTGGCATCAGCAGATTCGCTTCAGGCAATCAGGCTTCTCCACGTTCGCTTTAGGCAAATCAGTTATAACCCGCGTTTTGGGTCGTGGGTTACCGTGATTTGTTACGACCCATCATCGTCGCGTGGACGAACGGCAGACAGGTTCTGAAGGATCGTTCTGCGGATGCTCAGCCTTGCTAGGAGCGATTTCTTTTACCCCAGAAAAAGGAACAGCGTCCACTCAAGCTGTCGCTAACCCGTTTGGTCCGCGCGACGGTGGTTCGCGCCGCGCCGTGCCTCACGGCGAACGTGATCGCTGGTCAGAGTGCTACTACTCACAACGTCGTCCGTCGTCCCGTCGGACGCCGCCTTTCCGCCTACCCCCGTCCGTAGTTCGATTTACGAGTATCAGTGATCGGGCCGATCGCTGCTCACAGGACGATCATCACCCTCGGAGTCCCTCATGATCCGCGTCGCGAGTTGGCTTTTGAGTCGACTCAAAACTAGGCTCAAAACTGAGTCGACTCAAAACTAGCCTCCGAGAGGGAGTCCCTCTCATGATCCGCGTCGCCCGCCTCTTCTTTTGAGAATCCTCAGATAGCATGGTCCGCAACGGTCCAATTACTGCCACTGCTCACAGGATGATCACCACCGTCCGTCTCATGATGGCCCGCGCCGCCCAATTCCTCCGCCGTCGCACGACCGTTGCGATCCTTCTTCGACTCGTGGCCGTTGCGCTCCCGGCGGCATGGCTCGTGATGGCGACAGTTCAACGCTCCGAGAAAGAGGGAGATACGTTTCTGGAGGCCATGCGGACCTTGTATCAGGTGTGTCTATATCGAGGTGTGCTTGAGTCGACTCAAAATGCATCTGTTTCGAGCCGAGTCGGCTCAAAGCGGCGAATCAAAGAATTTCTCGGAGGGGAAAGACGTTTGGTCTTAACAGATTTTTCTCAGGTAAGGAGGAAGCATCCCAAGCATCCCATCCCAAGCATCCCATCCCAAGCATCCCTCCCTCATCAGCCTTAAAACAATGCCTACGGGGTGCAGGCAAAGATTCCTCTCCCCCTTTCGCGCTCCGCCATCTCACTTCCCCCGCAATGTTCCCCTCCTCAGCCGATCCCCCTTTGGTCCGCGGATCCCCCGCCGCTTGTCCCCCGAACTTCCCCACTCTTTCCCCCCCAACCCCCCAACCTTCTCCCCCGAACCAGCACTGGGAGAGCGCCTATGGGCTCCAGGCGGAGAATACATTCCCCCCTTCCGCCATCTCGCTTCCCCCGGACGTTCCCCCCGCGCCCCACCTGGAGGACTGTGAGGCGCGCACAGCCTTCCGCCTGTCCACGGAGAAATGGGGGGAGCGTGGGGAGCCGCCCTACTGGGCTGTTCCCAACCCTGCATGCGGCAACGTGCCCCAACCCCCCTGGGTGAGCCCCAACCCCCCTGGGTGAGAGCTGGGTCCTCGGTCAGTCAGTGGTGGGGGAATGCGGTCCGCTTATACTCAAAGAAACGGGGGGAGCGGGGGGAGCCGCCCTTCTGGGCTGTTCCCAACCCTGCATGCGGCAGCGTGCCCCAACCTCCCTGGGTGAGAGTTGCATCCACCGTGCGCGGTGCTGTGTGGTGCGGAGCTGTTCTGTGCAGTGCCGTGCGGTGTGGTGGGATGCTGTGCTCTGCTGCAGTTGTCGGTCAAATTATTCTCGGTGCTGTGCTGTGCTGCACAGTTGTCTGTGCTGTGCTGTGCTGTGCTGTGCTGTGCGGTGCTGTGCTGTGCCGTGCGGTGCTATGCTGCACAGTTGTCTGTGCTGTGCTGTGCTGTGCTGTGCTGTGCGGTGCTGTGCTGTGCTGTGCGGTGCTGTGCTGCACAGTTGTCTGTGCTGTGCTGTGCTGTGCTGTGCTGTGCTGTGCTGTGCTGTGCTGTGCTGTGCTGTGCTGTGCTGTGCGGTGCTGTGCTGTGCTGTGCTGTGCTGTGCTGTGCTGTGCTGTGCTATGCTGTGCTGTGCTGTGCTGTGCTGGTCTGTGCTGTGCAGAAAGTTAGCCGTGTTCCACAATCCTAGTGCATTGCTGTCTGGATCATATCAGGAATGACAAAACTCCTCTTCCCTACCCTACCCACCACCACCCCTCCTGCAGATCCGAGGCTCCGATGCAGCCAACCTGGCAGCACTGCTAACGAGCTATATAACGAGGATTAAGTGTATTTCATTCCTTCTCCTTGCCCCCAACCCCTATCTCCAGATCCGAGGCTCCGATGCTGCCAACCTGGCAGCCACCCGGCAAGCACAAGCTGACATATGGCGACAGCAGTTCCCACCCAGGCAGTGCAAGGGGCGGCGACTGATGGTGGTGGAGTGGCTGAGCATGGGGTGGCACGGGATAGGGTCGCAGCTGCACGTGATGGGCGCTGTGCTGAGTGCGGCCTTGCTGCACAACAGGACTCTCGTGCTCGTGCCCGGCACTCTGCCCCAGGCAGACCATGAGGAATGCGAGAGTGAGTGAGGGAGGGAGGGAGGGAGGGAGGGAGGGAGGAAGGTAGGGGGTGAGGGAGGGAGGGAGGGAGGGAGGAGGGGAAGGAGGGAGGAAAGGAGGGAGTGAGCTAGTTGTCATTCTAACAGTCAGTCAATCGGAGAGTGAGTGAGAAAACGCGGGAGGGAGGGAGGGAGGGAGGGAGCATGGGGTGGCACGGGATAGGGTCGCAGCTGCACGTGATGGGCGCTGTGCTGAGTGCGGCCTTGCTGCACAACAGGGCTCTCGTGCTCATGCCCGGCACTCTGCCCCAGGCAGACCACGCGGAATGCGAGAGTGAGTGAGTGGGTGAGTGAGTGGGTGAGTGAGTGGGTGAGTGAGTGGGTGAGTGAGTGAGTGGGTGAGTGAGCGAGTGGGTGTTTCTCCCCTCTTTTTCCTACGTTTCTTCTCCTGTGCTGCCTTGTCTCAGAGCTGGGCCACCGGGGGTCACTCAATTGCTGCTTCTTCCGGTACTCGTCCAAATAGTGTGAGGAGATGGCTCTCAAGGGGCATCCAACGGGTGATGAGTCGATTTTTTAGTCGACTCAAGAATCTGCTTCTTCCGGTTCTCGTCCAAAGAGTGTGAGGAGACCGCTATCAAGGCGCATCCAACTCACACACTCGCAAGAACGCATGTCTGACTTGTATTGCACGTGCGTGTGTGTTCCTCTTGCCCTCTGCCCACCCAGAGCTGGGTCACCGAGGGTCGCTCGAGTGCTACTTCTTCCGATTCTCATCCAAGGAGTGTGAGGCGATCGCTGTGAAGGCGCATGGAAGTACTTAGAGCGATTGCAAGTTACATTTGTTTTCTATTGCGGTGTGTCTCCTTTCCTCCCATTCGCCTTGTCTCAGAGCTGGGTCACCGCGGGTCGCTCGAGTGCTACTTCTTCCGATTCTCATCCAAGGAGTGTGAGGCGATCGCTCTCAAGGCGCATCAGGCCTGGAAGGCTGCTGAGGAGAGGAAGCAGCAGGCTGCTGCCGAGGAAGAAAAGAAGAGGGTAGAAAGGGAGAGGGCAGAAAATGAGAGGGCAGAAAGGGAGAGGGCAGAAAAGGAGAGGGCAGGAAAGGAGAGGGCAGAAAAAGAGAGGGAAGAGAAGGGAGAGAAGGAGGTGGGAGAGAAGGAGGAGAGAGAGAAGGAGGAGGGAGAGAAGGAGGAGGGAGAGAAGGAGAAGGGAGACAAGGAGAGGGGAGAGAAGGAGAAGGGAGAGAAGGAGAAGGAAGCGGGAGGAGGGAAAACTGGAAAGGGTAGTGAGAGGAGGCTGCTACGCGCAGCAGATAGCACTGGGGGCGCTGAAACGGATGGTACTGAGAATGCGTCTTTGAGGAGCATAGAAAGCGTTGCTGATGATGGAAGTGATGGTGCTGATAGCACGGATGGTGATGATGGGGAGGAGAGTGCGGGGGGTGTGACGAACGAGGATGTGACAAACGAGGATGTGATTGTAGCGCAGCCGTGTGACAATGTGGCGTGTGTGGCGTCTGACGCTCTTGTGATATTCGCAACGCTGCCGGGGTTTGGTGTGGATCAAGGCTCGGAGGTCATAGCACAGCTCAATGCCACCGCAGCAGAGTGAGTGGGTGGTGCATGTGTGTGTGTGATATGCATGTGTGTGTGTGATATGCATGTGTGTGTGTGATATGCATGTGTGTGTGTGATATGCATGTGTGTGTGTGATATGCATGTGTGTGTGTGATATGCATGTGTGATCTCGTGATATTCTCAACGCTAGGGGGGTGGTTGGAGTGGATCAAGGCTCAGAGGTCATAGCACAGCTCAATGCCACCGCAGCAGAGTGAGTGGTGCAGGCTGTCTGTGGGGCAAGGCGTATCTGAAGAGCCCTCTGCCCAACGATGTGTTGGCGCATATAAGCACGCTCACTCACTTTTGAGAGTTGGGGCGTATAATAAGCACGCACCTTGGTGGGCAGAGGTGCTCTCTCGCACCAGCAGGCCATCTGACTGCTGTCTTTTTGTGTTTGAAATAGTGGTTTGAGACGGATCAAAACACTACTTCAAACAGCAGGCCATCCGACTGCTATCCTTTCGTGTTTGAAGTAGTGGTTTGGGACGTATCAAAACACTACTTCAAACAGCAGGCCATTCCACTGCTCTCCCTTACTCCTTCTCCTCTCCTCGTTTCTCCTCTCCTCGCTTCTCCTCTCCTCGCTTCTCCTCTCCTCGTTTCTCCTCTCCTCGTTTCTCCTCTCCTCGCTTCTCCTCTCCTCGCTTCTCCTCTCCTCGCTTCTCCTCTCCTCGTTTCTCCTCTCCTCGTTTCTCCTCTCCTCGTTTCTCCGCTCCTCTACTTTTCGCTGTGCAGCCCCTGGGGCAATGCATACCTGAAGAGCTCTCTCTCAAGCAGTCCTTCAATCTCTCTCTCAAGCAGTCCTTCAAGCTCTCTCTCAAGCAGTCCTTCAAGCTCTCTCTCAAGCAGTCCTTCAAGCTCTCTCTCTCTCTCTCTCTCTCTCTCCCTGTGAAGTGCGGCGGTTTGTGTTCTGAGACGTCTCAAAACTCATATCTGAAGATCTCTTTCCCTCTCTCCCTGTGAAGTGCGACGGTCAGTTAAGCTTCTTAAAAGCTTCTCAAAACTCATACCTGAAGAGCTCTCTCCTTGGTTGGAAGTTCGACGGTCTGTTAAGCTTCTTAAAAGTTTTCTCCTCCGCTCCTCTCCTTTCCGTCTTGCAGGCTGTGGGGCAAGGCGTATCTGAAGAGCTCTCTGCCCAACGAGGTGATGGGGCGTAAGAGTGAGGCCACACCGGAAGGGTCCTTGCCCCCACTGCAATGCACTCCGCCCCTCCCTCCCCTGCTCTTTTTCTTGCAGGCTGTGGGGCAAGGCGTATCTGACTTTTGAGTCGACTCAAAAGTCCCCTCCCTCCCCTGCTCTTTTTCTTGCAGGCTGTGGGGCAAGGCGTATCTGACTTTTGAGTCGACTCAAAAGTTCCCTCCCTCCCCTGCTCTTTTTCTTGCAGGCTGTGGGGCAAGGCGTATCTGAGGAGCCCTTTGCCCAACGAGGTGATGGGGCGTATGGGAGAGCACTCCAATGAATTCAAGAAGGTGGGTCGATGGGAGAGAGATATACTAGCACTCTTTAGGACTTGAGAAGGTGAGCAAACTTTTGAGTTGACTCACAAGGCAGCGCGTATGGGCGAGCACTCCAAGTTAATATGAGAAGGTGGGTTGACAGGAGAGATGAGTTTTGAGTCGACTCAAAACTCGACTCAAGATTCAGCACGTATGGGTGAGCACTCCAGGGAGGTCAAGAAGGTGGGTCGATGGGAGAGAGATATGCTAGCATTCTGAGGGGGACTTGAGAAGGTGAGCAGACTTTTCTGGACAAGGGAAGGAGCATACCCGAGCAGCCGTTTCCTCCGCACCATCTCCCTAACGAGGTGCTGGGGCGTAGGGCAAGCAGTCCAAGGGATATAAGAACGTGAGCAAGTAGGGCTCTCTGTTTATCGACGGGGAAGGAGCATGCCTGAGAAGCAGCCCTCTCCTCTGCACCCTCTCTTCAACGAACGAGGTGCTGGGGAGTAGGGCGAGCAGTCCAAGGAGTTTAAGAACGTGAGCAAGTAGGGCTCTCTGTTTATCGACGCAGAAGAAGCATGCCTGAGCAGCCCTTTTCTCCGCACCCTCTCTTCAGCGAGGTGCTGGGGCATATGGGCGAACACTCCAAGGGAGCATCTGAGGAGCCCTCTCCCCAACGAGGTGAGGTACTGGGGCATATGGGCGAACACTCCAAGGAGTTTAAGAAGGTGGGTCGACTATATTGGAGTCTCTTTTGAGAAGGTGGAGTGTGTATTGGAGAAGGTGGAGTGTGTCTTGGAGAAGGTGGAGTGTGTATTGGAGAAGGTGGAGTGTGTCTTGGAGAAGGTGGAGTGTGTATTGGAGAAGGTGGAGTGTGTCTTGGAGAAGGTGGAGTGTGTATTGGAGAAGGTGGAGTCTGTTCCCCCTCCCTTCCCCCTCCCGCCTCCCTTCCCCCACCAGGCGCACTGGTGGCGAGCCCAAGCAACGCACTTCATGCTTCATTCACCTCTGTTCTGCCCTCCTTCTGTGTGCGTCTGCCAATCCCCCCCTTCCCCTTCACCCACCAGGCGCACTGGTGGCGAGCCCAAGCAACGCACTTCATGCTTCATTCACCTCTGTTCTGCCCTCCTTCTGTGTGCGTCTGCCAATCCCCCCCTTCCCCTTCACCCACCAGGCGCACTGGTGGCGAGCCCAAGCAACGCGCTTCATGCTGCATTCGTTGTTCAGTGTGCGTCTGCTCATTCCCCCCTCCCCACCCTTCGCCTAACAGGCGCACTGGTGGCGAGCCCAGGCAACGCACTTCATGCTTCATTCACCTCTGTTCTGCCCTCCTTCTGTGCGCGTCTGCTAATCCCCCCCGCCCCACCCTTCCCCCACCAGGCGCACTGGTGGCGAGCCCAAGCGACGCGCTTCATGCTGCGGTGGCCGTCGGCCTACCTGTGCCACATCATCAACCGCGAGCGCCACCACGTGTACGGCATGCACGTGGCCCGCCAGGTCGTGGCGTCCCAGATGGACCAACGCACCCTACTGGCAGAGTATGGGAGGAACGGGAGGGGTACTGAGGAGCGACAGCTGCTGGCCTCTCAGATGGACCAACGAAGCCTTGTAGCAGAGTATGGGAGGAGTGAGAGGGGTTCTGAGGAGGAGAAAGGCTCCGAACCTCGAGAGGATGGGCCGGAGCTCCGGAGGAGGGGTAGGGTTTCTGGGGAGAAGCAGGAGGATGGTGAAGTTGGTGGGGAGGAGGTTCCAAGGGGGAGGAGGAGGTTGAAGGAGAGTGGGCTAGACCAAGGGAAGGAGGTTGGGCGATGGAGGGAGTTTGAACAGGAAGGTCAGCTGGAAATTGAGCCTTCCTCCTCCTCCTCTTCCTCCTCCTACTCTATTTCTGAGACGCCCCAACCCACTGGTGCTGCTGCTTCTTCGTCTTCTCCTGCTCCTGCTGCTGCTCCTTCAGCTCCTGCTGCTGCTGCTTCTTCGGCTCCTGCTGCTGCTTCTTCGGCTCCTGTGCCAGAGAGGCAGAGAGGCCTTGGTTTGGAAACGTGTGCGTGGCCTAAGTTGGGTTACCAGGGCTGCAGCTTAGGTGATGGCACTGCTGCTGATGATAGCAACAGCAGCAGCAGCAGCAGCAGCAGCAGCAGCAGAAGAAGCGGAGGGTTTGGAGATGTGGAAGGGGAGCGGCATGGTTGGGATCCGTATCTTGCGAACTACGAGGGGGTGGGAGGCGAGCCGTATATCCCGCGGCCGATCGTGAGCGTGCATGTGCGGCAGGGTGACAAGTCATTTGAAATGCGCCTCTTCTCCTTCTATGCCCTTATGTTCATGGCCAACCGCGTGCGACGGGAGGAGCCCGGTGTGCGATACGTGTGGCTTAGCACTGAGATGCAGGTGAGAGCGGGCATGAATAGTTTGTATATAAATGCACTCATGCGGCCCCACCGCATAGTTTGTATATAAATGCACTCATGCAGCCCCACCGCATGCACAGAGGGTATTGTTTGACCCTGACACGCCATACATGTGGCTTAGCACTGACATGCAGGTGAGAGAGAGGGGGGAGAGTATCAATTTCTAATTGTTTCTTTCTTTCCATGTTCTACAGAGTGTTGTGGACCAGTCGAGCCGATTCACAGACTGGACATTTTTCTACTCCAAGCTTCCGCGGCAAGGAGCTGGAACGAGAATGTCGGAATACACTGAAAAGTTTGGCCTGGCGCGTACAGTGGGGATAAGCTTCGCGAATCTTATTATTGCTTCTGAATGCGACTACTTTGTTGGGGTTTTGGCGTCGAATTGGAACAGGATGATCAACGAGCTCAAGAACACTAACGGACGCTTGTATAATGGGTATGTGTCTGTAAATAATGGGGAGTGGTGATTTGGTTTGACAGTGACTCTGTAGTATGAATGAAGATTGTACGGTAGTAGTGTCACACTCTATCATGACAACGCATTTTGGTAATGCTGTGCCACAATGTATCACGATGCTCATTACCATAATGTACGTACCTACCTGTAGTGTTTCCCATGATTTACAGACTTGCGAATTTAGCAAACTATATCTTGCTAGGTACATCATGACATGAGAAGCCACCATCACATTCTATCAACTGTCTGCAAACAATTCTCTTGACCTCCCTGCCTGCTTCCGTGCAACAAATTACTGTGCTTTTCTACCGTAATATCCTACGGTAAACTACTTTCTATTCTTCAATATTTTCCAAGATCCCTAGCTACAACATTTCCTGACAGCTCCCTAACTAACTTGCCATTTCTCTTCTCCGTGTGCGTGCTTGGCATGGCAAACACTCCCCCTCTTGACTCTCCCCTCCAGCAACTTTCACCACAGCAGGACCAAATGGCCCATATAGAAGGTCGATTCGGAAGGTGGCGCTGCTGCTTGTAGTGGTGGTTCTACTAGCTCTCATCTTTTGAACTCTGTGTGCGTGCTTGGCAAGGCAGGCACTCTCCCTCTTGACTCTCCGCTGCGGCAGCCTTCACCACAGCAGGACCACTAGGGCCGTATAGAAGGTCAATGCGGAAGGACTGAGGCGCTGCTGATGCTGCTGTTGCTGCTACTGATGGTGGGGGTGCTGCTGATGTTGTTGCTGGTGGCGCTGCTGCTGCTGCTGCTGGCGTTGCTGGTGATGCTCCTGGCGCTGCTCCTTGTGCTGGTCTTGTTGCTTCAGCTGGCAATGCTACTTCACTCAACGTGGCTGTTCCTGCTGCTGCTGGCAAATCTGTTCCGGATTTTCCTTCCGGTGCTGCTGAAGCAGCAGGCGTGGTGACAGCAGACTGTTTCTCCTTCAAGTCTCCACCAGCAGCAGCAGCTCCCAACGCTACTCTGGGGGCAACAGTGGCTTGAAGCACGAACAGTTGCCACTTGGCATCTGATTGAAGGTTGTAAAGGAGGGTGCTCCTGCCGCCTACAAGACAGTTGATATGAGATTAGATGGGAGGATAGGATGGAGTGAGGGATGGATAGACGGACGGACGGACGGACGGACGGACGGACGGACGGGCGGGCGGGCGGGCGAGCCGGCGGGCAGACAGACAGACAGACAGACAGACAGACAGACAGACAGACAGACAGACAGACAGACAGACAGACAAAACAACAAACAGATAGATGGACGGACGGACGGACGGACGGACGGACTGACTGGCTAACTGACCGACGGACTGACTAACCGACTGACTGACGAACTGACCGACTGACTGACTGACTAATGGGGTGAGTGAGTGACTGACTGACTCTGACGGACTATCTATCTGACGAATTGACTTACTGACCATGCGTCCTATCGCGCGGAGGTGAAACAGCGCTGAGCCCTGCGGACCCTCCACAGGAAACGTCGCGGAAGCTGCGCGTCCGCCATGGGATGTACCGATTGTAGCGGTATACCAGGGACCTCGCGTCAACGGCGATCCGATCGCCGCCTTCAGCTGCTCGTTGTGATTTGCCACCTCCAATGCCTCACTGTCCTGACAACGGGATGAGAGCGGTGGGGTGGGGTGGGGTGGGGTGGGGTGGGGTTGGATGGGATGAGAGGAGTGGGAGATACCGATTGTAGCGGTATACCAGGGAGGACCTCGCGTCAACGGCGATCCGATCGCCGCCTTCAGCTGCTCGTTTCGATTCGCCACGTTCAATGCCTCACTGTCCTGACAACGGGAGGGACAAACACACGACAGCAGGAAAGATATCAAAGGTAACCTTGTTACAATGCCACACGGTACTGATGGTGGCGCTGTATCAGGGACTTCGCCTCAACGGCGATCCGATCGACCAATGGTGGCGCTGTAGCTGGTCATTCCGATTCGCGACCCCAATGTCTCACTGTCCTGACAACGACCGAGATAGAATATGGTCATGACACGCGCGACGCGTAAAAAGTAGGCCGCTCTTCCTTTCTGGTGTGGAAAGAGCTCCCTTGGGCTGCTCGTTCTGCTTCGCGACCGCGAATGCCTCGCTTTCCGGGAGGATAATCGACAATCCTACGGCTAAGAAAGGCTACTGAAAAATCCACGGTTAAGAGGAGATGATCAGCGATATTACGACTAAACATATAAATGCGATCCAACGGCTCAGAGGACATAAGAGGTGATCCAACGGCCACCTGCTGCATCGGTAGAAGAGCAGCGCATCATCCGCGACGCTGTAAGTAACGCCGAGAGTCGCACCGGCAAGGATCGCAGCTCCCGCGATCCGCGGCCAAGGCCACCTCGATCGTGCCGCGCTTCGCAGAGGCTTACTGGCGGCCATGGAGAGGCGAGCTCGTCGCGGTTGACGTCACCGTTCAGTTGACGGAACGATCGTTGTACGGAGTCGACGCTGCGATCGTCGCTGTCGTTGACGGTCGCAAATACGAGGGATGCGCGATCGTGAGAGACTATCGCAGCTACTGAGGCTTGAAAAATATGCACCTTGAAACATATGCAGTTCCTTGACCATTCGACTTGCCCCAAGGAATTCCTGACAAACGAAACAGTAATTGTCAGGAACTGTTACAAACTCGGAAAACATTTTGGAACGGTTACAAAACGGTTGAGCACGATAATGAGCAATCTTAAACGGTTCATTGCTTCATGGATACCCGCTAAAGAAGCGCCTTGTCTGACACTCTATCGCTTGTAATAATCTAGATATGCGGGTTAGTCTCAGCTACAAAGGCTAGAATTAGTGTTGGATCATATGGAAAAATATGGCACGAGTTTTAACATTCAGAACCTGATGGATGGTGCCATACAATATTCATGCATCGTGTGCACCTATTTTGGCCTTTATATCAAGAGAACCAGCCCATGTAATGAATGAAGACCGCAATAACGAGGATAATGATGGAGGCCAGAAGCACTGGCCGTTGCAGCAGCCAGCGCACCGCCTCCTGAAATCTTGCTGCAGCCGTTTGTGCCTTCTGGGCAAATTTCATCTGCAAATGTGACAAAAAAGTGGAGCAGAGAGGGGTTTAGCGAGGTGGGGAGGGGGGCAGTGGCAAATTTCATCTGCTCGACCCATAAGCTCTGCTGTGCACAGTACACTCCCTATTCACTGCCACACACAGCAAACTGTTCCCCTCTCATCGCCGTAACCAGTGTCCCTTCTTACCACAGTGGCGAGCCTCTCAAGCCCCAGCCCTTGCATCATGCGCTTGGCATGCTCTGCCTGCACCACGGACATGCTCTGCCCCATGCGCACTTACTACCTTTCCATGTCAGACACACACCCTACACCACCACTTACCACCGTAGCCAGCCGCTCAGGTCCCAGCCCCTGCATCATGCGCTTGGCCTGCTCTGCCTGCTCCACGGACATGCTCTGCCCCATGCGCACTTATTACTTTTCCAATAGCAAACACGCACCCTACACCACCACTTACCACCGTAGCCAGCCGCTCAGGGCCCAGCCCTTGCATCATGCGCTTGGCCTGCTCTGCCTGCTCCACGGACATGCTCTGCCCCATGCGTGAGCTCATGGCGGCGATGTCCTCTGCACTCAGCTGCTGCATCATGTCGCTCATCAGCTGGGGGGAAGGGGGTTGGGTGCGGTGCAGTGGGGTGGGGAAGGGTGGGGTGGGGCATACGATTCATCCACCCATCTGCTCTGCCTACTCCACGGACATGCTCTGCCCCATGCGTGAGATCTGGTTGCAATGTCCTCCGCGCTCCTTCCCCACTGAAGCCAACGCCCATCAGGGTACGGCTGTCCCCGAAACGGGGCACGCGCATATGGTGATCGATGGGGGTTTTTGCGGAGCACTGCACAGCCGAGTATAATGCTGCTTACTCGAAGCGCCTACCCCTCAGGGGGCCTGGGTTCCTCCAGGGATCTCCTTAAGCCCAAAAAAAAAAAAAAAAAAAAAAGTCCTCTGCGCTCAGCTGCTGCATCATGTCGCTCATCAGCTGGTTGAGAGGAGTTGGGTGGGGTGCGGTGGGTTGGGGAAGAGTGATGACGGTACAGGTAGGGGGAAAAGAGCAGAAGATTCGTGCACACTCCACTCCACCGACATGCTCTGTCCCATGTGTGAGCTCATGGCTGCGATGTCCTCTGCACTCGACTGCTGCATCATGTCGCTCATCAGCTGGAGGGGTGTGTGTGGGGTGTGGTTATAGGAGGACAGATGCGACAGATGGGATGAAGCCCCTTCTGAGGCGCCTAAAAAATGGGACAGATGGGGTGAAGCCCAAATCTGGCCTCACCTTCACAGTGGAAGGGTCGTTCAACAGCCGTTCCTGCAGCTGCATCGGGTCCAATCCCCCGCCGACACCTGGCGCCGGCATCCCAGCAGCTCCCATCCCTCCTCCACTGAACCCCCCCCCTCCTGCTGCCCCCCCTGCTGCCTCAGCTTCTCTCCCAAATCCTGGAGGCATGCCAAACGTGGTCTCTGTAACAAGAGCAGGAGCAGCAGCAGCAGTAGCAGCGGCATTAGCTGTGCTTCTGCTGCTCGCACTCCCCGTTGTGGGAGTCAGTACAGGATCGGAATCATCGCTGCTGCTCCCTCTGCTGCCACTGCCGCCGCCGCTACAGCCAACACCACCCGCTGCCCTTCCTGCCCTCCTTCCCCCAGCCACCCCTGCTGACCCAGCCCCCCCTGCTCCTCCTGCTCCCTCTGCTCCCCCCGTTCCCGCTACACCCCCTGCCCCTGGCCCCCCAGGAACCCCACCCCCAGCTTGGCTGAAGGTCGAAGCAAGGCGCATCATCTTCTGAAGGTCTTCCGGGGACATGGAGCCCACGAGCTGCGCTGCAGTGCGGGCCATTTCGGGGGATAGGGTGCCGCCACTCAGCGCCGCCACTGCTGCTGGATCCATGCTCGTCATCATCGCCTGCATGTTGCTGGGGGGAGGGGAAGGCGGAGGGAAGGAGAGGGGGGGGGAGAGGAGGGGAGGCGGGGAGAGGCACGGGCGGAGGCGGAGAGGAAAGGGGGAGTGAGCGGAAAGGGAGGAGGTGTGCAGGCAAGTCAAGGCGCATCAATTTCTGAAGGTCTTTCGGGGGCTAAGGTGCCGCCACTCAGCCCCGCCACTGCTGCTGGATCCATGCTCGTCATCATCGCTTGCATGTTGCTGGGGGAAGGGGGGTGTGGTTGGGAAGCGAAGTGGTATGAGTCCAAACGAAGTAAGTGTCATGGTGTGTGCATTTCCACCTACATTTGTCCTTGAGAATTCTCATAAACGACCTGAAAAAAAACACATGGAGTGAGAATTCTCAGAAATTCTCAGAAACATGAAAATGGCCTTTTAGGGTTGCCATTGCTGCTGGATCCATGCACAACTCACCGCACGAGAGCAGGGTCCGTGGCAGAGAGATCAGGAGACACCATGCATTACCATACACTACCACATGGTTACCGCATGCTACCATTTCGCACCATGCACAACTCTCCGCACGAGAGCAGGGTCCGTGGCAGAGAGATCAGGAGACATGGTGGGCAGTGGGCACCAAGGGAGGGATGAACAGCGGATTGTCGCCCACTGCTGCTGCCGCTGCTGGTTGTGCTTCTGCTGTGGAGATGCTGGAGGCATGAGAAAGAATCAGTATTCAACACTCACCGCACGAGAGCAGGGTCCGTGGCAGAGAGGTCAGGAGACATGGTGGGGACCAAGGGAGGGATGAACAGCGGATTGTCACCCACTGCTGCTGCCGCTGCTCCTGCTGCTGCTGGCACTGCTGGCTGTGCTGGTGCCACTGATGCTGCTGTTAGCATGACAAGGCATGAGGGTTTGCAACTCACCGCACGAGAGCAGGGTCCGTGGCGGAGAGGTCAGGAGACATGGTGGGGACCAAGGGAGGGATGAACAGCTGATTGTCACCCACTGCTGCTGCCGCTGCTCCTGCAGCTGCTGGCACTGCTGGCTGTGCTGGTGCCACTGATGCTGCTGTTAGCATGACAATGCAAGAGGCTTTGCAACTCACCGCACGAGAGCAGGGTCCGTGGCGGAGAGGTCAGGAGACATGGTGGGCACCGAGGGAGGGATGAACAGCGGATTGCTTCCCACTGCTGCTGCTGCCGCCGCTGCTGGTTGTGCTTCTGCCACTGATGGTGAAACTACCGCTCCAGAAGCAGAGGAGACAGCAGACGATGGAGCAGGAGCATCGTCGCCCTCATCGATGTCCTCCAGAGAAACTGCAGCAGGCAAGGGAAGGATGGGCGGGGGGGCAAGAAGGCGGGAGAAAGAAAGCAGCAGGGTGTGGGGAGGGAGTCCGAGCAGCAGACGATGGAGCAGGAGCATCGTCGCCCTCATCAATGTCCTTCAGAGACACTGCAGAAGGCATGGGAAAGACGGGCGGGAGGAAAGAAGGAGCAGGGTGTGGGCCGAGCAGCAGGGTGTGGGGACGGAGACCGAGCAGCAGGAGAGGCAGCAGGAGAGGCAGCAGGAGCATCGTCGGCCTCATCGATGTCCTCCAGAGAAACTGCAGCAGGCAAGGGAAGGATGGGCAGGCAAGCAGGAGGGGGAAAGAAAAGCACAGGATGTGGGAATTGAGAATGAGAGGAAGGAAGAAGGTGGGGAGCAGGAAGGGAGGGAAATTGGGAAATTGATTCAAGAAAGAGAAATCTAAACGGGAGAGGGGTGAAATCAGGTGAGAGGGAAGCAAGTGCACTGTTCAAATATATATACATCACACTATCTGCACCTGCAGTATCAACCAGCATACCTTTCTACTTTGTAGCTTCCAGTGCTGCTTTGGTTTCTCTGAATGCAGTTGACTTTTGAGTCGACTCAAAAGTCAAATATATATACATCACACTATCTGCACCTGCACTATCAACCAGCATACCTTTCTCCTTTGTAGCTTCCAGTGCTGCTTTGGTTTCTCTGAATGCAGTTGACTTTTGAGTCGACTCAAAAGTCAAATATATATACATCACACTATCTGCACCTGCACTATCAACCAGCATACCTTTCTCCTTTGTAGCTTCCAGTGCTGCTTTGGTTTCTCTGAATGCATATGAATACATAGGAAGGGACGTATACAGAAGGGGAGGAGGAAAGAGAAAATCTAATAAGCGACACAGCGGATTGGGCGGGGGAGAGAGAAAACGGTGAATGGAGAAAGAAAGAGAGAATCTAATAAGCGACACAGCGGATTGGGCGGGGGAGAGAGAAAACGGTGAATGGAGAAAGAAAGAGAGAATCTAATAAGCGACACAGCGGATTGGGCGGGGGAGAGAGAAAACGGTGAATGGAGAAAGAAAGAGAGAATCTAATAAGCGACACAGCGGATTGGGCGGGGGAGAGAGAAAACGGTGAATGGAGAAAGAAAGAGAGAATCTAATAAGCGACACAGCGGATTGGGCAGGGGAGAGAGAAAACGGTGAATGGAGAAAGAAAGAGAGAATCTAATAAGCGACACAGCGGATTGGGCGGGGGAGAGAGAAAACGGTGAATGGAGAAAGAAAGAGAGAATCTAATAAGCGACACAGCGGATTGGGCGGGGGAGAGAGAAAACGGTGAATGGAGAAAGAAAGAGAGAATCTAATAAGCGACACAGCGGATTGGGCGGGGGAGAGAGAAAACGGTGAATGGAGAAAGAAAGAGAGAATCTAATAAGCGAGAATCTAATAAGCGAGAATCTAATAAGCGACACAGCGGACATCTCTCTTAACGCTCTTCCCCCCTTGTGACCTCACACCCCCCCACCTCTTTCCCAGTGCATGCTTGCTTGCTTGCGTGCTTGATACGGATGCCAATCAGGAAACAGGGATTGCTCTGTGAGTGCCTGCACCCCACCTGAGTACCCCTGTCAGCGTTTCATCATCCGGTGAGATCTCCGCTGCTTTAGACAGGTCTGCTGCTGCCTCCTGCACAGAGGAAAGGACGGGTGGATGGCAAAGAAGAGAAGCACGGATATTGAGGAGCCTAAAAAAGCTGCTGCTTTTTGAGAAGCACAGATCTGAGCCGCTTTAGACAGGTCTGCTGCGGCCTCCTGCACAGAGGAAAGGACGGGTGGATGGCAAAGGGAGGCAGCAGCAATTCAACAAGTAATGTTACATGTCTCAACTCAATAACACCTTAGGCACCATCCCGTGAGATCCGTGCTGCTAAGGATAGGTCTGCTACTACTGCCTCCTGCACAGAAGGACGCTAACAAAGCGTTTCGAAACTGATAAAATCCAACCATCGTACTTGCCGCATCTCAACTGAAGGGACGCAATTTCTGAGCGGTTCGTGCCTTCATTCTACTCTTCCTGTATTCTAAACCGGGCACTTACTTCGCTCCCTGTATTCAGAACCCCGAACTCACTTTCAACTGCCCAAGCTCCTTGTAAGCCAGTCCTCGTCTGTACAGCGCCTTGAGGTTAGACCCATCTTCGGAAATCACCTGGGTAAATAGTCATGGAAAAAGACTAACGGGTGGCGTACAAAGTTGAATCGGAGAAAAATTGTGCAGAGCAGATTACCATGCGCGATCCAACTGCAGTGATGAGAACATAGCGAGTACCGCTGTTGTTCTTTTGCTTAAGCCTAGACTACACGACTGCTGCTCTCTGAGACTTATGACTGAACATCGCAGAGCTGATTACCATGCGCGATCCAACTGCAGTGACGAGAACAACACTGGTTTGTCTCATTGGAAAGCCCACCTAAGAGACAACAAAGAACCACCTGAGAGCCAACAGAGAACAACCTGAAAGCCAAAACAGAACCACCTGAGAGCCAACAAAGGCTCACCTGAGTGCCAACAGAGACAGCATGGGCAAAGGCGTTGGTCTTGAGGTGACAGGACATAAGGTTGACTGCACACGTGCGCCGCAGCGACACCGCTGCTGGGGACGAGTGCATGGCTAGATTGTCCCGTGCCTGGGAAGGAGTGAAGGGGAGAGAAGGGAAGAGACGGCACTGGGTGATTGCGTGGGGGATGGCAGAGAGCAGGGCAGCGAGGGGAAAGGAGTTGGTCTTGAGGTGGCAGGACATACGGTTGACTGCACACGTGCGCCGCAGGGACACCGCTGCTGGGGACGAATGCATGGCTAGATTGTCCCGTGCCTGGGAAGGAGTGAAGGGGAGAGAAGGGGAGAGGAAGGGAGAGCAAGCGGAGAGCACGCGGAGAGCGGGGCATCAAGGGGACAGGAGGTGGTGTTGCGGTGGCAGGTGATGAGGTTGAATGCACACGTGCGACACAGGGACACCGCTGCTGGGGATGAATGCATGGCTAGATTGTCCCGCGCCTGAGGAGGAGTGAAGGGGAGAGAAGGGGAGGGTAAGGGAGTGGAAGCAGAGAGCACGCGGAGAGTGGGGCAGCAAGGGGACAGGAGGTGGTGTTGCGGTGGCAGGTGATGAGGTTGACTGCACAGCACAGCATACGTGCGGTAGACAGAGCGGCATTGCTGCTGGAGATGAGTGCATTGCGAGGTTATCAATCACATGCCTCTGAACCGGATTGCCATCCCTCTGCATCCCTCTCAATCCCTTTGTTTATTAAAAGATGCACATACCTTCCTTCCTGGTACTTCCCTTCCAGCACTCTCTCCATGCGACGACACACGTTGCACTTCCCTGGACGCACTTCCCTGTTGCACTTCCCTGTTGCACTTCCCTGTTGCACTTCCCTGGACGCACTTCCCTGGACACACGTCCAAAGACTTTTGAGACGTCTCAAAAGACGACACACGTTGCACTTCCCTGTTGCACTTCCCTGGACACACGTCCAAAGACTTTTGAGACGTCTCAAAAGACGACACACGTTGCACTTCCCTGTTGCACTTCCCTGGACGCACTTCCCTGGACACACGTCCAAAGACTTTTGAGACGTCTCAAAAGACGACACACGTTGCACTTCCCTGTTGCACTTCCCTGTTGCACTTCCCTGGACGCACTTCCCTGGACACACGTCCAAAGTCCTCCCCATACCCCCCCTCTCACCATGCCACAGACAGACATACCCTGTTATACTTCTCTGCAGCTTCTGAGTACTTTCCCATCCCATGCAGCTTGTTGCCCTGCACATACACACAGATGTGGGAGGGAGAAAGGTAGGTAGAAAGCGTGTGGGGCCGAGGGGGCCAGCAGCCGAAAGCGGTTGAGGTGTATTAAGAGATATGATACATCTTTCCCATCCCATGCAGCTTGTTGCCCTGCACATACACACAGATGGGGGACGGAGAAAGGTAGGTGGAACGAGTGTGGGGCCGAGGGGTGAAAGCGGTTGTGTCTGCTTTTGAGTCAACTCAAAAGCACAGATGTGGGACGGAGAAAGGTAGGTGGAACGAGTGTGGGGCCAAGGGGTAAAAGCGGTTGAGGTGGGTGGGAGGGAGGGAGGAAGAGACTGGAGAGAAGTTGTTGGCTAAAACCTATGTTCACATGGCTCAAATTTCACCTATGTGGCACATACGAGGGCCAGCAGGGTAGCTCACATACGAGGCAACCACCCTGCGGCTGCTCCTTCTCCCGCTGCTGCTTTTCAAAGCACCCAAAAAGGACCAACGGGAAATCCAGAGCCACTAACCTCATTCTTAAGCATCGATGCCGCATTCAGCTCATACTGCTGCCTCTGGCTCATATACGATGGTATTTGATGGATTCTTAAGAACCCAATGGGAATGGGGAGCGTGAAGGCAACACCACTGACCTCATTCTTGAGCATCGTTGCGGCGTTCAGCTCATACTGCTGCCTCTGGCTCATATAAGAAGCCACATCCGGCAACCCTCCTGCTACTCCCCCTCGCACTCCCCCTCCCCCACCTCCCGCCGCGGCCCCTGAGATCCCCCCGCCAGCACCAGCGCCCATGGCGGAGGCGATCTGCTGGGGGCTGAGGTGCTTCATCTGCTCCGCTGCCCGCCGCATGTCCTCCGGTGACATGCGCCCCATCTGCTCCGTGGCCAGCCGAACCATGTCCGGGGTCATCATCTGAACAATAGGAGGGGGTGGAGGGAGGGGATTGAGGAGGGAGGGGTCTATTTGGCCTCAACCAAAGACTCCTCCGGTGACATGCGCCCCGTCTGCTCCGTTGCCAGCCGAATCATGTCTGGGGTCATCATCTGACCAGGAGGAGGGTGTGGAGGGAGGGGATTGAGGAGGGAGGGGTCTATTTGGCCTCAACCAAATACTCCTCTGGTGACATGCGCCCCGTCTGCTCCGTTGCCAGCCGAATCATGTCTGGGGTCATCATCTGACCAGGAGGAGGGTGTGGAGGGAGGGGATTGAGGAGGGAGGGGTCTATTTGGCCTCAACCAAAGACTCCTCTGGTGACATGCGCCCCGTCTGCTCCGTTGCCAGCCGAATCATGTCTGGGGTCATCATCTGACCAGGAGGAGGGTGTGGAGGGAGGGGATTGAGGAGGGAGGGGTCTATTTGGCCTCAACCAAAGACTCCTCTGATGACATGCGCCCCGTCTGCTCCGTTGCCAGCCGAATCATGTCCGGCGTCATCATCTGGATGGGTAGGCACCGAGGAGGGGGAGAGGGGGGCGGGGGGGGAAGGGTGGGGGGGAGAGGGGTGGTTGAAACTGAGAGGATGCGAAGAGCGAAACATGCGACTCATCTGCTCTGTGGCCAGACGAATCATGTCCGGTGTCATCATCTGCATGGGAAGGAGGTGACTTCTGAGTCGACTCAAAAGCTAGACGAATCATGTCCGGCGTCATCATCTGCATGGGAAGGAGGTGACTTCTGAGTCGACTCAAAAGCTAGACGAATCATGTCAGGCGTCATCATCTGCATGGGAAGGAGGTGACGTCTGAGTCGACTCAAAAGCTAGACGAATCATGTCCGGCGTCATCATCTGCATGGGAAGGAGGTGACTTCTGAGTCGACTCAAAAGCTAGACGAATCATGTCAGGCGTCATCATCTGCATGGGAAGGAGGTGACTTCTGAGTCGACTCAAAAGCTAGACGAATCATGTCAGGCGTCATCATCTGCATGGGAAGGCACGGGGGAGCCTCGAAACAGCTTGCGCTTTATACAACTGCCTCTTGACCGCAAGTCCGACTCGCCGCGTCATCTTATAGCGAGAAACAGGTGTGTTCTGAGACGAATAAAAAAACACACACAATTCTCACCTGCTGCATGCGTTGAATGTCTTGAGGAGACATGCGGCTCATCTGCTCCTGTGCCAGCCGAACCATCTCCGGATCCATGGCCGCCGGAGGAATCATGGCCGTCGGCTACGTCTGGCTGCACCAGTCCCGAAACGCGATGAATTCTGAAACAGCGATGTCACTTTTGAGAATCTCAAAAGTGACTCACGGGAGACGAATTTTGAAACGGTGGGATCACTCAAGGAAAATCTGGAGTGGGAGTTGAAGTTACGGTGCTCAAGGAAAAGTGTGCCCGATATTTGAAGTTCTGAATGAACGATGCAGTTAGGCTTTTCTGAGCGACGCCTTTCACGGCGCCATAAAACTGTCGCGAAGCGACATAAACTCGCGGTAGCAACTTCGCAGATGGAATCCAGTATTAACAGCTGGTGAAAGCCTGGTACTGTCAGCTAAACAAATGCCACGAGCTTCAGAATCTAGACGTAAGAGTAACTAAAGAACTGCTGGCCTAAGAATGTGCACGCGGGGGTGTCTGTTCAGTAACTGGGAGAAGCAGGATCATTGGAGGCTGCTCTGAATTAGACAGGCAGGAACCTCGGAAACACCGCTTTGTGCATCTTGATTCTCGATGATCGGATCAGAGTGTTGAATATGGATCTAGAAAACGCCGCAACTACAGTATGTGTACAGAACTGCTGACAGCGCGTGTCAGAGAATTGGAAGATGGATTCGCTATAGCACGAGGAAAACTATAGTGTTATCACAGTTAACCAGCATGGTACAGTCAGTGACACGATGAGGAGTTTGTGAGCTTCCTAATACAATGCTGCTTCAACTTCATCGTAGAGCATGGCAGGGCAATAGCAATAAGCAAACCTAAATTACCACTCGTCGTTGTTTAGCGACACGTACCCACTAAATAAGCGCCCATTGGTGTTCTTGAGCTCGTTAATCATCCTATTCCAATTCGACGCCAAGACGCCAACAAAATGGTCGCATTCCGAAGCAATAAGAAGGTTCGCAAAGCTTATTCCCACTGTACGCGCCAGGCCAAACTTTTCAGTGTACTCGGACATTCTCGTTCCAGCTCCTTGCCGCGGAACCTCGGAGTAGAAGAAAGTCCAGTCCGTGAATCGACTCGACTGGTCCACAACACTCTGCATAACCGCCACAAGCAACACGGAGCACACACATGATTCAGTCACCTGGGAATGCTTATACCCAACAACATGCATTTACGTGCTGTGGCCAACCCTCTACCCCCCTCACCTGCATCTCGTTGCTGAGCCATGCGTATCGCACGGCAGGAAATCCTCGCTGCACGTGATTGGCCATGAACACGAGGGCATAGAAGGAAAACAGCCATCGCCTCTCCCCTCACCTGCATGCTTCCCACCCTCTCCCCTGCACCCGCCTCTCCCCTGCACCCGCCTCTCCCCTGCACCCGCCTCTCCCCTGCACCCGCCTCTCCCCTGCACCCGCCTCTCCCCTGCACCCGCCTCTCCCCTGCACCCGCCTCTCCCCTGCACCCGCCTCTCCCCTGCACCCGCCTCTCCCCTGCACCCGCCTCTCCCCTGCACCCGCCTCTCCCCTGCACCGGCCTCTCCCCTGCACCCGCATCTCCCCTGCACCCGCCTCTCCCCTGCACCCGCCTCTCCCCTGCACCCGCCTCTCCCCTGCACCCGCCTCTCCCCTGCACCCGCCTCTCCCCTGCACCCGCTTCTCCCCTGCACCGGCCTCTCCCCTGCACCCGCCTCTCCCCTGCACCCGCCTCTCCCCTGCACCCGCCTCTCCCCTGCACCCGCCTCTCCCCTGCACCCGCCTCTCCCCTGCACCCGCCTCTCCCCTGCACCCGCCTCTCCCCTGCAACCGCCTCTCCCCTGCACCCGCCTCTCCCCTGCACCCGCCTCTCCCCTGCACCCGCCTCTCCCCTGCACCCGCCTCTCCCCTGCACCCGCCTCTCCCCTGCACCCGCCTCTCCCCTGCACCCGCCTCTCCCCTGCACCCGCCTCTCCCCTGCACCCGCCTCTCCCCTGCACCCGCCTCTCCCCTGCACCCGCCTCTCCCCTGCACCCGCCTCTCCCCTGCACCCGCCTCTCCCCTGCACCCGCCTCTCCCCTGCACCCGCCTCTCCCCTGCACCCGCCTCTCCCCTGCACCCGCCTCTCCCCTGCACCCGCCTCCCCCCTGCACCCGCCTCCCCCCTGCACCCGCCTCTCCCCTGCACCCGCCTCTCCCCTGCACCCGCCTCCCCCCTGCACCCGCCTCTCCCCTGCAACCGCCTCTCCCCTGCAACCGCCTCTCCCCTGCACCCGCCTCTCCCCTGCACCCGCCTCTCCCCTGCACCCGCCTCTCCCCTGCACCCCCCTCTCCCCTGCACCCCCTTCTCCCCTGCACCCGCCTCTCCCCTGCACCCGCCTCTCCCCTGCACCCGCCTCTCCCCTGCACCCGCCTCTCCCCTGCACCCGCCTCTCCCCTGCACCCGCCTCTCCCCTGCACCCGCCTCTCCCCTGCACCCGCCTCCCCCCTGCACCCGCCTCTCCCCTGCACCCGCCTCTCCCCTGCACCCGCCTCCCCCCTGCACCCGCCTCTCCCCTGCAACCGCCTCTCCCCTGCAACCGCCTCTCCCCTGCACCGGCCTCTCCCCTGCACCCGCCTCTCCCCTGCACCCGCCTCTCCCCTGCACCCGCCTCTCCCCTGCACCCACCTCTCCCCTGCACCCCCTTCTCCCCTGCACCCGCCTCTCCCCTGCACCCCCTTCTCCCCTGCACCCGCCTCTCCCCTGCACCCCCTTCTCCCCTGCACCCGCCTCTCCCCTGCACCCCCTTCTCCCCCCTCCTCACCTGCATCTCCGTGCTGAGCCACGCGTATCGCACACCGGGGAATCCCCGCCGGATACGATTGGCCATGAACATGAATGCATAGAAGGAGAAGAGCTGCATCTCAATCCCCTTGTCGCCCTGCCGCACATGCACACTCACTATCGGCCGCGGGACGTACGGCTCTGCTCCTTCCCCCCCCCCCCTGACTCCCCTCTCTCACCTAAACCTCTCTCCCCCTTCTACCCTGCGACCCCCTCGTCCCGCGCGCCCCTTCCCCCCCTTCACCTGCATTTCAGTGCTGAGCCACACGTATCGCACACTAGGATTCTCCCGTCGCACCCGATTGGCCATGAACATGAATGCATAGAAGGAGAAGAGCTGCATCTCAATCCCCTTGTCGCCCTGCCGCACATGCACACTCACTATCGGCCGCGGGACGTACGGCTCCCCTCCCACCCCCTCGTAGTTCGCAAGATACGCATCCCACCCGTACTGCTCCCCTTCCGAATTTCCTAAGCCTCCATTTCCATTTCCGCTTCTGCTGCTGTTGCTGCTTCTGCTGCTGCTACTACTGCTGTTGCTGCTGCTGCTGGCAGCTGCAGCGGCATTCCCTAAGCTGCAGCCCTGGTACCCCATCGCAGGCCATGCAGTTGTCTCCAAGCCAGGGCCTCTCTGCCTCAGTGCAACCCCACTCGAGAGTGTCATATCCCCTCGATCTTGGCTGGTTACTCTATCCCCTCGTTCTTCGCTGGTAACCATACTTCCTTGGTCTTGGTTGGCTTCTTTGGAACCAGATGCAGCAGAGGCAGGAGGAGAAGGCAGAGGCGTGTCAGAAGCAGAGGAGGAGGATGAAGACAGCCCAAGATTGAGCTCCTCTTGCTCTTCAAACTCCCTCCACTGGCCAACTTCCTTCTTGTCCTCAACCCCACTCTCCTTCACCCTCCTCCTCCTACTCCTCCTCCCAACTGCCTCTTCTCCAACATTACCGCCCTCCCTCCCTTCCCCAACCCCACTCCTTTTCACCCTCCTCCTCCTCCTCCGGCCACCCTCCCTCCCTCCCGACCCGAAGAAACGCTTTAAAGCTTTCTGGGGGAACCGAGAGGGCTTGCCTCTCCCCCACGACTCTCCCAGCATGCTTCTTTGCTCCATCTGGGACCCCAGCAGCTGCCGCTCTTCAGGAAGCCTGCCTCTGCCCTCAACCCCCCCCACCTCCTCAGCAGACTTGCTGCTCCCCCCGGCATCTCCCAGCAGGCTTCTTTCCTCCACCTGGGTCGCCAGCAGCTGCCGCTCTTCAGGAAGCCTGCCTCTGCCCCCAAACCCTCCCACCTCCCCAGCAGACTTATTGCTCTCCCGGGACTCTCCCAGCAGCAGCGTGCGTAGGTCCATGTGGGATGCTACGACCTGCCGGGCCACGTGCATGCCATACACGTGGTGGCGCTCGCGGTTGATGATGTGGCACAGGTAGGCCGACGGCCACCGCAGCATGAAGCGCGTCGCTTGGGCTCGCCACCAGTGCGCCTGGTGGGGGAAAGGTGGGGCGGGGGGGATTAGCAGACGCGCACAGAAGGAGGGCAGAACAGAGGTGAATGAAGCATGAAGTGCGTTGCCTGGGCTCGCCACCAGTGCGCCTGGTATTGCAGTACCAGGGGGGTGGAAGGAGGCGCGGGGGATGAGGGAAGGGAAGGAGGGAACGTGGTTGACCATTTGGCACAGGTAGGCCGACGGCCACCGCAGCATGAAGCGCGTTGCTTGGGCTCGCCACCAGTGCGCCTGGTGAAGTGGTGGGGAAGGGGAGACAGAGGGGAGGAGGGTGGGGTGGGAGAAGGGAGAGAGGTTGTGCCGACAGCACGGATGGAGAGGCACGTCGCCTGCTCCCTCCACCAGTGCACATCGGGTTGAGTCGACTCACAAGGCACCTTGGGTTGAGTCGAAACACAAGTCACGTCGGGTTGAGTCGACTCACAAGTCACGTAGGGTTGAGTCGACTCACAAGTCACGTAGGGTTGAGTCGACTCACAAGTCACCTCGGGTTGAGTCGACTCACAAGTCACCTCGGGTTGAGTCGACTCACAAGTCACCTCGGGTTGAGTCGACTCACAAGTCACCTCGGGTTGAGTCGACTCACAAGTCACCTCGGGTTGAGTCGACTCACAAGTCACCTCGGGTTGAGTCGACTCACAAGTCACCTCGGGTTGAGTCGACTCACAAGTCACCTAGGGTTGAGTCGTCTCACAAGTCACCTCGGGTTGAGTCGTCTCACAAGTCACGTCGGGTTGAGTCGACTCACAAGTCACCTCGAGTTGAGTTGAAAGGCACCACGTATTGAGGCGAACCAAAAGGCACCACGTATTGAGGCGAACCAAAAGGCACCACGTATTGAGGCGAACCAAAAGGCACCACGTATTGAGGCGAACCAAAAGGCACCACGTATTGAGGCGAACCAAAAGGCACCACGTATTGAGGCGAACCAAAAGGCACCACGTATTGAGGCGAACCAAAAGGCACCACGTATTGAGGCGAACCAAAAGGCACCACGTATTGAGGCGAACCAAAAGGCACCACGTATTGAGGCGAACCAAAAGGCACCACGTATTGAGGCGAACCAAAAGGCACCACGTATTGAGGCGAACCAAAAGGCACCACGTATTGAGGCGAACCAAAAGGCACCACGTATTGAGGCGAACCAAAAGGCACCACGTATTGAGGCGAACCAAAAGGCACCACGTATTGAGCGACTCAAGAGCCACCTCACCTTCTCGAGGAACTCGGAGTGCTTGCTCATACGCCCCATGACCTCGTTGGGCAGAGGGTGCAGAGGAGACGGCTGCTCTGCTCAAGTGTGCTCCTTCCCTTGTGTAGCAACACTGCTTACCTTCTTGAGGAACTTGGAGTGCTTGCTCATACGCCCCATCACCTCGTTGGGCAGAGGGTGCAGAGTAGACGGCTGCTCTGCTCAAGTGTGCTCCTTCCCTTGTGTAGCAACACTGCTCACCTTCTTGAGGAACTTGGAGTGCTTGCTCATACGCCCCATCACCTCGTTGGGCAGAGGGTGCAGAGTAGACGGCTGCTCTGCTCAAGTGTGCTCCTTCCCTTGTGTAGCAACACTGCTCACCTTCTTGAGGAACTTGGAGTGCTTGCTCATACGCCCCATCACCTCGTTGGGCAGAGGGCTCTTCAGATACCCCTTGCCCCAGAGACTGCAGATCAGAGAGGGGAAGTTGGGGAGACGTGAGGAGGGGATGAGAGTGAGAGAGCCTGCTCATACGCCCCATCACCTCGCTCTTCAGATACACCCCTCGAAGTTCGACCCCCCATCCACACCACACCAATCCCGGGGTTTAAGTCGACTAAAAAACCGGGAGATCAAGTTCGACCTCCCATCCACCACACCAATCCCCGGGGTCGCTGGGAAGAAGGTCACTAGAGCATCCGAGCCCAGGGACCTCTCATGGTCACACGAACTCGTTATAATCACACAGTTGCACATGCATCATTCCTTTGTCATAAAACCCTACATCACTCACTCTGCAGCGGGCACGTTGAGCTGGGAGATGAAGTTGGACCCTCCATCCACACCACATGAAACCCTGACATTCTTGAAAAGTGCGCTCTAACCTTCCATCCTACCGCCCCCTCCCCCCACACATGCGCCACTCACACGTTGAGCTGAGAGATGAAGTTCGACCCTCCATCCACACAACATGAAACCCTGACATTCTTGAAAAGTGCGCTCTAACCTTCCATCCTACCGCCCCCTCCCCCCACACATGCGCCACTCACACGTTGAGCTGGGAGATGAAGTTCGACCCTCCATCCACACCACACCAAACCCCGGGTTCGCTGGAAAGATCACATCAGAGCATCCCATAGAACACACATGGTCACACATGGATTCGTTGTAATCACACACACACTCACTCTGCAGCGGACACGTTGAGCTGAGAGATGAAGTTCAACCCTCCATCCACACCAAACCCCGGCGTTGCTGGGAAGATCACGAGAGCATCCGAACCCATAGAACACACATGGTCACTCATGGATTCGTTGTAATCACACACACACTCACTCTGCAGCGGACACGTTGAGCTGAGAGATGAAGTTCGACCCTCCATCCACCCCAAACCCTGGCGTTGCTGGGAAGATCACTAGAGCATCCGAGCCCAGACACCCCACACCGTCACATGGCTCCGCTACAATCACATCCTCGTTTGTCACGTCTCTTTTGAACTCCTTGTTATTATCACCAGTCCCATCAGCACCATAAGTTGTATTATCAGCATGAGACACCTCAGCATCCCCAGTCTTATATTCTGCTTGCAAAAGCCTCCTCCCACCACCGTTTCTAACTTTCTCCCCTCCTTCCTCCTTTGAATCTCTCGCTCCTCCTTTACCACTGCCTCCTCCTCCTCCTGGTGCTTGCTCCTCTCCCTTGCCATTCTCTTCCCTCTCTTTTTCTCCCCTCTCCCTTTCTTCCCTCTCCTTCTCCTCGGCAGCAGCCTGCTGCTTCCTCTCCTCAGCAGCCTTCCAGGCCTGACGTGCCTTGAGAGCGATCTCCTCACACTCCTGGGAGGAGAACCGAAAGAAGTAGCAGTCGAGCGACCCGCGGCGGCCCAGCTCTGAGACAAGGCAAACGGGGCGAGGAGGAAAGTCACGTATTGCAATCCAAGCGTGTGGGTGTGGGTGGAGGGGAGGGGACAGAGTGGGGGGCGCTTGGGTGGGGAGGAGGGAAGATTGTGTGTGTCTCGTGCCTGATCAGCCTCTCAAGGTACTCTTTATCACATTCCTCATGGTCAGCCTGATACTACTCAAGTTAGTCCACTACGCTCACTAACTCACGCACTCACCCACCAACTGACTGACTCACTCCCTCACTCACCCACTACTTACTCACTCACTCACTCACCTACTGAATGACTTACTCATGCACTCACCCACTGGCTGACTTACTGATAGAACGACTAACCAGCTCGTTTACTCACTCCCACTCACTCTCGCATTCCTCATGGTCTGCCTGCGGCAGAGTGCCGGGCATGAGCACGAGAGTCCTGTTGTGCAGCAAGGCCGCACTCAGCACAGCGCCCATCACGTGCAGCTGCGACCCTATCCCGTGCCACCCCATGCTCCCTCCCTCCCGCGTTTTCTCACTCACTCACTCACTCACTCTCCAATTGACTGACTGCTAGAATGACAACTAGCTCACTCCCTCCTTCCCCTCCTCCCTCCCTCCCTCCCTCCCTCACCCCCTACCTCCCTCCCTCCCTCCCTCCCTCACTCACTCTCGCATTCCTCGTGGTTTGCTTGGGGCAGAGTGCCGGGCACGAGCACGAGAGTCCTGTTGTGCAGCAAGGCGGCACTCAGCACAGCGCCCATCACGTGCAGCTGCGACCCTATCCCGTGCCACCCCATGCTCAGCCACTCCACCAGCATCACCCGCCGCCCCTTGCACTGCCTGGGCGGGAACTGCTGTCGCCATATGTCAGCTTGTGCTTGCCGGGTAGCTGCCAGGTTGCCAGCGTCGGAGCCTCGGATCTGCAGGAGGGGTGGTGGGCAGGGAAGAGAGGTGGTGGGTTAGGAAGAGGGGTGGTGGGTAGGGAAGAGGGGTGGTGGGTAGGGAAGAGGGGTGGTGGGTAGGGAAGAGGGGTGGTGGGTAGGGAAGAGGGGTGGTGGGTAGGGAAGAGGGGTGGTGGGTTAGGAAGAGGGGTGGTGGGTAGGGAAGAGGGGTGGTGGGTAGGGAAGAGGGGTGGTGGGTAGGGAAGAGGGGTGGTGGGTAGGGAAGAGGGGTGGTGGGTAGGGAAGAGGGGTGGTGGGTTAGGAAGAGGGGTGATGGGTAGGGAAGAGGGGTGGCGGGTTGGCAGTGCTGCAAGGTACCCAGTGCGCTGTTCCGAAGTGAGGAGCGGCAGATAGGACAGAAAAACAGCTTACCCGATATCCTTATTGTTACCCAGAAAAACAATGCTGAAAATAACAAATGGAACGCACGGCCAACATGCAGAATCATGTAACAGACAGCTAAAGCACAGCCCAGCACCGCACTGCACTGCACCGCACAGGATGCAACTCTCACCCAGGGGGGTTGGGGCACGTTGCCGCATGCAGGGTTGGGAACAGCCCAGAAGGGCGGCTCCCCCCGCTTCCCCCATTTCTCCGTGGACAAGCGGAAGGCTGTGCGCGCCTCACAGTCCTCCAGGTGAGGCGCGGGGGGGACGTCCGGGGGAAGCGAGATGGCGGAAGGGGGGAATGTATTCTCCCTGCAGCCCGTAGGCGCTGTCCCAGTGCTGGTTGCGGGAGGAGGGAGGGGTGATTTTTTCCGGGGGGACAAGAGGAGGAGGATTAGAGTGGAGGAGAACATCAGGGAGAAAAGAGATGGAGGGGGTTGCGGATCCCCTCTATGTTAAAAGGGATCAAACGGCGGGTGCGATAAGAGGAGACTCCTTCTGTCTAGGAAGTATGAGTGAGTTGGTTGGAGTGAGGGGGGGGAGAGGGAGGGGGTGAAGGGGAAGAACGGCTGGGGTGGGGAACACTGGGGAGTAGGGACTGACCGAGGAGATAGATTATGGGCTGACCGAGGTTGCAGGTTTATTCTTCGTTCACAAATGCTTGCTACAGGCTGTAACGCAGATCCGCGGTACAAGCATACCTGGTACAAGGTTCGGACAGCCTCCGAAAACGGATCTTCCTCGGAGGGCTGAACCGGGGCCGCTGCTCTGACGAATCGTGCGGGGAGCGCAACGGTCATAAGTAGAGGGATCACAATCGACACGTGGAGGAGGGTCATGGTCACACGAGCCGCGATCGTACTGTGACAGACCATATTTCTTGGCTACGACGACCGTGAGGTTACGAATTAGTTTTTGCGACGTCTCAAAACGTCAATGTACTGTACTGTGACGGATGCTTATATCTGGCTACGACGGACCGTGACGGTGCGAATAGTAGCCGACCACGTCCCGCTGTGTGCGGCTAAATGCGAACCACCGTCGCTCGGACCAAATACGGACTAGCGACAATGGCCGACGCAGCTACGAAACAGCTACGGATTCTTGGGTTCAGCGAACAAAGTTCTGCGATAGAATTTCTTTCGGACATAGTGAGCATACACCACGCTTAATCTGGACTGCGGATCAGCTTGACAGCAAAGGAGGCACCCCAACTGACGGGTTATTGATAAACAGGAAACCGAGTTTTCCTGGGATATTTGGTGCTTTTAGGGTATCAACAAGGTCGGATCCGATTATTTCTGGTTGTTCGCCGGCTGCATTGGGAAGCAAAACGTCTATCAGCACTCATTCAGTGCCGCAAAACGTGGAAATAAGATGTTTGCGTGAAACAAATCTACCAATGTTACGAACGTCATTTACTCAGAAGGCGCATTCCATGGTAAAGCGTTTCGAGCAGTCGTCTGACGCGACTCGTCTTTCGCACTAACTAGGTTCTAGGAATGTCCATTGCTGGCACTTAGGATCTGGGTTGGTTTAAAGCCGGCGGCCCAAATTGTTCATGCTTTTAAAAGTTGACCAGAGGGAGTTTTTCTGGTGTGGGCTTTGGCGAGAGTTTCCGATTTCGTCTAGGTTCGTTTTTTTCGCGAGACCCAGCCAACCCTCGGTTTTCCCCCTGGTGAGTGAATCTGTCTTCGAAAGTCCCAAATTGCAAGTGCGTGACTTTCAAAAGCTTGGACACTCAACTTCGTCAAGTTTTAAAAACTTGACCCTCGCGGCCCGCAATTTGGGACGCGGGCTTTAAAAACTTGACCCTCGCGGCCCGCAATTTGGGACGCGGGCTTTAACGGAAAAGAGGTATAACCTGATCTGCCAATCAGGAAATGTGAAAGTAGTCACCTGATGCGTTGGAGTGAAGTCTTGGGTAGACTTGTGGATTCTGGCTGACTGAGAGAAGATGCTCTATACAGTATGTTGCACGTCAACCTCGAGAAGACTTGCCGACGAGCCACATCTAGGGATTGCCGAAAACGGCACTTGCTCCCGCATGTAGCTGGAGACTCTTCTGCAAGTTACTTGAGACTAGCAAAGTCATGCGTGGTTGTTTCACTGTCGCGAACTAATGCTAACTTTCGCAACTCGGAGAGACGCGCAAACTAAGGCTCCGCGAATCTGCACGAATTAATGAAGAAGCTGTTACGAACCCGCAAAGCAGGTTGTGCATCGCAATCGATCGCTACAAGCTCAGAGTATCAAGCAGTCTCAGCAGCACAGCTGTGAATATACAGTGGGAAATGGCGTTTCATATGAAATAAACAGGCCAACATACTTTCCTAGAACCACAAGGCACAGGCTTAGTATGGTGTATGATATAACAGGCGCTACTTACTGCACACTGTAACATATTTATATAATATCAGATAGAATTCCATATTATCCACCCATAGCTTCCTGCTGTGACCTTGTAATCTCCCTGACTGAATGATTCATCCCCTCACTCCCTCCCTACTCCACTCTCTTCCTCGCTCTCCTCCCTCCCTATTCCACTCTCTCCACCTCATCCCCTCCCTTCTTCCACTCTCTCCCCCTCAATCCCTCCCTTCTTACACTCTCTCCCCAACCCACTCCCTGTTCCAACCACCAATGGCGCTTCCTGAATCTTTACAGGATCGTCTCCCAATATTTCCTGTCCGGCAGAAATCGGCATCAGGCAAGAGGACGAAAGAGTGAGGCTCAGTTCGCCGACCAGCAGGAACGTGCCGCCCACAGTAGCTACAGGAGCACCAGGTAGCGGCCCAGCCACACTGCGCTGCAGCAGGCACCGTCTTTTTGGGGCAGGTTGTGGGTCAGCTGAAATGTTTCGAGAAGGATCAGTGAGATTGCTGTTGTGGGGATTGGTTGGGATGTCCTGTGAAGAATGGCTGTTTGGATACGCTTCTGTTGTCCTGTGTTGCTGCTTCTGCTGCTGCTGCTGCTGCCTCTGCTCCACCCCTCCTTCACTCTGCCTCCTGGCCCTCTTTGCTCCCAGCGATCGCATCAGCCGTGACGCTAACAGAGACCGGTTGTGCGCTTTGTGTGGCGCCTCCCGGGCTGTTGCAGGCGCATTCTGAGGATTATGAAAATTCGGAGGATTGGGAGAATTTTGAGGATTATGAGGATTTTCAGAAGATGCCTCCCGGGCTAATGCAGGTCCTGCCTCTGGGGTTGTTGCTGCAGGCTTGCTCTGAGGATGTTGAAAACACGCCACTTGTGTTCCCTCCTGAGATGCTCGTGCTGCCACCTGTGCCTCCACAGGACAAGGCGGCGTATCCCGAGAAGGAGAATCCCCAAACTGGGGAGAGACTTTGATGCGTGGCATTTGTGTTGCTGCAGTTTGGGGATTCTCGAGATATGCCTCTTGTGCTGGCTCCTGTTTCGGTGTTATGTACACCTGCTCTCCTTTTAAAGAGGGAGAGAAAGCTGAAGTATGCGTGGGTTCGAAAAGGGAGAGTGAGAGAGTGGATAGGGGGAGGTGAGAGGCGGGTGGCTGAAGAGGGGTTGACTTTTGAGTCTGCTCAAAGGAGGAGAGTGAGAGTGAATGAGATAAGGGGAGGTGAGAGGTAGACGGTGGGGGAAGCGGGGGTGACGTTTGAGACGGCTTAAAAGAGGAGAGTGAGAGTGAATGAGATAAGGGGAGGTGAGAGTTAGACGGTGGGGGAAGCGGGGGTGACTTCCGAGGTAACTCAAAGGGGGAAAGTGAGAATGAAGATGGGTGGAGGTCAGGGTTAGACGGTGGAGGGAAAGTTGACCTATGAGGCGACACAAAGGGGGAGAGTGAGAACGAGGATGAGGGGAGGTGAGAGTTAGACGGTGGGGGAAACGGGGGAGACGGCTGGTGAGGTTGAGAGGGGCTAGGGGCAGTGTGGGCGAGGGAGAGAGAGAGAGCAGGAGGAGGTGAGTGTGGTGCGGGGGAATGATTATAGTTAGTGGATTGGTGTATTGTTGAATGCTGGGCCACTGGGAAGAGAGGAGCAGGAGTTGAAGTGGAGGGAGGGGAGGCATGGAAAGGAAGAGGTGACTTTTGAGTCGACTCAAAAGTCATCTCGAGAGGAGCCGGAGTTGAAGTGGAGGGAGGGGATGCATTTTGAGGCGCCTCAAAATACACCTCACTGCACGAGGGAGGGGAGGCATGGGGGGGAAGAGGTGAGGAGGGAGGAAGGAATGATGAGGGAGGAAGGTGTGTAGAGGAAGGAAGCGGTGAGGAGGGATGGGGGAACACATTCCTATTTGACTGGTAGCTGAGAGGATGCTGGGGTTGGTGAGAAGGTGGAGGAAAATGCGGGAACGGGGTGTTGGCTGCTGCTGCTGCTGCTGCTGCTGCTGCTGGCGGTTGAGAGTCTTCACCTGCTACCAGCATTGGCTCATGTGAGCCCCAGTTGGTGCTGTTAGCAACAAGTGGCAGTGGCGCTACTGCTGCTGCTGCTGCTCGTTCTGCTGCTGCTGGTACCGATGCAGACAACCCCAGATGCATACCCTTCATTCTCCATTCCACATCGTTGCATGCTCTCTCCTCTCCCTCTTCCTCCTCCTCTCGCTTCTCCCCTGTCTCCTCCCCCCTTATTTCCATCTTCACAGTAGGATTCTGAGACGCGAAGGCGGCTGCTTGTTGTGTGGCTGGCTGTACCACTGCCGGCTGTAGCCCTGCTGGCTGTAGCATGCGTTGCCGCTGCAGTGTTGCTACTTGTAGTATGTCCGGCTGTAGCATTGCCGGCTGTAGCGAAAGTGGCTGTGCCCTAAACTCTCTTTGCTTCTGCTCCAATCCCCTACCCCCAAACCCATCCACCTCCATACCTCCAGTAGGTTTTAGGGTTAACCCTTCTGAATTCACATAAGCATCCAAGCCTCCTGTTGACCTTTGAGACTTCTGAGACTTCTCAGAAACCGCCGTGATTCTCTCTTTGATCTTTGAGCTTCCAATAGGTTTCTGAGAGTTTTCAAAACCATCCATACCTCCCTCGTCCATTGTTCTCACTCTCCCCCTCTCACTCCATTCCCCCACACTCTCTCCTCCTTCCCTCCTTCTCCCCTCCTCTCTCCCCTCCCTCCTTCCTTTACCAGCACTTCTGATTTCCCCATCGCCCTCTTCCCCATTACTCCTCTCCCTCTCCCCCCTTCTGCTCTCGCTCCTTCCCCCTCTGCTCTGCTGCTCCCCTCCTCTGCTCCCTCTCTCCCTCTCTCTGCTCTCCCCCCTTCTGCTCTCCCCCCCTCCGCTTTCCCCTCCTCTGCTCTCCCCCCCTCCGCTCTCACTCCGGCACCCCTGCTTCAGCGACTGGATATACCGCAGGAGCACGTTCGATCGACCACTATACGCTCCCCTCCCCACACTCCCAACACTACCAGCACTACCAGCACTCCCAGCACTGCCAGGCCTACCGTTCCCTTTGCCCTCTGCCCCGCCTCGCCCCATTTCCTCCTTCCTCCGGGCTGTAGAGTTCCAGTGGTTCTTGACGCTGTTGTCTGTTCTCCCCGGTAATAGTCTTGCAATTTCCGCCCATCTGTTGCCCAGCCGCTTGTGAGCCTCTACAAAAGCTCGCTCCTCCTCTTCCGTCCACGCCTCCTGTGAGCGGCGCGTTGGGAGTAAGAGAACAAAACAAGAGAACATAAGGGAGAAGAGAAGACCGAACTCCTCCAAACTGTTGCGTTCCGGTGATTCTTCACTTCACACTGTTATCGGTCCTCCCAGGTAGTAGTCTCGCAATCTCAGCCCATCTGGTCTTGCCCAACCTCTTGTGTGTGTGCCTCCACGAAATCACACTCCTCCTGCTCTGTCCCGGCCGCTTGCTATTGCTCACTCCACCATTCCCGTTAGTGCCATCCTCCCTCATCATCGCATTATCACTCGTTATAACCACCTTCGTTATGCCCCTCTTGATGGTTGTGCCACCGCTCCCAACAATGCTTCCCTGCACGCCCAATCAAGTGCGCTGCTACAGCCGTCCACCCCTTGGCTCACTCCTCCATTCAATCCCGTTAACATCACCCTCATCACCCCATTATCCTCGTTATAATCACCTTCTTGATGCCCCTCTTGAGATGGTTGTGCCACCGCTCCCGGCACTGCTTCCCCGCGCGCCCATTCAAATGCGCTGCTATGGCCGTCCACCCCTTGGCTCCGCCCCTCTCCACCAGCTGACGCAACAAAGCATCCTCCTCCTGAGATGGAGGGATGGATGGATGGGTGTAGTGTAGCAAAGGATTTGGTAATACATGAGGAAAGACAAAAGAGTGGATCATTCAAATGCGCTGCTATGGCCGTCCACCCCTTGGCTCCGCCCCTCTCCACCAGCTGACGCAACAAAGCATCCTCCTCCTGAGATGGATGTGTGGAGGGATGAATGTAGCAAAAGACAAAAGAGTGGATCATTCAAGTGCGCTGCTATGGCCGTCCACCCCTTGGCCCCGCCTCTCTCCACCAGCTGGCGCAACAGAGCATCCTCCTCCTGAGGTGAATGAATGCAAAGAGACAAAGGGGTGGATCATTGAAATGCCCCACTACCCGTCCACTCCACCCCTTGGCTCCGCCTCTCTCCACCAGCTGACGCAACAAAGCATCCTCCTCCTGAGGTGGATGCAGAGATTAGGGTTTGAGGTTAGAATGGTTTGTGTTGTGTGTGTAATCATTGAAAAGTGTACGATCACTGCTGCGGCCATCCCTCCCTTGGCTCCGCCTCTCTCCACCAGCTGGCGCAACAGAGCATCTTCCTCCTGAGATAGATGGATGGATGGATGAAATGAAAGGGTGGATTGTTCAAGTGTGCTGCTATGGCCGTCCACCCCTTGGCTCCGCCTCTCTCCACCAGCTGACGCAACAGAGCATCTTCCCCCTGAGATGGAGGGACGTGGCATATAAAGGGCTCGTGCGTAAAATAAAACGCAGAGAGGCGATTAAGTTGAATCAAAAGTCACCTCGTTTGTGCATCAAGTAAAACGCAGAGGGACAAAAGGGAGGATTAATATATCGCTGCCACAGCCGTCTACCCCTTGGCTCCGCCCTGATAAATCGCTACAAAGAGTTTTCCTCTTGTAGTGGATGGATGGGTGTAGAGATTTATAAAATTAAAGTTTGAGGTCAGAAAGTTCAATGACTGACCTCACATTTTTCCCACTCACATTTTCCCATTCACACTCTCCCTCTCACGCACTTCCTTCACACTCTCTCCCTCTCACAAACTTCCTTCACACTCTCCCTCTCACAAACTACCTTCACACTCTCCCTCTCACAAACTTCCTTCACACTCTCCCTCTCATAAGCTCCCTTCACACTCTCACACTCTCCCTCTGACACGCTCCATCTCCACACTCTCCCTCTCTCACTCTCACACTCTTGACGCTCTCCCTCTCACACTCTTCACTCTCTCCTTCTCACACTCTTCACACTCTCCCTTCTGTACCCCATTCCCCCTCGCTTTGTGTTGGAGACGCGTCCTTATGTTCTCATAACATGCCTATTACATCCCACTCCCTCACCACCTTCCACTCTCCTTCACCACATTCCCCTCTGCCATCATACCATTTCCACCCCAAAGCACTCCTCCTCCCTAGGTCAATCCACCCGCTCCTACAGCACTTGAATCCCTCCGTGCACCACTCGAAACCCCGCCTCACCGCATTCCGCCTCTTCTCACCGGAGTCCATTGCCCTTTGGCATTCGTGCTCGCTTTCTGCTGCTGCCCTTCTGCCTCCCCTTCCCCCTCCCCCTCCCCGTCCCCGTCCCCGTCCCCGTCCGCGTCCCCGTATCCCCCATCCTCCGCTCCGCCCCATCCCCCGCGCAAATCTTCCGCGCTTTGCTCCCCCGCAGATCTACCGACTGTTGCACTGGGGACGCCGCCAGTTGCGCGGGTTTTCCACAGAGGCGGCGTCGTCGCCGCCGCCGCCGGGGCCCCGAAAATTCCGCCAAATCCGCCGCCGCCGGTCGGCGCCGCGCCGTCGTAGGAAGCTGACGAACCGGAAGCAGCTACGCTCGCGACAGGGGAAAAAAAAGGAAGGCCTGCGCGGCTTCCGCCTAGTACCGCTGGCGGAACCGCCGGCGGGACGGAGGACACCGCCGCCCCCGCCGCCGCCGTGAATAGGAAGCTCCTTATCTGGTTCTGCGAAGCGATTTCCTGTTGCGCTGCGTTGACATGTGGCTGCGGCGGATGCACCGCCGGCAGCGGCGGCGGCGGCGGCGGCTGTTGATGGTTGTGAAACATGAGCAAGCCCTCTTGTTGTCTACACCCCAGCGGCAGGCCACTCTTAGTAAACAGACACGCTTCCCCTGAAGCGTACGTGCCGCGGAATCCGCCGTCAAACGCGCTTCCCGTGAATTTAAACCTTGCCCCGCCGTCGCGGCACGGCTCCTGGGATGGCGGCGTTTTGAGATCTCGAGGCGCGATTGTCGCTCCTGTGGCGCTGACCATAGCGCGGGAAAAGCGGCTTCAGTTAGTAGTAGTCCGGTTGTAGCGGAAAGAACGCTTCAGGGTTACTCAAAGAGCAAACAACTGGCGAAACACCAACTTCAAGCTCATTCAAAAACTCTTCAGGCGCCTCAGAAGAAGCTCTGGTTGTAACACAGTACTAACCTCAGAAGAACACTCGAAGACCAACGATGGATATGAGACGGCTTCAGGGTTACCAAAAAAGAACAAAAAACTGTCTGGGTTCCTAGAGCGGTGCGAACTAGCGGAACGAGTTCCCCTGGAGATGATACCGTATCGGACGTTTGGCTGATTAATCGACGCTGTAGGGCTTGTCCAGCAGCATATGACTTGGCGGGTGCCTCGCGACAGCGTGGACGACAGATGGCATGAACTGCCTAGCTAGCGTCATGTTTTGATGCTTGTGGGAAGAACGTGAATGAGTGATGACAATTCCTCCAAAGCCTTGCTTGCGGGTGACGTGACGACGACGACGACAATCTCCAAGGCATGACAACTCCAAGTCCGAGGTATGACAATTCCAAGGTCCTCTACAGTTTGACAGATTCCCTGGCTTGACAATTTGACGATTTCAAGGTTTACTGTTCATGCCGTTTGGTAGGTGGCTCGGGTTCCTCTGGGCTGTGTTGTGTAGGGTGATTAACGATACTAGGCGGTAAAACGTTTCAGAGTACAGTAAACGGCTTCCTACTGAACCACATGTGTGTACATAGCAGTTCAAAAATTGTACAACAGTACAGTACATATTTTTTTCACACCCAAACGCATTCGACAACCACTTGTTTGTGTCGTTGATACGAAAGCCCTTCTACTACACTACAGGTTTGGCGCGGTCCATAGAGGTTTGACAAACCAAGTGGTCGAAAATGCGTGGTCTTTTCCCATTCCACCCACCGTCAATGCTGCTCACGTCACATACCTGCCCCAGCCAGCAGACCGAACGCAACCCATCACCATGTATTTTGGGGCCAGGGGCGGGTCATTTCGGCTAGGTTTTTTTGGCCAGGTGGTTCGTACACACACTGTAACGACATATTTTGTCTGCAAGTCAACAGCATTCTCCACGCACACTGTACGCACGCGGTGCAGAGTACATTATACGGTACAGATTTGGAACGAAATGCAAATGACTGAGGGGATTTGTTCTGCCGTTGCAAGCTGCATTTTCTGTCGTCGCATTCGCAGACCACAAGCCAAATCTTAAAATCTGCCGACTGCAACACTTCATCTTGAAAATCTGTCAGAACGGTTGATTGATAACATACAGTAAGAAAAATACACACATTCCATGCTCCTGAAATTACCGGTAATGGCTATCCCTAATCTGACCATGATGTATAATTCTGAAAAGATACCAGTCCTACTCATATGGCTGGCTATACCCAGGCAGCGCATAGTACCCGCAGACAAGGATGGCGGTCCTTGTGCCCTAATTCAAGTGGCTGGCTATCCCTAGTCGGCGCATAATATACGAGTCGTCAATGGACGGGAGCACAGGAGACGGAAATTGTGCATGGCCTACTGATGGAATCAATATCTCTTCTAGTTGTTTCAGACATTTCCTGGCTCTGCCGATAAATTCCTCTTGATAACTGCAAAAGGAGAGGACAGAAAACGTAAATTAACCAAGTGATACTGTTAAGTTACCCTGGGTAAGAGGAGGGGAAGGGGGAGAGATGGAAATAAAAGAAGATGAACGGCGCATAATATACGAGTCGTCAATGGAGGGAGGTGAAGATAGCGGCTTGCATAGGAGGCTGTATCACCCAAAAGGGAGGGGGCAAACGAGGGTTGCGGGGGAGGGGGGGGAAGGGAGAGGGGGGGGAGAGAATGGGGAGAAGCAGGAGGGGGGGGGGCTGCGGGCTCTTTTTAGCTGTTGTATCAGCTTGCGAATGAATCATCGGGCCCCGTCCAATGTACATGCGAGAACAAACATGATTGGATATAGCGCATATTGACAACGTCACGAGGTCACAGAGAGCGAACAGCGCACCCAACTTCTGTGAATGGACTTCAACACTTGAACATATGAACATTGAGACATCTCGATAACAGAACACCCACCTCCTGCGGATGGACTTGAATCTTTGAACATGCGAGTGCAGCAGCTGCTTTGGAGAAAGACTTGATTCCCATGCTGGCCCGTCGATCTCTCCCCGTCCGTCATCTTGTTGACACTGCTCATTGCGCTCTCTCCTCCTCTTGTTCACTCTCTCCCGCTCCTCATTACCCTCTTCCTTCTTCACCCCCTCCTCTTCTTCCCTCTCATCCACCACCCCTTCTTCCTTCTCCCCCTCCACCTCCCATTTCTTGCCAGCCCTCCTGTCAGTTCTCTGTGTTTGTGGACTCCCCATCCGTTCTTGACTCTGCAGACGCTGTTGACTCTGTTGACTCTCTTGTCTCTTCTGCAGCCATCTCTCCAGCTCTCCACTGGGCTGCACGTTCCCCCCACTCGCAAAAGAGACACGCTGTAACTGAAAAAGAGGTGAAGCTTCCCGTTGTAATTCTCCTTGCGATGCCCGTTGTGATTCTCGTTGCGACTCTCTTTCAGGTGCAGCGCCGGTGATTCTCAGTGCGTCCCCCTCCACGGCTTCACCCTCACGTCGTTCAACTCCTAACCCTACTAGTTTCGCAGCTGCGACTTCGTGTCCTGCTGAGACACCTCCTGGGGTTTCCGCTGCTGGCTCGTCTGGTCCTGGTCCTCCCGCTGCCGGCGCTGCTGCTGCGCGTACCACTGGCGCTTGTGCTGGCGCTTGTACTGGCGCTTGTGCTGCTGGCATGTGCAAGAGCTGCCGGCCCGTTGGGTGATTAAACGAGTGCGAAATCAATGGCCCAGATGCAACCAGAGGCGACGGAGCATATTCAGAAACCCCAGAACCGTAGTTTGCTCCTTGAATCCTCTCGCGACAAAGGCGATAGAGAGAAAGCGGTTCGATGTGCGACACCGCGGCCAACTGCGGGATCGTGTCCTCGTGATCATGTCGCCATTGTTGCGACAGTGGCTGCTGCTGCTGCTGCTGCTGCTGCTGCTGCTGCTCTCGCTACCAATCCTTCTGCGGTTGGAGATGAAGCTCGTTCGACATCCCCGAGCGCGACCTGTCAGCTGAAGGGAGATGGCAAGAACTGCTGGAACCTAAACAGAAAAGAAAAGAAAAGGCGGAAGGTGTAGGTTGCTGCCGTCGCCGCCGCTGCTGCTGTGCAGCAGCTGCTGCTGCTGACGCTGGTCACTTTCAGAGACTCACTAACAGAAGCTACTATCTTCTGCTGCCGGCGCCCCAATCTGTGCGGAGAGAAGCTGAAAGGAGGTAGAGAACGGGATACTAGGAGACAACCCAGGCTGAGGAAGTTCGAAATGGTCTGAAGTGATTTGAATAACAATTTTGCGTTGTGAGGTGTGGTTGAGCTCGTTTCACGAAGTCAACGATGTGGCTAAAAGTAGCAATATCCGAATTGTCGGGAATAGATAGCGAACCCGACAACAGCAGGGCGTACGGTGTAGACAGTTAGGGTTCCATCAGCTGAAATTAAGATACGATATAAGGAAACAAATCATATACATTGCACTATCGGAGACAAAGATACACAATCTGAGCGAGGAAAGCAACGGTAACTGCGCGAACATTTGGAGAGCGTCGCGGTGCTGGTGCTTCGCGAACTTCACTGTTCAGATGCCTGATACACTTTCATGTGCAGAACTCCTTCCCCCTGCCTACAGTGGTGGTGGTGCTGTGCTGCACTGCTTGCATTGCCGGCGTTCACGCTGCTTCACACTTTCACTGCCACCACTGCACCCGCAGGACGCCGATCAGCCTCCATCCTCGAACCTCAACCATTGGTCCACACCTGCCCGTGTATGCTGCCGAGTTTTCCAAACCGCAATCTTCATTCAACCGATGTGTCGAACTGTACTCCAGAACGTTAATCACTCTACCCAACCCACCAGAACCCATGACTAAGCTTATAAAAAGGTATGCCCAAAGAAAGTACATCCGACGTGTATTGCTTCGCAATCTACCCAGCCTGTAAAGCAGCATTCAGGCGAAGGTTTGGGACCCACGTTCGTTGTCTTGTTCTGTAAAAATGTTGCCTAGTTCGTGTCTTGTCCGATGCACCGACCAGGTAACCTCCACCATACCACTCCCATCCATGCCTGCCCACCACAGCTCACTTGCTTCGTGAAAATCTCTGCCAGCTTTGGTGGGTTTCTGCTCTCGTGCGGTCGCCGGTCGTGCGCTTCAGAAACTGGCAGAGAGTGTGAGAAGCACGATTGCCGCACTGCAGATAAAAGAGAGGTTCAGTTCAACCGTCGTTCCTCGCGCTTGCTCTCTTGAAACCCTCTGAACCTCCTCCTGGTTTCTCGAGTATCTGTGGAGGAGGAAGTGTGCTCTCCGCATTTCCAAGCTCTGGCAGCATGCGGCCATAGCCTCTCTCCTCTCCCATGCGCGTGCTGGAACTGCGGTTTCGCCCCGTCGCCATTTTCCAGCGAATGTTCCCTTGTTTCGCGCGTCCGCCCTCGTTGCTTCAGCCGCGATTGCCGGCGGCGGTTGCTCAGGGAGGCTCCCTCTTAGATTTAGGAGGAAGTTGAAAGACTTTTCTAGGTCGGACGCCGCCATAAATCTTACACATTGCGCGCTGACTTTTTCCGAGTCGATTCTAAGGTCGCCTCGTTGCCCCTTGTTGGAATCTAGGAGGAAGAGGACTGGCTCCTACGGTCGGATCTGTGATTTCAGATTCAGGGCTAAGAAGGAAACTCTAGCTGACTAACGTGCCATTGCCGGACCCGCTACCGCAACGTGACACCCATCAGCGCAGCTTTCGCTCAAGGAAGGCGCAAGCACCACACGACGTCGCGAGCTTGTGGGTTATCGAAGTCGAGTCGACTCAAAAGACCGGCGCAGTTTTGCTCGAGGGAAACTCCAGCTCATCCCGTGACGGTCACGGCTCTGTGGGCCTTTGAAGCGCCTCGAATAAAAAACTCGTGCCGTTACTACTTTTCTCTCGTTCACTCCAGCCATGGCTGCTGCGGCGCGGCGTCAACCTTCCGCTGTTGTCATCTTTGCTCGTACGTTCTCCTCTCTGCATCCCCTCCGTGAAGCATTTGAACAAAGAAAAGGTGGCGGTTTCATTACTTGTTATCTTCATTTCTTTTCGATTTCTGATACGTTTATTTACGCGGCATTTTTGTTTTGTTCGATCCTCTTCGCTCGTACTACATCTGTTCGCGTGCAGTTCTCCTCGCTGCTCTCCTCCCGGTCGTTCTTGCGCGAAATCCTCTTCCCGATAACGTCTATGTTGCGGACGATGACGTCATCGGTGAGTTCCCAAGAACTTTTCTGACAACGAGGGAGCACTCGAGCTTTTCTCAACTCTCAATCAGCCCATTCCCGATTCCCTGGTCTTGAATAGGAAAGTCCTTGGGTTATGTTCTCAGAACATAAACGAAGGCTTTATGGAAGGCCTGTTTCCTGCTTGATTTTCCCAACTCTGCTCTTCTCGTGAACCCTGATCTTCCCACCCCTTTCGCACTCCCTCTCTCCCCATCTCCATATCTCCGGTTATATTCTCCTCGCTGCTTCCTCTTTCCCAGCTTTCACTCTCACGTTGCTTACGTGAGAGGCACGTAGTCTCGTCTCGCTTAGAGTCGTGTCCTTATACATCCCCGCCTTATCTCATGCCTTTCCCCTCAACCACCTTCATGGGTTTGCTTCCCTTCGAAATTCCGAAAGCTAATCCCCTCACGCCTGATCATGTGGTCTAGCCTTCAATGAATTCATTGCTTATACTCTTTCTACTCTCTTTCCTGTTTTTCCTGCAATCTTCTTCACTCTTTTCACTCTTTCCACTCCTTTCAACCGTACTCTTCTCCTGACCTGACCACTACCAGGCTCAGATTGGCGACAGACTCATATTGGCGAGGCTCGCCATCAGCGCGGCTCAAGCCGTCTACCTTCATACTCCTTCACACTCCTTCACACTCCTTCTACACTTCTCTCCCTCACTCCACTCTTTCTCCGTGCCACCACCAGGCTCGTATTGCGAGGTCATACTCGGCGCGCCATCAGACCCCTTCTCTTCGGTCGACGTCTGTCTCAAGGTGCACCGGTGAGTGCTTTTGAACCTCCACTACCCTCCCCTCCCCTCCCTTCCCCTCTCCTCCACCACTCCCCATCCCCTCCTCTCCCCTCCCCTCCCCTCCCCACCCCTCCCCTCCCCTCCCCTCCCCTCCCCTCCACCACTCCCCCTCCCCTCCCCTCCCCTCCCCTCCTCCCCTCCACTCCCCTCCCCTCTCCTCCCCTCCCCTTCCTTCCCCTCCCCCCACTCCCCTTCCCCCCAACATTTCCGTTCCCTCCCTCTCCCTCCCTTTCCCTCCCTTTCCCTCCCTTTCCCTCCGTTCCCCACTCTTCCCCTCCCTTCCACTGCCTTCCCCTTTCCCCCCCACTTCCCCCTACCTTCCCTGCCCCCCCTTCCACCCACATGCTCAAAGGGACCATTAGACGGCCAGACGCCTCTTATCTATCATAATTATCATATCGTATCTTTCATTCTACATCTGTCATATCATATTTGCATATTCGTCGTATCATGTCATCCTCGGCGAGTCATCCCACCCCTTCTCGCCCGTCGATGTTGGTTACTAAGTGATACGAGCTTTGAGGCGCCTCAAATAAAGCAATTGCTTTAATTACTCGATGCCTATCTCCCTCGATGCCTGTCTTGAAGTGCATCGGTCCTGCACCAGGGAGATAGGCTAATGTTATTTTTTCTCTTTCTCTTCTCCCCTCTCTTCATCACTCTCCTCCCTCCCCCCCCCCCCCTTTTCCCCTTCTCTTTCCCCATCCTCTTCCCCGTGCTCTTCTCCCCGCCCTCTTTTTCCAGGCACCCCACCCACCGCAACACCATAAGCCACATGGACTTTGTAGCCCAGATTGAAGGGGTAACTTCGGCTTCCACCCCTTCCTCTCCCACCATCTCCTTGACCGACTCCCATACAGTCACAGTCCCCTGCGGTCACTATGAATCCGAACCTTATCCTTACGTTGAGGGGAGCTTACTGTACCGCTGCCAGGAAAGCCTTTCAAAGAGCGATCAGCGTGTGATTATAGAGGGGTTTGCTGAGAGCCCGTTTCCTGTAGTCACATTGCAGGTGGGGGATACGCCTGTTAGAGTCACACTGGCACACTCCCTAGCTTACTACTAATGTTACACCGTAGTTATGGGTACTGCTGTGTCTGTGTGTATGGGGTGGGCGAGGGAGGGCTGCTGCTGCACCCCTGGGGTAAGGGTATCTATGTTGTGCTGTGTTGCCGTTTCCGTGCCTAGTTGCTTACTACTGATGTGTTACCTGGGTACTGCTGTGTATGTGTGTATGGGGTGGGCGAGGGAGGGCTGCTGCTGTTCCCTGGGGTACAGATACCTATGTTGTGCTGTAGTATGTGTTACTGTACCTGGTTACTGCAGTTTCTGAGTGCATGGGACGAGGGCTGCTGCTGCACTACCCCTGGGGTACTGATAGGTTGTGCTGTGATGTTTTTTCCGTGTGTAGTTCTCTGCAAGAGTTTTACCTGTGGTTTGGAGTTTGTATCATGCATTTATTGAAAATGAATCGGATGATTCAGTGGTTATCAAACATGGCATCTTACCTGTAATCAAGTTTTGAGTAGCTAGCAGCACCATGAGGTGCTGTTATGGTAGAATGCTGTGCTACTGTAATAAAACTGAATTTGGTAGCAGCTAAAAAGGCAGCTAGGGAATCTGCTTTCAAGCAGCAGCAAATTAGTGCACCTTGAGGGAGCAGCAGTCATGCAGCCTGCATGGCCCGCAGAATGGCTGCGCGATCAAACCTGAAATTGACCCACTCTGAGCCGGGGGGAAGCAGTGGAACTGCCGCTGCTGCAGCAGCTGAGCAGTGAACCTAAAGCTAGCAATGAACCACCATCAGCGGCATTCAGTCACGCAACGCCTAGCCTGGATGGCCCGCAGAATGGCACCGCGATCAAACTTGAAGTTAATCCATTCTGAGCAAGGAGGAAGCAGAGGAGCCGCCGCCGAGCAATAAAGCTAAAGCTAGCAGACGCAGTAGCCATCAGTCACGCAGCCTGCGTGGCACGCACAATGGCGGCGCTATCAAATTTGAAATTTATCCATTCTGAGCAAGGAGGGAGCAGAGGAACCGCCGAGCAATGAAGCTAAAGCTAGCAGACGGAGTACTAGGCAGGCAGTCACGCAGCCTGCATGGCCCACACAATGGCTGCTAATTCGTTGAGAAGGTGGGGACTGGGGGCGGTGGAGCTAAAGCTAGCAGATGCAGCAGCAGGCAATCACGCAGCCTGCATGGCTCGCACAATGGCATCTCGATCGAACTTGAAGTTGACCCATTCGGAACAGGGAGGAAGCAGTGGAACAGCAGCTGCTGCAGCTGCTGCTGCTAATGATGTTGGTTGTTCTGCCGCTCTTGCTGCTGGTTGTGGCACCGATAACGTTGATGGTGTGTGCTGTTGTTGCTGGTGTAAGCTTTGCCGCGGGAGAGTGCCAGCTGGCAGCCTGAGGATTCCCGGCCGGGCGCCACCTGGCAGGAGCCCAGACGATGCTGACGTGGACTGCGGGGGAGAATCGGCGGGAAAGAGCTGCTTCCTGGCCGCCGCCACGTGGCGCGAGGAGACTGGATGGCGGAGAGAGGAAGGGGATGCGGTGGGAATGTGTGGGACTGATGTCGTGGTGGCTGGGATGGTAGGATGATGAGAGGGAGGAGCAGCAGTGAGACCAGCAGCACCAGGGGGAGCAGCAGACGCAGCAGCAGCAGCAGCAGCAGCAGTAGTAGCAGAAGGAGGAGCAACGGCAGCAGCAGTGGGAGCGAAGGAGTGGGATGTTTGTGGGGAGGCGGGTAGAACGCTGCTGGTCTTCCAGACAGAGATGATGCTTCCTGGAACGTTCTGCGGCATCATGTGCACTGCGAGTTGCCGGGTGTCGGGTGTGTGGTGGCGGTCTATCCACTCGAGCAGCGGCCTGGTGGGTTTAGGGTCACAGAGGCCGCGCACCGATGAGGCGAATCATAGAGGTATACAAGCACTACAAGCACTGAGCAGTTGCAAAAGCTGCACTGAGCAGCACATCCACGCACCTCACAAACGGCTGCACCATGAAGAGCTTGGCTCCGCTGACTGTGCGAGAGACCGGCAAAGCCCCATCGCACTGCGCTGTGGCCAGGTCACATATGAGATGCCACGCGATCTCCTGAGAGAGGGAGGGGAGGAGGGAGAGACAAGCAAGTGGGATTTGAGAAGTTTCAAGAAGCAGCTGTGCCCTCGCCACGTCTTTTGAGGCGCCTCAGAAGTCATTTCGTTACCCGCAACTTTTTTTAGTCGCCTCAAAAGTCATTTCTTTACCCGCAACTTCTTTTAGTCGCCTCAAAAGACGAGCAGGTGGGGTTTGAGAAGTTTCAAGATGCAGCCGTGGCCTGGCCACGTTACAGACGAGAAGCCTGGCGATTTCCTGAGGGATTGGAGAGAGGGCAGCACCCACCCCACCCCATCCCACCCCACCCCACCCCACCCCACCCCACCCCATCCCAACCCAACCCATCCCAAACCACTCACGCTGATCTCCTTGACTGTTTGTGGTTGGAACACTGCAGTGCGCGAGTCCACCCCCGCAACCACAAACAGCCGTGAGCGCTGCTGCTGCTACCTTGCTGCATACAGCCCTTCCCATCCCACCAATGCCCGGCCCCAACCACCCCACTCACGCTGATCTCTTTCACGGTTTGCGGCTGGAACACTGCAGTGCGCGAGTCCACCCCCGCAACCACAAACAGCCGTGAGCGCTGCTGCTGCTGCCCTGCCACCACCTCCAGATACTCTGATGGGTTCACTAAAGTCGAGATGTCAAAGCCTGTCTCCTCCAACACCTGTCATGGGAGAACAAGAGAAAGCATGAGATAGTAAATTTCTGAGACAGTGAATGCACTGCTGCTCCTGCTGCTGCTGCCCTGCCACCACCTCCAGATACTCTTACGGGTTCACCAAAGAAGAAATGTCAAAGCCTGTCTCCTCCAACACCTGTGATTGGGGGAAGGGGATGAGAGAGTATAAGGGAGAATAATATTGAGGCTCGATGCTCCCACTGCTGCTCCTGCTGCTGCTGCCCTGCCACCACCTCCAGATACTCTGATGGGTTCACCAGAGGGGAGATGTCAAAGCCTGACTCCTCCAACACCTGTGATGAAAGCCTCCACTCAACCACTCACCTTCTCCCAACCACTCACCTTCTCCCAACCACTCACCTTCTCCCAACCACTCACCTTCTCCCAACCACTCACCTTCTCCCAACCACTCACCTTCTCCCAACCACTCACCTTCTCCCAACCACCCACCTCTCCCCAACCACCCACCTCTCCCCAACCACCCACCTCTCCCCAACCACCCACCACCCCCCACCAACTACCCACCTCCCTAACCGCTGCCTCTGCGTCCGTCTGTTTGATCCCCTTCTTGCCCTTAGACCTCTCAAGAAGCACACACCTGTGCCAACCGAACTGCAAACCTCTCCCCAACCACCCACCTCTCCCCAACCACCCACCACGCCCCACCAACTACCCACCTCCCTGACCGCTGCCTCGGCATCCGTCTGTTTGATCCCCTTCTTTTCTTTTAACGTCACTCTAACCACTCAAGCAACGCACACCCACCCTCCCTCCCCTCACCGGCCACCCACCTCCCTGACCGCTGCCTCGGCATTCGTTTCCTTTAACCCCTTCTTGCCCACTTCGACCTCCTAAGCAACACACACACCACCTCCCCTCACCAGCCACCCACCTCCCTGACCGCTGCCTCGGCATCCGTTTCCTTTAGCCCCTTCTTGCCCTTGGGAAAGCCCCAACTCGCAGAGGTTCGCCACCCTTTAACGAGTATGCACTGTAGCAGCACGGCAGGGAAGGGGTGGAGAGAGGGGAGGTGGCGGCAGAAACAGCGGAACACCAACACATCAAGCTGAATTTTGAGTCGACTCAAGAGGTGGCGGAAACAGCGGAACACCAACACATCAAGCAAGGTGGCTAAGCTGACATGATCAGGGTGAAATATGAAACATTTTAACAACAAGGAAATGATGAGAGGATAATGAGAGGATGATAAGATAATGAGAGGATAATGAGAGGATGATTAGCGCAGGGATTGATAAGGCGCGGGGAGGATAGGAGAAGACACAGCCACCGATTTAGAGTTCGAAAATGTTTACGTATACATACCCGGGTCATTGAATGGTCGAGGATGATCGCCCCCGTGACCGGCACTTTGAACTTGGAGACGGACGTTTGGAGCATACCAACGTGATGCGAAAGAAGAAGGAACAAGAGAACCGTCCATCACGCATAGTGCGTGCAGTGCATAGTGCGTGCAGTGCATAGTGCGTGCATACCCGGGTCATTGAATGGTCAAGGATGATCGCCCCTGTGACCGGCACTTTGAACTTGTAGCTCGTAAACTCGTTGTATATGTCGTTGACTCGTGCCGCGTATGGTTTAAGAGCCACACAGCGCTGGAACACTGATGGTGGGGCAGAGAGGGGGGACAGGACAGGAGGGGCCGGGGGGGGAGGTGGGGCAGGTGGGGCAGGGGGGACAGGTGGGGCCGGGGGGGCAGGTGGGGCCGGGGGAACAGGTGGGGCAGGGGGGACTGGTGGGGCAGGGGGGACAGGCACGTTGAACTTGTAGCTCGTGAAATCGTTGTACATGTCGTTCACCCGGGATTGAAGAAGTGTTTTGAGACGTCTCAAAACACTTCTTCAATCATCAGGCACTTTGAACTTGTAGCTCGTGAACTCCTTGTATATGTCGTTCACCCGGGCGGCATAGGGTTTGAGAGCCACGCAGCGCTGGAACACTGCCCGTGGGAGAGAGGGGGGACAGGGGGGATAGGGGGGACAGGGGGTGCAGGGGGGACAGGGCAGCAGGGGGGGCAGGGGGGACAGGGCAGCAGGGGGGACAGGGGGGACAGGGCAGCAGGGGGGGCAGGGGGGACAGGGCAGCAGGGGGGGCAGGGGGGACAGGGGGGGCAGGCACTTTGAACTTGTAGCTTGTGAACTCGTTCACCCTTGCTGCATATGGCTTGAGAGTCACGCAGCACTTGAGAGTCACGCAGCACTTGAGAGTCACGCAGCACTTGAGAGTCACGCAGCACTTGAGAGTCACGCAGCACTTGAGAGTCACGCAGCACTTGAGAGTCACGCAGCACTTGAGAGTCACGCAGCACTTGAGAGTCACGCAGCACTTGAGAGTCACGCAGCACTTGAGAGTCACGCAGCACTTGAGAGTCACGCAGCACTTGAGAGTCACGCAGCACTTGAGAGTCACGCAGCACTTGAGTGTCACGCAGCACTTGAGAGTCACGCAGCACTTGAGAGTCACGCAGCACTTGAGAGTCACGCAGCACTTGAGAGTCACGCAGCACTTGAGAGTCACGCAGCACTTGAGAGTCACGCAGCACTTGAGAGTCACGCAGCACTTGAGAGTCACGCAGCACTTGAGAGTCACGCAGCACTTGAGAGTCACGCAGCACTTGAGAGTCACGCAGCACTTGAGTGTCACGCAGCACTTGAGAGTCACGCAGCACTTGAGAGTCACGCAGCACTTGAGAGTCACGCAGCACTTGAGAGTCACGCAGCACTTGAGAGTCACGCAGCACTTGAGAGTCACGCAGCACTGGAACACTGCCCGTGGGAGAGTTGGACAGGAGGGGTTGAGAAACGTGGTGGGCGGAGGAGCGGAAGGAGAGAAGACTTTGGAGTCGACTCAAAAGTCACTTGAGCGCCACACAGCGCTGGAACACTGCCAATGGATGAGATGGACAGGAGGGGTTGAGAAACGTGGTGGGCGGAGAGAGAGGGGAGGGAAAGAGGGGGATGGGTTGGCTCCCGTGACAGACAGGCACTTTGAATTGAACATGCAGCTGGTGCAGTCGGGGAGTGAATGAGAGGGGGAAAGAGGGTGGAAGAGGGTGGAAGAAGGGGAATCGGAAAGCAAGGGCAGAGGTGGAGGGAGCAGGAGAGAGTGAAGCAAGGCTCACGCACGGAGGTTGGTGAAGTCTCGGAGAGTGAATGAGCGGAGAGGTGATGGTGGCGAGAGGGGGAACAGAGTGAAACACAATCCACGCAAAAGGGGAGATATTACATGATAAGAGGGCTCACGCACAGAGGTTGGTGAAGTCTCGGAGGGTGAATGAGCGCAGATGTGATGGAGGGGGAACAGAGTAAATGAAGAGAGTGAAACACAATCCGCGTGAGATGGGAGGTATGTTGCATAAGAAGGCTCACGCACAGAGGTTATTGCATGTCTATGTGCAGGTGAGTGATTGCATGTCTGTGTGCAGGTGAGTGATTGCATGTCTGTATGCAGGTGAGTGATTGCATGTCTGTGTGCAGGTGAGTGATTGCATGTCTGTGTGCAGGTGAGTGATTGCATGTCTGTGTGCAGGTGAGTGATTGCATGTCTGTGTGCAGGTGAGTGATTGCATGTCTGTATGCAGGTGAGTGATTGCATGTCTGTGTGCAGGTGAGTGATTGCATGTCTGTGTGCAGGTGAGTGATTGCATGTCTGTATGCAGGTGAGTGATTGCATGTCTGTGTGCAGGTGAGTGATTGCATGTCTGTGTGCAGGTGAGTGATTGCATGTCTGTGTGCAGGTGAGTGATTGCATGTCTGTGTGCAGGTGAGTGATTGCATGTCTGTATGCAGGTGAGTGATTGCATGTCTGTGTGCAGGTGAGTGATTGCATGTCTGTGGGCAGGTGAGTGATTGCATGTCTGTGTGCAGGTGAGTGATTGCATGTCTGTATGCAGGTGAGTGATTGCATGTCTGTGTGCAGGTGAGTGATTGCATGTCTGTATGCAAGTGAGTGATTGCATGTCTGTGTGCAGTTGAGTGATTGCATGTCTGTATGCAGGTGAGTGATTGCATGTCTGTGTGCAGGTGAGTGATTGCATGTCTGTGTGCAGGTGAGTGATTGCATGTCTGTATGCAGGTGAGTGATTGCATGTCTGTGTGCAGGTGAGTGATTGCATGTCTGTGGGCAGGTGAGTGATTGCATGTCTGTGTGCAGGTGAGTGATTGCATGTCTGTATGCAGGTGAGTGATTGCATGTCTGTATGCAGGTGAGTGATTGCATGTCTGTGTGCAGGTGAGTGATTGCATGTCTGTATGCAGGTGAGTGATTGCATGTCTGTGTGCAGGTGAGTGATTGCATGTCTGTGTGCAGGTGAGTGATTGCATGTCTGTGTGCAGGTGAGTGATTGCATGTCTGTGTGCAGGTGAGTGATTGCATGTCTGTGTGCAGGTGAGTGATTGCATGTCTGTGTGCAGGTGAGTGATTGCATGTCTGTGTGCAGGTGAGTGATTGCATGTCTGTGTGCAGGTGAGTGATTGCATGTCTGTGTGCAGGTGAGTGATTGCATGTCTGTATGCAGGTGAGTGATTGCATGTCTGTGTGCAGGTGAGTGATTGCATGTCTGTGTGCAGGTGAGTGATTGCATGTCTGTGTGCAGGTGAGTGATTGCATGTCTGTGTGCAGGTGAGTGATTGCATGTCTGTGTGCAGGTGAGTGATTGCATGTCTGTATGCAGGTGAGTGATTGCATGTCTGTGTGCAGGTGAGTGATTGCATGTCTGTGTGCAGGTGAGTGATTGCATGTCTGTGTGCAGGTGAGTGATTGCATGTCTGTATGCAGGTGAGTGATTGCATGTCTGTGTGCAGGTGAGTGATTGCATGTCTGTGTGCAGGTGAGTGATTGCATGTCTGTGTGCAGGTGAGTGATTGCATCTCTGTATGCAGGTGAGTGATTGCATGTCTGTGTGCAGGTGAGTGATTGCATGTCTGTATGCAGGTGAGTGATTGCATGTCTGTGTGCAGGTGAGTGATTGCATGTCTGTATGCAGGTGAGTGATTGCATGTCTGTGTGCAGGTGAGTGATTGCATGTCTGTGTGCAGGTGAGTGATTGCATGTCTGTATGCAGGTGAGTGATTGCATGTCTGTGTGCAGGTGAGTGATTGCATGTCTGTATGCAGGTGAGTGATTGCATGTCTGTGTGCAGGTGAGTGATTGCATGTCTGTATGCAGGTGAGTGATTGCATGTCTGTGTGCAGGTGAGTGATTGCATGTCTGTATGCAGGTGAGTGATTGCATGTCTGTATGCAGGTGAGTGATTGCATGTCTGTGTGCAGGTGAGTGATTGCATGTCTGTATGCAGGTGAGTGATTGCATGTCTGTGTGCAGGTGAGTGATTGCATGTCTGCATGCAGGTGAGTGATTGCATGTCTGTATGCAGGTGAGTGATTGCATGTCTGTATGCAGGTGAGTGATTGCATGTCTGTATGCAGGTGAGTGATTGCATGTCTGTATGCAGGTGAGTGATTGCATGTCTGTATGCAGGTGATGGATGCATGTGTGCAGGTGTGTGAATGGTTCCAAAAAGGGTGCGAGCGATCCTTCCCTCGCAGCATCCCCCCTCCCTCCCACGTGGAAGCTGTGAATGTGCTGCTCGCCATAACAGAAAGGGTTTATTGACAGTGAAAAACGTCGTTTTCATGCTATCCCCCTTCCCTTTCCGTTCGTCCCTTGCTTTCCTCCCTTACCTCCCTCCTCCCCCGTATTTCCGATTTCCAGGAACTGTTGGGTAGCCCAGCATCTGTCCTCCTCCTCCTTCTCATGTGGAAGCAGTGTGTGTATGTTGCTCATGATTGCTGGGGGTGCGATGGGGAGGAGTGGGTGAGTGCCACTACTCTTGGAATGTTAACCCCCTCGTTCACCTCCCTTCCCTTCCCTCGTTCATGTTCTCCCATACACCCCTCGCTTCCCTCCCTCCTCAAGAACCTTTTGGGCGATCCTCCGTCCATCCCCCCTCCCTCCCACGTAGAAGCAGGGTGCGTGCTGCTCATGATAGCAGGGGGGGCGATGGAGAGGAGTGGGAGAGCGCCGCTGCTGCTCCAAGGGTATTTTAAGCGTGCCAAGTACTTGGCTAAGTGCCAGGGAACTGAGAAGGATCAGCTGGTAAATGATTCGAAGAACGCACTTAGCTGGTTGTGTTTGCAGCAAAAGCATCAAGAGCAGCAGAAACAGCAGCAGTACCAGCTCGCACCAGCCAGCAGCACCAGCTTGCACCAGCCAGCCCGCAAGCCCGAGCAGGCCGCGCTCCAGCTTGCGCCAGCCCGCGTGCCGCTCGCACCTGCCGCCCGCTGCCCGCGCCAGCTCGCCCTGTCGTGCCAGCCTGCGGCGCCCTGCTGTGCTGAGCCCGAAAAGCTGTCGGTCTCCTCCCCATGTGGTCGTTTCCTCCCACCTGCTGCAGCTGCGCCCCTGCTTCCTGCAGTTATGGCGACTGAGTCAGTCTTGCGTTTCGATGCGGAGGGTCGTGCGATTGACTTCGCTTCGTGGCTGCTGGAACTCAAGCTCTACCTGCGGAGCCAGCTTCAGCAGGAGATCTCCCTGTACGATCACGCTTCGGGTGAGCTCCCAGCCCCGCCGCGTCCTTTTGGTCTTGCTGCTGACGCCACGCCAGCGCAGAAGGAGGAGTACCGCGAGGCTCGACTAGAGCGCGCGCAGTGGGAGGCGTGCGACGCCGCTGCGCGCCTTGCTATTGGTCGCCACCTCCCGCAGGCCGAGCGGAAACACTTTTGCCATGTGGAAACAGCAAAGGAGTGCTTTGATGCTGTTATCGCTCGCTACTCCACTCCCTCCTCTGCCTCTTTGGGCCGCCTCATTCTGCCTTTCCTCTTTCCAGATCTCTCTGCGTTCTCCACCGTTGCTGATCTCGTTACCCATCTGCGCTCGCTTGACGCTAGCTACCGTGCAGCTTGCACTACTGAGGTTCTTGCTGTGCACCCGCCCCCCATGTATATCACCCTGTACCTCCTCGCGACCCGCCTTCCTGACCGCTTCGCACCTGCTCGCGACGCTTTCCTCGCAAAACACCCAATGAACCTCACTATCGATTTCTTTGAGAAGCGTCTCACTAAGATCGAGACCCGCTTACTCGCCATAGCCTCCTCCTCTAGTACAGTGCTTCCCCCCATGTTTGAGGGATGCGCCCCATCCTTCCTCGCCGCCGCCTCTGCGTCGGCTGCTGTTGCTGAGCCTGCTACCCCGACAGAGGTTGCAGCAGTTGTTGCCTCTGGTGAGCAGCGACGTCGCAAGGGTGGTCGGAAGCGTGGAGGGGGTGGAGGGGGTGGAGGGGGTGGAGGAGGTGGAGGGGGTGGAGGAGGTGGAGGGGGTGGAAGTGCTGGTACGTCTGGGGGAGAAGACGCTGGAGGAGGTCATGAGTCTGGTGGTACGGGCGGAAGAGGTGCTGGTCCTAGGGGTGTGGCGGTGATGCAGCAGCAGCAGCAGATAGAGCATTGGGCCTCTCTACAACAGTGGAGACCTAGCGGTTTGGGGAGCGTCGGCCACGGTGGCAGCCCTGACAACTGGGTGGCGCATCGTCGGGACGTCGGGCCCTGTCAGTACCGACTTCTGACCGGTCCGGGTGCTGGCACCGTCTGCGGGCGACATGATCACTCCGCTATGCGCTGCTTCCGCCGTCTCGACGACCTTTATCGCTTTCGTTTTTTGTCTCAGGTGGTCACCCCGGACTGGCTTGCGCTGCTGCAACGTGGTTTGCCTTTGTTTAGTATGGACATGTCTGATATTTTTTCTGTTCTGTATGCCGTTGACCATAGTGCTGTTGGATCTTTTTATTCGTGTGTACTTAGACTAGGATCTTTAGCTGTCTCTAGTGTCGAATCTTTTGGCACAGCTGCGTCCACTACTAACGCGTCGCTCTCTTTGACGCTCGACTCCAACACTTCTCAGCGTTTCTTTCTCGACCACGCCCGCCTCTCGTCACTTTCAGCTCCTGTCGCTGTCCCTCTGGCTGGAGGGAGGGAGGGAGGGGAGGGAGGGAGGGAGGGGAGGGAGGGAGGGAGGAAGGGAGGGAGTCCAGATTCAGAAGCTCCTGTGAAGGGAGACCGGTTTTGATTTTCCTAAACCAGGGAATTTTCCAAAAGAGAAATGTCAAAGAGTAAGCCAATAGAAGTGTAAGCAACATCAATTGTTCCCGATTTGCGAAAGACGAAAAATACCTGCCGGCCCGGAGGACAACAACTCCCCCCTTATTTTAGCCGCGGCGAATTCCACGACAGGTTGAGCGAAGTTTCTGGGGTAACCACTAGACAATTGCCTGTCGCGTGCATCCCAAAGAAAAAAGCCCCGAATGGTATAAAATTGCAATTAGCTCTTGCAGCACCAGCAGATATTCCCGTGAACCGCGTTCCCTCGTGAACACTCCGCATTGTCGCTTGCGTTCCGTTCCCCTGTGCCACGATTCGCTTCAATTCAAGCGATCGTTTGTTCTCTGATTGAGTTCGGCAGTGAAACGAGGAAGGAGAATCGATGCAAGTTCGACGGCTGATAAACCGGGAAGGCCATTCGGAGGAAATCGACGGGCGATAGGCGTCGTTGCGTCCCTGCGATTCTAGAAGTCGTCGATTCGCTGCAAGGACAGATCCTGGCCATGGATCCTACCACGATTGTCAAGGCAGCCAATCCTTGGGTGCCACGTGGACGCGTGGTGGATGAAAAGCAGAAAGTGCTGCGAACCGTACAAGGGTACGTACGGCCGTTAAATTGTACCCGTTATAGGCTGGTGCGAACAATGGGCATCAATCCGTCCCCCTTGCCCGATTCCCACTTCCCCTCCGTCCCTGCACCCACTCCTTCCCCTCCCCCCCTGCACCCACTCCTTCCCCCTCGTTTCCCTCTGCAGCATTCGCAACAAGCTCACGCCTGAGATGTTCCATCCGCTTTTTCAGAAGCAACACCCATCCCCGCTTCGCCTTCCCCCCCTTTCCCTGCCCCCCTTCGCCCTTCCCCCTTCCCCCTTCCCCCTTCCCCCTTCCCCCTTCCCCCTTCCCCCTTCCCCCTTCCCCCTTCCCCCTTCCCCCTTCCCCCTTCCCCCCTCCCTCCTCCCCCTTCCCCCTTCCTCGCGGCAGCATTCTGAACAAGCTCACACCTGAGAAGATCGACTCGCTTTTCCAGCAGCTGCTGACCGCGTTTGAGTCCACTCAAGACCCCCTCCCCTTTCCCTCCCTTCCCCCCCCTTCCCCCTTCCCCCTTCCCCCTTCCCCTTTCCCCCCCCTTCCCCCTTCTCCCTTCCCCCTTTCCCCCCCCTTCCCCCTTCCCTTTTCTCTTCACAGCATTCTCAACAAGCTCACACCTGAGATGTTCGAACCGCTCTTCCAGCAGCTCCTGACTGCCGGCATCAACACACCTGAGATCCTCCAGGTGATTATAACAGAGCAGGCCTGAATCATTCATTTCAGGTGTATTCAACAGAGGAAGTTCATGTCTGCTCATTATTTGCCGTACTTGCATGCTATCTTGCTTAAAAGAAACTCGTTCTGAATAACCCGTTCTGAATAATCGCTTCACATTCGCTTTGTCAATCTCCGCTCCCCCTTTCTTCCCTCTCCCAGGAGGTTATTTTATTAATTTTCACCAAGGCAGTAGACGAACCCACCTTCTGCCCCATTCCTCTCTCCCCACTACGTCCTGTTCGAGTGTAGAATTCACATTCCCCTCTTCACCACTCTCCTCCCCTCCCGCTCTCAGGAGGTAATTTCATTAATTTTCACCAAGGCAGTAGACGAACCCACCTTCTGCCCGATGTACGCTTCCCTCTGCGAAAAACTTTCGCAAGCGCTGCCCGAGTTTCCGCCGTCCAATGGGGCAGGAAAAGAGGAAGGGGAGCCGATTTCATTTCGCCGTGTGCTGCTGGGCACGTGTCAGGAGGAGTTTGAACGCGCTGCTAAGCAGAGACTGCAGGTGGGTGTGGTGTGGTGCAGTGGGATATGGTGCGGTGGGGTGGGGTAAGGTGGGGAAGGATGCGGTGGGGTGGGTAAAGTTGGGGTAGGGTGCGGTGGGGTGCGGTGGGGCATGGTGGCAAGTGGTTGCGGAACGCAGGTAATGGCTCGAGAAACCTGTGTTGATGGGCACGTGTCAGGAGGAGTTTGAACGCGCTGCAGAGCTGAGGAGACTGCAGGTAGGTGTGGTGCAGTGGGGTATGGTAGGTGTGGTGGGGTGCGGTGGGGCACGGTGGCAAGTGGTTGCGAAACGCGGTAGGAACCTGTGTTGCTGGGGACGTGTCAGGAGGAGTTTGAACGCGCTGCAAAGCTGAGGAGACTGCAGGTGGGACTAGTAACTTCCTGTAAAGAAAACAAGAAAACACGTGTCTCAGAAAACACGTGTCTCAGAAAACACATCAAAAGGGAGGGCATACAAGGAAAAACATACCATAGTCTGTCCTCCTCTGCTCCGCGCCCTCTTCTCTCTCTCTCTCTCTTCCTCGCTCTGTCCTCCTCTGCTCTGCGCCCCATTCTCCCTCTCCCTTCCTCGCTCTGTCCTGTCCTGTGGCAGGCTGGCGAGTTGCTGGGGTCGCTACAGGAAGGAAGCGTGGAAGGGGACGAGGGAGGAGAGGAGGGAGGAGAGGAGGGAGGAGAGGAGGGAGGGGAAGAGGAGGGGGGAGAGGAGGAGGGGGGAGAAAGGAAGACGGGAGAAGGGGACGGGGGAGAAGGGGAGGGGGTAGAAGGGGAAGGAGTAGATGAGGTGGGAGAAGGGGAAGGAGCAAAGACAAAGAGAAGAAGAAGGAGAAGGAGAAAGGGAAAGGGAGAGAGGGGAGATGCAGTGAGAGAAGGGGAGGGAGATGAGGAGGGTGGGAGAGAGGGAGAGAAAGATACAAATGAGGATGATGAAAGGGAGAAGTGGGAGAAGGAGCAAGAGAGGGAGAAAGGGAAAGAGGAGGAGAAGGAGCAGCGGAAAGCCAAGGCTCGGACATTGGGAAACATTCGGCTGATAGGGGAGCTGTTTCTTCAGAGAATAATTCCCGAGAAGGTGGTTCACTCGTGTGTGCAGGTGAGTGGTCCGATTCTATGTGCGCTGGTGTGCAAGTGCATGTGAGGTACTTAGCTAAGTATCAGAGGAGAGGGAGGAGGGGGGGGGGGGGTTGCTTGGTTGAGACAAGACGCACATTGTCCGTATGCTGACATATGCTCACTTCCTCACTTCCTCACCTCCCTCTTCCTTATTCCACTCCTCCAGGACCTTTTGGGTAATCCTTCATCCGTCCCCCCGCCCTCAACTGTCCCTCCGCCCTCAACTGTCCCCCCGCCCTCATCTGTCCCCCCGCCCTCATCTGTCCCCCCGCCCTCATCTGTCCTCCTGCCCTCATCTGTCCCCCCGCCCTCATCTGTCCCCCCGCCCTCATCTGTCCCCCCGCCCTCATCTGTCCCCCCGCCCTCATCTGTCCCCCCGCCCTCATCTGTCCTCCTGCCCTCATCTGTCCCCCCGCCCTCATCTGTCCCCCCGCCCTCATCTGTCCCCCCGCCCTCATCTGTCCCCCCGCCCTCATCTGTCCTCCTGCCCTCATCTGTCCCCCCGCCCTCATCTGTCCCCCCGCCCTCATCTGTCCCCCCGCCCTCATCTGTCCCCCCGCCCTCATCTGTCCCCCCGCCCTCATCTGTCCTCCTGCCCTCATCTGTCCCCCCGCCCTCATCTGTCCCCCCGCCCTCATCTGTCCCCCCGCCCTCATCTGTCCCCCTGCCCTCATCTGTCCCCCCGCCCTCATCTGTCCCCCCGCCCTCATCTGTCCCCCCGCCCTCCCACGCACCACTCGTTACCCTCCTTTAGTTCCCTCCTCCCCGTTCCCTCCCTCAGGATCTTCTGGGCGATCCTACATCCCTCACAACCCCCTTCCTCACATCCCGCTCGCTTACACCTCTACCCTTAATCCCCCTCCCTTCACCTCCCTCCGCCAGAACCTTTTGGGCGACCCTACATCTGTCCCCCCGCCCTCCCACGTGGAAGCAGTGTGTGTGCTGCTCACGATAACAGGGGGAGCGATGGAGAGGAGTGGAAAATTCAAGCTGCTGCTGGAGGGGTATATGAGGCACGTGAAATACTTGGCTAAGTACAAGGGGACTGAAAGGGATCAGCTGGTAAATGCTTCACGGAATGCACTTAGCCGGTTGTACCTGCAGCAAAATTCCAGGGAGCATCAGCCACAGCATCAGCAGCAGCAGCAGCATCAGCACCAGCAGCAGCAGCAGCACCAGCAGCAACAGCAGTTTCCTCTTTCCCCTCCTCCGCTCACTCCTCCCCTGCCGCACACCCTCCCTCCTCCTCTCTCCTCCCGCCTTCGATTCATGTGCCAAGAACTTCTTGCTCTTCGGAGGAACGGGTGGGTGCCTCGGAAGGAAGAGGTGACTGCCAAACCTATCGGACAGGTTTGGGCCGAAGCGGAGGCAGAGCTAGGGTTGGTGGGTGGGGGAGGAGGGAGGGGAGGAGGGAGAGGAGGGAGGGGGAAGGGGAAGAAAAAGGCAGGAGGGAGAGGAGGGGTAGGGATGGGGGGGATGGGAATGCATGGAGGTGTGGGGATGGGAGGTGGGGTGGCAATGGGAGGGGTGGGAATGGGAGGGATGGGAATGGGAGGTGTGGGAATGGGAGGGATGGGAATGGTAGTGCCGGGAATGGGAGGTGTGGGAATGGGAGGGATGGGAATGGGAGGTGTGGGAATGGGAGGGATGGGAATGGGAGGGATGGGAATGGGAGGGATGGGAGGGATGGGAATGGGTGGTGTGGGAATGGGAGGGGTGGGAATTGGAGGGATGGGAATGGGAGGGGTGGGAACTGGAGGGGTGGGGATGGGAGGGATGGGGTGGCATGGAGGTGTGGGGATAGCAGGAAGCACAGGGGTACATACCACGTCGCCACTGCCAGCACCAGTAGTGCCTTCCCCAGTTGTACCTTCCCCAGTTATACCTTCCCCACAACCAGCAGCACCCATAGCAGCAGCAGCAGGAGCAGCAGGCATGGACAGGGAAACCCAGCTCGCAATCACCATTCTCAAGTCTCTCATTCAAGGACTCAGCACACTGCAAAGCAGCACAGTGCAAAGCGGTTCAGTACAAACCAGCATCCCTGTACCACAAGGCCCCAACCCTGTGCCACTCGGCTCAACCCCTGTAACAGGACCCAGCCCTGTAACACAAGGTTCAAACCCACCAGCCACAGCAGCAGACTCTTCTCTCCTGCAGCAGTTCGGGCCGACTCTCAGCAGCAGCAAGCCGGAGGTAGCGCGTGTGATCTATGCAGGGGTGGTGACAGCGCAGCAGGCTCTGGGTGCCCATCCCAATCGGGACTATGCTGCTCGGTTTGTGCTGCAGATGATGCGGCATGGGGCCGCCGCTGCTTATGTTGCTGCAGAAGCTGATTCTGCTGAAGCTCCTGCTTCTGCTGCAGCCACTGCTAAAGCTTCTGCCCTGGATACATCTCCTGCCGTTCAGTCTTCTTCAGGATCCAACGGCTGCAATTCGCCGGCACTACCAGCCAGCCAATCGCAGCAGATGCTCGTACCCATCGGCCAATCAGCTCGCGCCGTTCTCGAGTCAGTTGCGCTGCTGCTCGACAGCCTGGCGACAAGAAAAGCTCTGCCGGACGGATCGCTGACAAGTGGCGCGTTGTCATTCGCTCGGCTGATTGGGAGAGGCAGCACCAGTCACAGGAGTGAGCTTGTAGCAAACAATACAGTGATTGTTGCGCGTTCTAGAATTGTAGATGCTACACCACCAAAAGCAGCTGCAGAAACATCAGCCATGTGGAATTCCCAGGTGCTGGGGGAATGGCTTGGGCGTTTCGTGGGCCAGGGTCAGATGGGGTTCGGAGTGGTTCAGGAGGCGTGCGAAAGGGTTGTATGCGCGGGTGCTTCTGCTAGCCGCATTACTGGGAGTCAGAGCATTAGTCGGGAAGAAATTCATGAGATTGCTGCAAGAAGCTGGAGCAAAGGGGGTTCTGAAGATGGGGGTTGGTCCGGGGGAGACTGAAGAGGTAGTTGTTAAAGTGCTGGAGAAAGGAGTAGATGAGTTATTCATCCCCCATCAGGTGCTCACTCTGCAAAATACACCACCAACCACCATCACGTACAGTATGATGATACATTGTGTTATGCTCGTTTGTCTGACAATGACATCATACAGAAATTCGTATTATTGGTGTGCTGTCGACTGGATACTGATGATCCTTGTTGCATTCTAAACAGCAATGAAAAGAGAGAAGCCTAATGCCTCTTTTGTATGCGCTAAACCCTTACCTTGTGCTCTATGGTAAACCGTCACCAGATCCTACACGTTCAACAGCTAGCCCCTCGTTCGATCCTGACCGTTGGAACAAATACCCAGATCCCGCCCCCTCATTAGATCCTGACGGTTGAAACAGATATCCAGTCCCACCACCACCACCGCCGCCACCACCTGCAGCTGGAGACCCTAGCCTTCTACCACCACCCCAACCCCCATAGTTCCCGGGACTGCCATGCCCCCCGGGACTCCCATGGGAGCTAAAATTCCCACCCCCATGATTCCCATAATTCCCTGCATTCCCTGTATTCCCGGGACTCCCATGTCCTCCGGGACTCCCATATGAAGAAGGATAATTCCCACTTCCATGACTCCCAACCCCGTGGTTTCCGCTCCCAGGATTCCCGCTTGTTGCTCCCTCAGGAGCAAATGAGCTTGATGAGAGGATTCTCCTCGGGGCAGTTGAGATCAACGGCTGAGATGCTTTGACGGAGAGATCCAACGGCCGTCGGGGGAGTGTCGGGAGAGCAGCAGAGCCGGAGGGACAGAGGGAGGGTGACGAGGGCATGTGCTGAGAGGCAATGGCAGCTGCTGCTGCAGCAGCAGCAGCGGCAGACCCCCCTGAAGATACACCTCCCCCGAATGCACCTGAAGGACCGCTTGAAGGACCACCTGAGGAAAATTCCAAATATGCACCTGAGGATAAACCTGCTGGTGCACCCCCCCGGCCGTGTAGCTCTGGTGATACAGAGGGAAGTTCTGCTATAGGCGGGAGGAAAGAGGAGGAGGAGGAGGTAGGGGAGGATGGCGCACCCATGTATGCCAGCTTGAGATGAGGGGGAGTGGGCACGTGGGGGTGTGTTGTAGCGGGGCGAGGAGGGTTGTTGCCATGCGGAGGAGCGTTGGAATCTGGGATTCCAGGAGGAGGGAGAAGAATAGAGGGAAGGTCGGAGGCTGCTGTTCTAGTTGCTGCAGCAGCAGCACCACCAGCACCAGCAGCAGCGGAAGCAGAAGCGGAAGAACCACCACCACTGCTCCCCCCACCAGCAGCAGCACCAACAGCAGCCCTGCCTTCAGTGGAGGCCAGGGCCTTGTGTAGCTGCAGCGATCGCTTGAGAGACGCAAAGTCGGGTGCATGAACCACCGTGGCCTTCACATTGTACTTATCCATTTTTATCATCGGCTGGGCCCCTCTTCCCCTCCCGCCCCCTGCTGCTCCTCCTCCCATACCCCCATCGCCACCGCCCAAGCCTGCTGCCAGCAAGTCGAATCGCCGCCTGTTCTCGGCCATGCGGGACTCTCTTGCCTTATCTTCCTCTATTGATCTTTCCGCTTCTCTTGCCTTATCTGCCTCTCTTGCCTTATTTGCCTCTCTCGCCTTCTCTGCTTCTCTTGCCTTCTCTGCTTCTCTTGTCCTCTCTGCCTCTCTTGACCTTTCAGCTTCCCGTAACCTTTCTTCCTCCCTCACCCTTTCTGCTTCCCTCTTCCTTTCGGCCACCCTCTCCCTTTCTGCCTCGCTCTCACTTGCTGCTTCCTTTGCCAGTGCTGCTGCTTTCTCACGCTTTCCTGTGCTCTTGACTTCACTCATTCGTCTGGGGCCCTCACTCCGCTGGTCGGCTGCTGCTGCCGTTCCTGCTGCTGTGCCTGTTGCTGCTGATGATGAAGCCTGCTCCACCATCGGTGAAACAGCAGGCGGAAGCTCAGACGATGCAGAATCAGCTTGAAAAATCATGGTAGTAGATGTGGGAACAGCAGCAGCTGCACCTGGTGGGGCTTGTTTTGAGCCTGAAGAAGCACAGCCGTCCAAGGCTCTCCTAGACTGCTGCTGCTGCTGCTGCTGTTGCTGCTGCTGCTGCTGCGTTCGCCTCTGCCATTGCTCCATAATTTGCTCTTCCTGCTGCTTCCTCTCACCTTCCCTCTGCTGCTCTCCAGCCTCCCTTTGCCCAGTCTGCTGCAGCTGCCACAGCTGCTGCCACAGCTGCCGTTGCTGCTCCTTCTCCTCCTCCTGCTGCTGCTCTTGCTCCTTCTGCTGCTGTGCCTGCTTCCCTAAACCAGCCATCTCAACACTCCCGAGAACTTCGCCCTTCACAGAAACACCTGCAGCAGCAGTTGCCCTACCACTGCTGCTTCTGGGGCTGCTCTTGCCACTGCTATAATCACTGCTGGCAGGGCTGCCGCTGCCAGCCTCCGCGTTCAGACTCCCTTCCACTGACGAGTACAGAGGGTTCATGAAAGCGGGCTTTTGAGTCGATTCCAAAGCAGGATTTTGAGTCGACTTATAAGCACTGCTGGTAGGGCTGCTGCTGCCAATACCCGCCTCTCCGTTCAGGCTCCCTTCAACTGACGAGTACAGAGGGTTCATAAAAGTGGTTTTCGTGGCCAAGGAAAACGCACCTGCCTCTGCTCCTCCTCCCGCTCCCAATCCTCCTCCTGTTCCTCCTGTCCCCAGTTCTGCTTTTCGTACTTTCACAACAACCCCCCCATCATCCCCCCCTCCTCGCCCTGTTTCACCAGCTCCTAGAGCTCTAGTAGCTCTCAGCATAGGCACAGCCATAGAGCTAGCAGGGTCCTTGGCACTGGCGTAACGGGAGGCACCTGCAGCACCTGTAGCAGCTGTAGCAGCTGTAGCGGCTGTAGCACTGGTTGAAGGAACGGCGGATGTAGCAGTGGGAGCAGGAGCGCCAACTAGGATGTTGCGTGGGTTGAAATATGTTGACTTCGCAGGGGATTCGCGGGCAGCAGAAACAGGTGCCATACCAGAAGCAGAGGCAGAGGCAGAAAGAGGAGCAGAGCCGCCGGAATCAGATGCAGTTAGACTGACGGAGGCAACAGCAGCAGCCGCAGCAGCAGCGGCGGCAGCAGCGGTGGGAGTGGCTGATCTCAGGAATTGTTTTGTGTGCTTTGACGCTGCATTAGGAGCAGCATTGGGACCAGCTGCACCCGCAGCACCAGCCGCGGCACCAGCAGCTGCAGCAGCCGTAGCAGCAGCAGCACCACCACCACCAACACCAGCAAGTGCAGCAGTACCAGAAGCAGCAGCAGCAGCAGCAGCCGCGGCCTCGGCATCAACAACAGCCACAGCAGCAGCAACAACTGCCAGCAGCCCGCCTGCTCCGCCTCTCTCTGGCTGCACTCCACCTCCACCACCACCATTACCGCCAGCAGCAGCAGCACCCGCACCACCAGCACCGCCACCAGGGGGCATGCGGCCACTGAACGACATCCTAGAGGTGGCTCGCGCACAGGCCGCAGCCACTGCTTCAGCCAGCTCCTCCTGCTGCCGCTGCTGCCGCTGCTGCCGCCGCCTCTGCCTCTCCCCTCCTTTCCCCAGCCCACCGTCCATCCCGCTGCTGCTGCTCGTAGTGCTCTCTGTGCGCTCTACAGGTAGCAGGTGCGAGTGGTGGTGCGAGGAGAGTGACGGATGAGGGTGGTGCGAGTGCGACCCTCGGTTCCCTTCTCCGCCTCCTCCTCCTCCTCCTCCTCCTCCTCCTCCTCCTCCTCCTCCTCCTCCTCCTCCTCCTCCTCCTCCTCCTCTTCCTCCTCCTCCTCCTCCTCCTCCTCCTCCTCCTCCTCGTCCTCCCCCTGCTGTTCCTGGTCCTGCTGCTCCTCCCACCCGAGTCAATTCACCAGCAGCACCAATGGGTAGTGCCCCCGCATGTCCTGCAAGCATCCGCCTCTCCCAATCCCTCAGCTTACTCCCCTCCTCTTCCTCCCCTCCTCCACCCTCCTCTCCTCCTCTCTCCAAATCCCTCCCCCCATCCCCATCCTTATCTGCATCCCCATCCTCCCCATCCGCCCCCTCCCCTCCCTCCAACATCAAATCCGATATCCCATCATCCCACTCCCCATCACTCCCCTCCCCCTCCCCCCACTCCTCCTCCTCGCTATCCACACTCTCCTTCTCACTCGCTTCCCTCTCGCTCTCCGGCCGAACCCGAGTCTGAGTCAACCGATTTGCCCACAGCAGCCACTCCAGCGTCAAGCAACACGAAGCCAGCAGCGCCAGCCACACACCAGCAGTAATGGAGAATCCTGAGGAGGCTTGGATAAGCTGAAGGCCTAGGAAGAGGAGGATGAGGGAGAGGAGGAGCGTGGAGCAACCACACACCTTGTGGAATCGCCGCCAGTGGTCCCGAAGGTGGTGAGACTCGGGCGGACGGATTATCACTGCTGAAATCTGCGGGGTAAAGATGGGATTGATGGGTTGGTAGGGTAGGGAGATGGGAGGGGTGAGGTATTTGAAGCCTCCAAGAAGCACCCACACACCTTGTGGAACCGCCGCCAGTGGTCGCGCAGGTGGTGGGACTCGGGCGGACGGACAATCACTGCTGAGATCTGGCGGGCAGAGGTGGGGAATAGAATGGAACAAGGGTGGGGATCATTTGAGGTGACTCGGAAAACACCCTCACACCTTGTGGAATCGACGCCAGTTTGTCCCTTGGGTTGGGACGTACTACGAAGTTACCACGAAAACACACAGATACCATCCTTTCTCACCTGTAGGCCTGAACCAAGTCCCTCACCTGCAGCACCATGAGCGTAAAAGACAGCAGCGCCAGCAGCACGCGGTACCCCACCAACTTGGTTGAAGAAGCCCTAAAACCACCCTACAGAATCTATCCGACACACACAGAAAGCCATCCTACCTCTCCACTTCTCACCTGCAGCACCATGAGCGTGGACAGCAGCGCCAGCAGCACGCAGTACCCCACCGACTTGTGCAGCGCCTCCAGCGACATGGCAATCGTGAACGCCGCGACCGTCAGAAAGTACCCCCCCAGCTGAAACCCCTGATGCAGCGGAAACCAGTACCGACTATGCTTCCTCACATACCGCCCCGAAACCGCCCCCACCGGCAGCATAAACGCCCACGCCGCCACACTCAGCGCCGAATACACCACCCCTGCCGTCGTCACCGTCGCCGCGTTCGGATCCACGTCTGTCTCCTTGCCAAAGTCTATCGGCGCGCTTGCCATGGCGGCGACTCCGTCTGGGGAGAGGGAGTCATTGGAAGGGAAGAACTGGGTGCCTTTGGTCCAGAGGAGCACTGCGCCGGATCGCTGCCGGTGGGGGAGCTTGATGGTGAAGAGCAGCGTGAGGGACCCTGCTTGGAGCTCTGCTTTTGCGGAGATGAGTGAGAGGTTGCCGCCTCGAACCATGGCAGTTTGCTCCTGTGGCGCGATGGTGGCAGCACTGCTACCGTCACTGCTGCTGCTGCTGCCGCCGCTGGTGCCGCCGCTGCTGCTGACGGTGGTGAGCGTGCCTGTGGTGCTGCTAGTAGCACTGGCGTTGCTGCTACCTCCCTCCTGCTTCACAATCTGATACTCCTCCACCTTCAGTCCCCCGCTTCCGTCCTCCGCCCTCACTGCAACCAGCATCGAGGCACCCACTAACGAGTCCGGCTTCACATACCCTCCCTCCGCGCTCTCATTCCCCCCCGCCGGCGCGGGGGGAGGGCTAAACAGCGCCTCTAGAAGCGGAGTCGGCGGCGGTAGCAGCAGACCTACTGCAGCATACCCCTGGGGGGAGACTGACTGGGAAATGAACGCACCAGACAGCTCCTCTTTCCCCAGAGTCCACATGAAAAAGAACCCCCCTGGTAGCGCCTCACAGGACGCGAATTTCCTGTTTTCCCCTTCAAACGTCGTGCTGCACTGAGATAAGCCGGAAATCACCGCCCCGTCGTCCCACATGGACGGCTCGCCGGGCGGGGAGGGCAGCAAGCCGGGCGGCAGAGGCGGGTAGCTGAGCTCTGGCGTATTCCAGAGCGGTTCACAGGAGTTTGTCGCTTTGGCAGCGTTCAAAGTGATGTTAATGGAACCGGAAAAGAACGCAGCAGAGGCGGCATGTGGGAGGAGTTGCGGCAGCGAGGGGGTGGAGGACGGGAGAAGGGGTCCCGTGGCGAAAATGAACAGCAGCGGGCGGGAGAGGTCGGTGTTGTTGGGGACTGCAGAGGGGAAGCTTATATCGAATCGGCGGTCAAAGAAGGGGTCGGTGGAGAGGGCGAGGGAGCGGCGGAAGCGGACGAAGGAGACGTCTGCTTGGCGCGCAGCGAGCGTGAGGTTGACGTTGTTCAGAGAGGGGGAGGAGCCCAGCAGCGCGTCCTGATGTGGGGGAGCGATGGGAAGGCAGATGGGAGCAGACGAGAGGTTGGTAAAGAGGTATATTTCGGAAGCGGACGAAGGAGACGTCTGCTTGGCGCGCAGCGACGGTGAGGTTGACGTTGTCGAGCGAGGGAGAGGAGCCCAGCAGCGAGTCCTGATGGGGGGGGGTAGTAGTGGGAGGGAGCAGGCGAGAGGTTCGTGGGGTTTTATTCCTGAGAACCTCTCACGGAAAAACGTCTTGCTTGGCGCGCAGCAAGGGTGAGGTTGACAATGTCCAGGGAGGGAGAGGAGCCCAGCAGCGCGTCCTGATGGGGGGTAGTGGCAGGAGCAGGACGGGAGGGGAGTAGGAAGTGGGGTAAGAGGGGGTGGGTTTTGAGGTGCTCGAAACTAAATTGCTTATGGAGGGGAGAGGAGCCCAGAAGAGTATCGCCCCAAAGGGTTCAACACGCCTCCCCCATTGGAGGTTTCTGAGGTGCTCGAAACTAAGGTGCTTATGGAGGGGAGAAGAGCTCAGAAGAGTATCGCCCCAAAGGGTTCAACACGCCTCCCCCATTGGAGGTTTCTGAGGTGCTCGAAACTAAGGTGCTTATGGAGGGGAGAGGAGCTCAGAAGAGTATCGCCCCAAAGGGTTCAACACGCCTCCCCCATTGGAGGTTTTGATTCACCGGGCACCGGATACAACGGGACTCACCGGGCACACGCCCACGTATCCACCTGCGATCTGCTCACACGCCTCCAGCGCCGTGACGTAGAAATCCGTTGCAAAGGCATCGGGCGCCCCACTCCCACCATTACTGCCGCTGACGCCACTACCAAAACTGCTGCTACTACCAACACTGCCGCTACCGGCAACACTGCTGCTACTGCTACTGCTGGTGCTACCGATGCTGCTGCTGGTGGAGGAGAAGATGCCTGTAGCGGCGATGTCGCTGCTGTGCATGTCCGCTTGCGACTGGTTACCCGACAGGCCCAGGGCCATCCAGCTGTTGTCAGGCACCTTGCCCTCCAGCCCAAATTCCACCGCCATGCCGTTTATTGGGTCGCCTACCATGCGCCAGTAGCTGGGGGGGGGGTGTGGAAAGGAAGAGAGGGGGGGAGAGGAGGGAGTTTCGAGCCAAGGGGATTAACGTGGGGGACGATCTGTGACAGAGCAGCGAACAAGGGAAATACAAATTTCCGTTTGGGCTTGAACGAGGGAAGCCAAGAGAGGCATTGACCGACTAATGGACTCCTCGTCGCGACCTACATGTTCAGCCGGCCCTTCTTCGCAGTGACGCAGTTCACGAACCCCAACGCGGGGGACGCCACGGGCGGAGGGGGAGGCGGAACCGGCGGGGGCGGCGGCGGCATAACCGGCGGCGGCGGCGCCAGCAGCCGATTCTCTTTCGCATACTTCAAGACCTGCTTCCGCAGACCTTCGGAAGCTTCCGTTGCGCTTCCTGGCAGCAAATCTGCCCCCCCAGCACCTTTGCCGCTGGCACCTGCGGCCCCGCCAAGGGTAAGGCGCCTGGGCAGCTGCAGCTGCGCCAAGATTTTCTGTAAGACCCCCGCGGGGGTGGTAGTGACGAGGTAGAGAATGTGTATGTTATCCCATGTGCGGCCCTGGGAGCCGATGTGAACGGCGAGGAGAGGAGAGGCGGAGGCGGGGTTGAGGGAGGAGAGGGCGGGATCGAGAGGGGACGCGTAGGAGAATGGATCGTCGCCGGCGATTCCCCCCCAGAGGGAGAGAGAGGGAGTGCTGTTGGCTGATTTCAATCTGGAGGAGAAGGGGGAATGGGGGGAAGGACGAAGGTGGAAGAGTGGGTTTGGGGAAGAACTTCTGCAAAGGAGTTTTGCGAGGAGATGCTTGCGAAGAGACTAGCGTGCGAGCGGAAAGGAGTGAGAGGGCTGCGGGAGAAGATCGGTTGCACTGAACTCACGAGAGCGAGGAGAGGGCGAGGTAGCAGTCGTCATACACCGTCACGAGCGCAGACAGCTGAATGCGCGGATGCAGAGGGGTGAACGCGCCTCTAAAACCCACCACCGAGTAATTCCCTGACACGCCGCACGGTGCGTAGTTTTTACCCGAAAACAGAATGGCTTCTGCGCTCAGTAATAGCGACGCGTTTGGAAACCATGCACTGATAAAAATCGCCAACAGGGCTATTAATAACCGATGACTCAACATCGGGTGCACATGTGACAGATGTTGGTGCGGTCCGAATGAAGCCGTCGCTTGCTTTTTCCTGCGCGCACGCCATATTGATCTAACTTCTGTGCGTCTTTGTTTGCTGTTCGTGCATGTACAATCTCGTGATGCTGCTGTTGCTGCGACTTCTGTCGCGACAGAATCAGCTATAGTCAAACCCATTGTGCTATTGCGCGTCGTAGTCTACTGCGGCTCGCATGTTCTGTGCACTGTTGATCATGCTCTCACACTGGTGCGACAAATACACGCCGTCAGATCTTGTGGTTTGAGGTTCGTGCAGGGCACAGAGGAGAAAAGCTGCAGCGACGAGGAAAGCGTGAGACTATTAAAAACAGCTGGCGTCTCCTCACGTAGCGTTACGGAGGATTATTATTCAATCACGAACTTGACCTGGACCTTCCTAGACGTTTCTAATGCCCGGGTGTCCTTTGCATGTGGCAGCTTGCTCAACCGAAATCATGAGGCTAACGAACGAGCCTAGCAGACTCGCTAAAGACGTCGGTTTGGAGGAAAGAAGGAGCGAAAGTAAGAGGAGAGAAGGACAACAGGAGGTCAAGGAAGCACCCCTGAGGGCTCTACGGTCTTGACGGGGAAGCTTGTTCAGGGAAGGTGAAGTAACCACGACGGGTAGTACTAGTCACCACCGATGAAGCAGAGCACAGCAGAGTGGGATGAACATGAAGCCCATTGAGCGTCTCGCTGGCTGATGGAGAAGTGATGGGGGAGCTCAAGGATGTGACCGTTAGAGGAGCTTCGAGGGACAAGTGCAATTGGCGGGAATGGTTGTCAGAAAAGGAGCATTTTCCGTGAATTGGTGGTCACCCTGATCGGGCAGTTTACTTTGTTCAGAAATGGTAACTTATCGAGATTTGTGCCACGCAAAACGTGGAGATAGAATCAAATTTTGAGGGATTTTAATAATGATATTCTAATGAAATTTATTTTAAGGTCATTATTAATTTTTAATCAGGTTAGGGCGAGAATGAAACGTAGCACCAGCTAAACCGCGGCTCGCTTGAAGTGTTGGGATGGCGCGCCTCGTTGGTGGCTGGCCGATTGTGATACGCCAGTGCCCTGTCGCTTCGCTGCCACTTACGAAAGAGCCGAAGCATAATATAGAGTGTAGATTAATGATATTGAGCACCACACACAAAGTTCATAACGCGTACACTTTCTCACCCACCATTTCCTCTACTTTCTCAGAATTGCCCTGGTCTCCTCGTCTGTCATAGTCTCACACCCACGAAAAGCCAAAAAGAAGGTTGTCGACTTCTCGATTTTAGCATTCGAATATTGCAGAATTGAGGAATTCTCGTTATATATATTTTCCAGCCGAGTCATGACCTGCGAAGTGTTCGAGCTGAAAGAGCTGGTGGGTGATGGCAGAGTGTTTTGCTTCACAAAGAACCACCGAAGCTCTTTCAGAAAGAGTTATCTTAGACGCCGAGTTGACACCTGCGCGGTCCGTAGCAATATGCTTTTCATGTTGAATGCTATTATGGGGAGTTTGTTCTTCTCGAATTTTACAGATTATTCATACTTCTTTACGTCATTTCGTGCCTTCGCCTTCCGTTCTTACGTGTCGCCCAGAATATTCCTGCCGTGACGATAATATTTCTCTCGACGTGTGGTTGTGTTGGGTCTGTCTGCGCCTGTGCGTGTGCCTTTATCTGCGCCTGTGCGTGTGGCCCCCCTCCACGGCCGATGTACTTGCATGGACCTTGTTCCCTGACAGCTGCTCGAGCATTATCAAATTCGCGAGGTCTTACGATGTGAGTTGCTTCGCACTGCCCAGTACTACTCGCCCTTATTTTCCCTTCTTTACTCTCCTCCTCTCATCTCTATCTCCTCTTCCCTCTCTCGTTCCTTGCCTTACCAATTCCTTCCCCTGTCCTCCCTCTCTCCCTTTCCCCGGCCTCCTCCACACCATCATGTTCCATTGGGCTCTCTTCTGTGGCTCCTCGAAATTCCTTTGTCTCCCCCTCCCAACATCCCCCGAGGTCTCCGTCACACAATCTTGTTCCCTGAAGGCCTCAAAAGCAGATGTTTTCCTCTTTCTCCTCCCCCTTCTTCCCACTCGCCTCTCCATCCCATCCCCCCCAGGTCTGCTTCACACCATCATGTTCCATCGGGCACTGGGTCTAGTTCGACCCAAGAGCATTGACTCAGAGCTCTTTGATATCACCTATGTGAGCTTCTCTTTGCCATCTACCCGACTTCCTTATCATTGCATTTCCATTCTATGCCAAAGAGCTGTGTCATCTCTACCAATTTGTGCTCCTTGTTCTACCTGTGTGCACTCTCTGTGTCTCCTTTGCGCCATCCTTACCTGGTGCCGCTTTTCGTCTGCTGCTGCTCCACATTTCCAGGTGCAGTGCGGAGATGCAGAGGTGGAGAGACAAATAGAGGAGAAGATTGGCCAGTTTAGTCTATGGCTTGAAAAGAACCCCACCAAGAAAGGACAGGTAGGTACTACTTTATTAAGAGATTAGCTTAGAGCTCGTTAGTCAGTTATAAAATCTTGTCCCCGCATGCATGCACATTCATTTACTACAGCTTTGTTTTTTTAGCATCCTTCCATCATTCCATCGTTCTGTCTCCCCCCTCCCTACTCTACCAGATCTGCCTTTCTTTCTTTGAGAAGCGCCGTCCAATCACAAGCTCCAGCTCATCAGCCACGTCACCTGGTGGCAACACAGCTGGCACAAGAAGTGGAAGCGGTAGCAAAACCAGCACCGGCAGCAGTGGTAGTGGTGGCGGCAGTGGCAGCGGCGCTGGTGGTGGTAGCACAAGGAAGGACGCAGCAGCATCATGGTTGAGTGCGAGTGCCGCCCGATTGAGCCTAGGATCAGATAAGATCACATGGGAACAATGGATCATCCCTGTCTCACTCCTCACCTCCGCTTCAAGCAGTGCGTCTGGCCAGCCCTCCTCCTCCCCTTCCTCCTCCTCCTCCTCTTCTCCTGCACACACTAGTGCAGTACACACCACTTCTCCCACCACCTCTGCCCCCTCCACCGTTGCTGTCAATGGGACACTGCCATCCCCTTCACCATCCCCATCACACTCATTTTCCCCCACTGCTTCTCATGCTGCTTTCACCAACACTGCTGCGCCATGTAGGCCTGCTACTGGCCTGTCAGTCGCATGGCAGCAGCACCAACAGCAGGGGCAGCAGGGGCAGGGGCAGCAGCGCAGTACACAACTAGAGGCGGATGTGAGGGAGGCACTGCTTTCAATTCTCACAATGGCCAATGAGAAGAGAGACCACCTTCCTCCAGTCCTCACCTCCTCCCTCGTCTCTTTCCCCTTTGAAATATCTGTCCCAAGGTGTGTAAAATCATGATTGTTTCTCCTTGTCCCCAAGTATCTCAGTCACCTACAGATCCTTTCATGTTCAGGCTGGTTTCTAACCAATTTTATCGTTATGTGTGTGTGTACATCCTTGTATCTGCCTGAGCAGCATGTCAGACTCATTCGGAATGGATGTGTTGAAGAGGATGCTGCAGACAGCACCACACCATGTGCTGGGTTAACACTGATTGTTGTGAAGGCCTAGTAATGGCATTCTTGTACATATGGGAAATCAATGTGTACAGTGTTCTACGTTGTGCAGGATCACTCTTTCTTCATATTCGTGGTTGCCTTTCCTTCTGTTAGGAATCATTTTCTTCAAGTGAAGCATTCAAGAAGTTCTTGAGGGGTTAAACAAACGCTACATATAAGAAACATAACAATCAAAGGATAAGCGTATTTTACCCTCCAGTTTGCAAGCCTTGTTACCATAACGAGGATTTGCGACACTGCAAGTCCCGATGAAGTTGGCAGCTCTCCTCCACACTGAGCATTTGCCTCACACTCTGCGAAACCGGGCCGCTCTGGTGTGTGTATTTCTGAGTAGTTATCACTGGGATAGCTCCCCTATAGTTCTCAGACAAATGTTCCAGTAAAACGTCCCGCCATTCTTCGGGGTCCTCTCAGCGCTGCTGTTCGCGAATTTCTACTATCTGATCATGGTAGCTCGTCGCGTGCTCTCTCCGTTACCAGCGCTCGATGAAGCGTCGCTCGCGGCGCTGCTGCAGCGGCACGGGCTGAAAGAGTCGCACAGTCGGACGGTTGTCAGGTCAGCGCTGATGGAAACAGATATTACTGCAGGGGTTCAGGAATCGCACAGCACGGGCTGAAAGAGTCGCACAGCCGGACGATTATCAAGCCAGTTTGGGACAATGAATGGGTTTTCCCCCCTTAAACCGCGAGCTGTCTACCGACCGGTTTTAGAGACAGCACTGCAGTAGCAGCACGGTCTGAAAGAGTCGCACAGCCAGAATACTAAGTACTGGTCAGATGTGAAGCGTCTTAAAACTCATTGCTACGCTGATTGCTTCTTGTATTCGCACTATTATTTGCTCCTGTATTCGTTTCAATGTCTTTCCCGTTTTATCCTGTTCAGTCATGTCGTTCACTTAAGCGGACCTGGGTTCGTGGACTCCATACTCGCTAATGCGTACCTCGTTTCCAACCTTGTATGCCTGTCTCATACCGTTTCCAAATCCAGCCATGTCATCAGAACACGTGGCTTGGGTTCGTGGACAGACATTCCGAAGCTGCCCCAGCCTCTGTACTCGCTACTGCAAGATTCGTTTGTAGCCAGCACGTCCGAAGTCGTGGAGGAGAAAACATCACAGGATGGCGAGACGATAAAGCTATTGATAAGGCTACAGGACGGGTTGACTGTAGAAGCAGTGATTATGCGTTATGATGCGTCAGAGGGACGCTACAACGGGGGACAACGACCCGGCGGAGAAAGGGCGACGCTGTGTGTGTCTTCTCAGGTGCGACTATCTTGTCATCCCACCCAGTTCCGCCAGTTCACACGGTTGGTGTGTGATTGCAGGTGCAATTCTTGTCCCCACACGGTTTCTCCCATTCGCACAGTGATCATGCATTACAATGCGTCAGTCGCACATGACATCCCATAGTTTTTTATGCACCCATGCCTCCATGGCTGCACGTGGGGTGCACCATGGGGTGTTCCTTCTGTGCCACGGGCACCATGTCTCGCCCGATTCGTGCTTGAATCTATTATCTCAACCCTTGCCTCTTCGTCTACCCATGCATGACCGCAGGTGGGATGCGCCATGGGGTGTTCCTTCTGTGCCACGGGCACCATGTCTCGCCCCATCTTAATCCATGCTTCTTCTCTGCGCCTGTGCGTGTATGCATGACTGCGCTGCATGCAGGTGGGGTGTGCCATGGGGTGCTCCTTCTGTGCCACGGGCACCATGTCTCGCCCCACCAGCCTCACAGCCGGGGAGATCGCCGAGCAGCTGCTGCTGGCATCCCAGCGAGTCCCCATCCGGAATGTCGTCTTCATGGTATGACATCAGCTGTCTGTGCATTCATGCATGTCTTGTGTTCACGTCACAGGAAGTGCATGCATGCATGTGTGGTTCATCATTGCTGCATGCATGCATGTTGGATTCTTATTAGGTGCATTCTTAAAGGCACCTTAAATTGGTGCATTCATCCATACATGCTGCCCCGTGCGTCTCTGCTTCAGCTGCACCTCTCTTTCTTCGTGCCTTTCCTGCCATGGCAGGGCATGGGAGAGCCGTTCAACAACCATGCGGCAGTGAAAGCAGCAGTGGAGCTGATGGTAGCTCCATACGGCTTCTGGTGTGCCTTCCCTACCTCCCCTGCTTCTCTCCCCATGGCAGGGTATGGGAGAGCCGTTCAACAACCATGCGGCAGTGAAAGCAGCAGTGGAGCTGATGGTAGCTCCATACGGCTTCTGGTGTGCCTTCCCTACCTCCCCTGCTTCTCTCCCCATGGCAGGGTATGGGAGAGCCGTTCAACAACCATGCAGCAGTGAAGGCAGCAGTGGAGCTGATGGTCGCTCCACACGGCTTTCACATGTCGCCCAACCACATCACCGTCTCCACTGTGGGTGCTAGACGTGCTTGCACACATGTTTTTGTGTGTCCCACTCCAAGCCTCACGGCTTTCACCTGTCTCCCAACCACATCACCGTCTCCACTGTAGGCCCAAAACGCCAACTTGCTTGCACACGTGTGGGACATCACATGTCACTTAATGATATCCACTTCAAGCCACTCGGCTTTCACATGTCGCCCAACCACATCACCGTCTCTACAGTAATTCCCATGCCTTGCAGGCACATATGTGCCAGATGTATCGCATTGTACGCAACAGTATCCTCTTCGGATCTCACAGGTTCCACATGCCGCACAAACAGCCACATCAGTGTCTCCACTGTAGGTCATTGCCTTTCTTGCAGACATCACACAAGCACCCCTTCCTGCTCCTTCTCCCTCCCCTCAGTCAACCTTACCCTCTCGCTGCACGCCTATCTTCTAGGCGAGTCAATCATCAGCTTACCTTCCATACTCCTTCCTTCCCCCCACACTCCTTCCCTCCGCCCCATCAGGTGGGTGTGGTGCCGCATATTCGTTCCTTCGCCTCTGCCTTCCCCTCTGTCAACCTCGCTCTGTCCCTCCACGCCCCCTCGCAACCCCTTCGCGTCTCCATCGTCCCGTCGGCCCGAGCCTACTCCTTGGATAAACTCATGCAAGCAGTCGACGAGTACCAACAACAAAGGTACGGCGAAAGAAACCAGTTTTTACCAACGAGAAAGAAACCCTATGGAGTGCCTCTGCAACGCACGCCCCGGTTCGCCATTAGCTTGCATGTGTTGTCAGGGCTACACGAGACAAGTTCAATGCGCATCAAAACCTTTTCTCTGTGTGTGTGTGTGCAGTGGGCGGCGGGTATTCATGGAGTACATCCTGCTGGGAGGGGTGAATGACAGCATCAGTGTGGCGCATGAAACAAGTGTTGACACGCCTCAAAACCTCTTCTCTTTCCATGTGTGTGTGCAGTGGGCGGCGAGTATTTATCGAGTACATCCTGCTGGGAGGGGTGAATGACAGCATCAGTGTAGCACACGACCTGGGGCTGCTGCTGCAATCACGCAACGTGGTAAATGCTCAATCAGAAGTATTTCCTGGATGCACAGTTGCTTCAGACCCTGCCATATATCCCTCCGCATGTCTAGATTTCGGGCTTGTGCTGCTGCTGTTTTTAGCGTTGGAAATGTCTAAAGCGTTTAACCTTATGCTAATGTAATCCCTTTCTATTTGTTCGTCCAGGTTGTAAACCTCATTCCATACAATCACACGGAGGTGGTAGCAGATTATCGACCGTCCACTCCCGTGGCTGCAGAGGCCTTTCAGAAGGTCTTACGAGGGAGTTATGGATTACGAACCACCATCAGGCGCGAGAAAGGGAATGACATCGCAGGGGCATGCGGCCAACTGGCAGTTAAAGCCCTGAAGGGTGGTGGTTTAGGGGAGTCTAGGTTAGAGGAAGGTGTCTCAGGAGGGGTGGGGAGGAGGGTTGTGGGGGTCCTAAGGGTTTCGCCAAGCAAAACGGGTGGCACTGGTACTGGTAGTGGGAGTGGGATGGGGGAGAGAAAGGTTTGTGGAGGGTCGATTGGTGGTGGCTTGTTGGACATTGAAGACATAGGATGATTGATTTGTAAGGCACCATGAACTAGTAGAAGTTGGATATAAGAGGCGTAGCTATGACCTCTCTAACAGACGCTTTGTGGAGGAAGCAGTCGAATCACCGATTTCAGCCCATAACGGGTATAAACATTTGTGGACGGTGCTTGCATGTGGCCAGAAACTTCAATTTCGGTGACTGGATTTCGAAGGCCGCGTTCCGCAGTGCTCCTAAACCCTGATTTCGAACGGGCGAATTGCTTCCGATGGGTCGCAAACATGCTGGAATGTGACGGCTGAATCGCCCAAGCCGTCAAGGAAACCTCTCGCGAGCTGTACGATGTTATCGCCATGAGCTCTGCGAGAGGTCAATTGCTGAAAACTGCTTCTCATTCGAGACTGTGGAGCTTCGCAGGTTTGGGTTGGTCAATAGGAGCAACGAGCTGACGGCGAGCACTGACGGGCGTCAGCATTATCAAAGTTCTCTAGCGCGCTGACAGGTGGTGCAGAATGTGTCATTGGCTGCGACATCCAATCTTCAAGTACGACACGTCCTGAACTGGCAGCTGCAGACTGGCTCTGAATCATGGAATTAATCTCTAACAAAACTTGTGTCGAGCGACGCGCACACCATGTTCGGAAAACGCTCTTCAAGTATTCGGATTGCGTTATGAAACTCCCTAGGTGTGGAAAAAAACGGGTCGCACTCCAACCTGACTAGCAATCTACGATTGGTCAGGTCACCCCCTTCCCGAACTGGTGGTGCAGGTGCTCCCAGTTCCCAACCCAAGGCCCGTTTCTCTGCTGCTTTGCCTTTCCCTATTCTTGAGTTGGTTTTGCATTAGACCGCCTGCGAAGTGCATCTTTCCGCATCACCAGCTAACCGTTGGTGCTTTAATCGAAGGAGTTGTCGCTGCATTCGCCATGGCGTCGCACGTCGCATGCCGTCCGTCCGCAGCGAATAGTATAGTATCAAGCAGTCGCCAGCCAATCCCCTCGCGATCTCCATTGTCTATCACAATGTGCGAATCGCATGTGCGAAAAGCACGAGCGACTACTGGTTACTGTACTCCGAGTCAACAACGGAGAATCGTCGCGACGGCCTTCGGATCGCTGCGGACGACGATCGCCGCATTCTCCTCCGAAAAGCCTGCTCGTTCACAACCCTCCGCTAAGGCCCGACGAAGCCCGGCTGTGAACAGCGCGAGTGGCGCAGCTGGCGAAACAGCAGCTGGAGCAATAACGGAGAGTCCGCCGTATAATCCGGGTCTGTTCGGTCGGCTCGCGCTCGCGAACTTCAGGCAGAAACTTGTTGATGTGAGCAGTGGTGGGGGGAGGTGAAGAGGGATGGGGGGAAAGTGGGGGGAGTGAAGTGGGATTGGGAGAGGTGAGGAGCGGGCTGTGATGCGAATGTGGGCGAAAGTGGGTAGTTGAGTTACAGGTGTGGCCGTGTGAGAGAGCAAGCCGGGTGTTTTTGAGCAAGTCGGGTCTATCTGGTGCGTCGGGTGTTTTGAGTTGTCTCGAAATTGATTCTTTTTCACGAGGAGTGAGCTGTGATGTGAAATGGGGTCCTTGAAATGTGAAGGGGAGAACTGAGTCTGCCGTGTGTGAGAGCGAGCCGGAAAGCTGCTGCTGATGCCCTCTCCCTCGCCCTCGCCCTTGCCCTCACCTGAGTCTCTCTCGCCCATCAGTTCGCCCAACTTCCTCCCTTCCCCTATCCCACTTCCATCCCCCTATCCCGCTGTTGACTCTGCGTTCAGGTGGTGGGATGAGCTCGCCGAAAGAGGGGTACGACGGGATGATAGAGGAGGCGCGAAAGCTGCTTTTGAGTCGACTCAAAAGTCACCTGAGTCGACTCAAAAGGAGGGGTATGACGGGGTGATAGAGGAGGCGCGAAAGCTGCTTTTGAGTCGACTCAAAAGTCACCTGAGTCGACTCAAAAGGAGGGGTATGACGGGGTGATAGAGGAGGCGCGAAAGCTGCTTTTGAGTCGACTCAAAAGTCACCTGAGTCGACTCAAAAGGAGGGGTATGACGGGGTGATAGAGGAGGCGCGAAAGCTGCTTTTGAGTCGACTCAAAAGTCACCTGAGTCGACTCAAAAGGAGGGGTATGACGGGGTGATAGAGGAGGCGCGAAAGCTGCTTTTGAGTCGACTCAAAAGTCACCTGAGTCGACTCAAAAGGAGGGGTATGACGGGGTGATAGAGGAGGCGCGAAAGCTGCTTTTGAGTCGACTCAAAAGTCACCTGAGTCGACTCAAAAGGAGGGGTATGACGGGGTGATAGAGGAGGCGCGAAAGCTGCTTTTGAGTCGACTCAAAAGTCACCTGAGTCGACTCAAAAGGAGGGGTATGACGGGGTGATAGAGGAGGCGCGAAAGCTGCTTTTGAGTCGACTCAAAAGTCACCTGAGTCGACTCAAAAGGAGGGGTATGACGGGGTGATAGAGGAGGCGCGAAAGCTGCTTTTGAGTCGACTCAAAAGTCACCTGAGTCGACTCAAAAGGAGGGGTATGACGGGGTGATAGAGGAGGCGCGAAAGCTGCTTTTGAGTCGACTCAAAAGTCACCTGAGTCGACTCAAAAGGAGGGGTATGATGGGATGATAGAGGAGGCGAGCAGGCTGCTGCAAATGCCCTCTCTTTCTCTCCACATACTCCCCCCAACCTCCGTCCCCCTATCCGCTCTTCGCTGTGATTTCAGGTGGTGGTGGGATGGAGCTCGCGTAAAGAGGGGTACGACGGGATGATAGAGGAGGCGTGCAGGCTGCTGCTGATTCCCTCTCTCTCTCTCTCTCTCTCTCTCTCTCTCTCTCTCTCTCTCTCTCTCTCTCCCTTCATTGCTCCCCACCTGTGTCTCAGGTGGTGGGATGGAGCTCGCCGAAAGAGGGGTACGACGGGATGATAGAGGAGGCGCGGAAGCTGCTGCAGATGCACCCCGATCGCAAGAAGAGCGAGGAGGACGCGGTGAGAGTGTGTGTGTGTGTGTGTGTGTGCGTGTGCGTGTGCGTGTGCGTGTGCGTGTGCGTGTGCGTGTGTGTATGTGTGTGTGTGTGTGTGTGTACATACCATGAGCGTCACATGACCATAAGATGAGCATACCATGAGCGTCACATGACCATAGCATGAGCATGAATGACATGTTATAGTCACATACACACGCTGCTGTCGAAGTTGAACAGGTGGGCTGCGGAGGCCTTATTTCCATCAACTCTTGCTGTTTAGGACAGAGAAACAAACCCCATGAATGACATGTTATAGTCACATACACACGCTGCTGCTAATGCACTCGGATGGTAGGAAGAGCAAACAGGACGCGGTGAGCTGTGTGTTCTGCTCGTTATAGTCACATGCTTACTCACATACGCTCTCTATCACCCATCCCCTCTCCTGCCGCCCATCAGGTCACCATTCTACGAGCCCACTTCCCGCCCTTCCTTCTGCCGCTCTTCAAGAGGTTCTTTGCTCCATTGTGGGGCGGCCGGGTTGCTGCTGTGCTCTGTGGTAAGGCCGATGTACTGTTTAGCCGACTTGTTACGTTACGCTCGGTTCAGTCATTCCCGCCTTTCTTTCGCTGCTGTGCTTGATACTCCGCGCACGAACGGTGTGCTCGATATTGGTGATATCGCAGCGCGTGAAAATAGATCTGTTTTGAGACATCTCAAAGCAACATTATAATCACGTGGTAAGCGCTGCTGTGCTTGATACTCCGTGGTAGGCACTGAACAACAGCGTGCTATTTTTGAGGCGCCTAAAATATATATATAGATGTAAATATTGGCAGGGCTCGATACTCTGCACATTGTTCTGTGCTCAAGAAGTAAGCACAGAGCGGTGTGCTATCGTTTATATCACAGTAAGTGCTGGCCTCAGATCTGTGCTGTGGTGCTCCCTCCCTCCCTCCCTCCCTCCCTACCATCTTCCCTCCCTCCCTCCCTCCCTCCCTCCCTCCCTCACTCCCTCCCTCCCTCCCTCCCTCCCTCCCTCCCTCCCTCCCTCCCTCCCTCCCTCCCTCCCTCCCTCCCTCCCTCCCTCTCTTCTTCCCTCCCTACCTTCTTCCCTCCCTCCCTCCCTCCCTCCCTCCCTCCCTCCCTCTCTTCTTCCCTCCCTACCTTCTTCCCTCCCTCCCTCCCTCCCTCCCTCCCTCCCTCCCTCCCTCCCTCCCTCCCTCCCTCCCTCCCTCCCTCCCTCCCTCCCTCCCTCCCTCCCAGCGTGGGTGACGCACCTCGCCTGTCAGTGGCTCATGGGGCCGAGCAAGGTGGTGGAGATAGAGATGGAGGACGGCCGAAAGCAGCTCTCAGGGGTGAGTGCCTGTGTGTGTGGGTACGGTCACGTGTGTGGGGTGGGGACTCTGAGCACTGGGCAGGGTAGTGGCTCATGGGCTCTGGGGCGTGCCTGCCAGTGGCTCATGGGACCCAGCACGGTGGTGGAAATAGAGATGGAGGACGGCCGAAAGCAACGATCGGAGGTGAGTGTTGTGTGTGTGGGTACGGTCACCTGTGTGGGCACTGGGTAGGGTAGTGGCTCATGGGGACCAGCACGGTGGTGGCGGTGGGGAGGGAAGACGGCCGTAAGCAGCGCTCGGGGGTGAGTCCCTGAGTGTGTGAGTATGGTTATTGTGCTAGCGCTATGCATGCCCACATGCCTGCCAGTGGGTCATGCGGCCCAGCCGGGTAGTTGAGACTGAGATGGAGGACGGCCGCAAGCAACGCTCGGGAGTGAGTGTGTTGTGTATGTGTATGGCGCTGGTGGTGGTATGGTCACATGTGTGGGCATTGGGCTGGTCAGTGGCTCATGCAACCCAGCACGGTGGTTGAGATTGAGATGGAGGACGGCCGCAAGCAACACTTAGGAGTGAGTCGCTGAGTGTTTGTGGCTCTAATGGTGTGTTCACCCAGTGAACCCAGTGTGACCCAGTGTGACCCAGTATGACTCAGTGTGACCGAGTGTGACCGAGTGTGACCAAGCGTGACCAAGCGTGACCAAGCGTGACCAAGCGTGACCAAGCGTGACCAAGCGTGACCAAGAGTGACCAGGCGTGCCCAAGCGTGACCAAGCGTGTCCAAGCGTGACCAAGCGTGTCCAAGCGTGACCAAACGTGACCACGCGTGACCAAGCGTGACCAAGCGTGACCAAGCGTGCCCAAGCGTGCCCAAGCGTGACCAAGTGTGATCATGCGTGACCAAGCGTGACCAAGCGTGACCAAGCGTGACCAAGCGTGACCAAGCGTGACCAAGTGTGACCAAGCGTGACCAAGCGTGACCAAGCGTGCCCAAGCGTGACCAAGCGTGCCCAAGCGTGCCCAAGCGTGACCAAGCGTGACCAAGCGTGACCAAGCGTGCCCAAGCGTGCCCAAGCGTGCCCAAGCGTGCCCAAGCGTGCCCGAGCATGACCAAGCGTGACCAAGCGTGACCAATCGTGACCACGCGTGACCACGCGTGACCAGACGTGACCAGACGTGACCAAGCGTGACCAAGCGTGACCAAGCGTGACCAATCGTGACCAAGCGTGACCAATCGTGACCACGCGTGACCAAGCGTGACCAAGCGTGACCAAGCGTGACCAAGCGTGACCAGGCGTGACCAGGCGTGACCAAGCGTGACCAAGCGTGACCATGCGTGATCGGGCGTGACCAAGCGTGACCAGGCGTGCCCAAGCGTGCCCAAGCGTGCCCAATCGTGACCAAGCGTGACCAAGCGTGACCAATCGTGACCACGCGTGACCACGCGTGACCAGACGTGACCAGACGTGACCAAGCGTGACCAAGCGTGACCAAGCGTGACCAATCGTGACCAAGCGTGACCAATCGTGACCACGCGTGACCAGGCGTGACCAGGCGTGACCATGCGTGACCAGGCGTGACCAGGCGTGACCAAGCGTGACCAGGCGTGACCAAGCGTGACCAATCGTGACCAAGCGTGACCAATCGTGACCACGCGTGACCAAGCGTGACCAAGCGTGACCAAGCGTGACCAAGCGTGACCAGGCGTGACCAGGCGTGACCAAGCGTGACCAAGCGTGACCATGCGTGATCGGGCGTGACCAAGCGTGACCAGGCGTGACCAGGCGTAACCAGGCGTGACCAGGCGTGACCAGGCGTGACCGCGTGTGACCAGGCGTGACCAGGCGTGACCAGGCGTGACCATGCGTGACCAGGCGTGACCAGGCGTGACCAAGCGTGACCAGGCGTGACCCAGCGTTACCAAGCGTGACCAGGCGTGACCAGGCGTGACCAGGCGTGACCAGGCGTGACCAGGCGTGACCAGGCGTGACCAGGCGTGACCAGGCGTGACCAAGCGTGACCAGGCGTGACCAGGCGTAACCAGGCGTGACCAGGCGTGACCAGGCGTGACCAAGCGTGACCAAGCGTGACCAGGCGTGACCAAGCGTGACCAAGCGTGGCCAAGCGTGACCAGGCGTGGCCAAGCGTGACCACGCGTGACCAAGCGTGACCACGCGTGACGAAGCGTGACCAGGCGTGACCAGGTGTGACCACGCGTGACGCGTGACCAGGCGTGACCACGCGTGACGCGTGACCAGGCCTGACCACGCGTGACCACGCGTGACCAAGCATGACCAAGCGTGACCACGCGTGACCAAGCGTGACCACGCGTGACCAAGCGTGACCACGCGTGACCAAGTGTGACCAGGCGTGGCCAAGCGTGACCACGTGAGACCAAGAGTGACCAATCCTGACCAGGCGTGATCAATCGTTACCAGGCGTGATCACGCGTGACCAGGCGTGACCACGCGTGATTACGCGTGACCAGGCGTGATCACGCGTGACCAGGCGTGATCACGCGTGACCAGGCGTGACCACACGTGATCACGCGTGACCACGCGTGACCAAGCGTGACCACGCGTGACCACGCGTGACCAAGCGTGACCATGCGTGACCATGCGTGACCACTCGTGACAACGCGTGACCACGCGTGACCAAGCGTGACCACGCGTGACCAAGCGTGACCAGGCGAGACCAGGCGTGACACGCGTCACCAAGCGTGCCCACGCGCGACCAAGCGGGTCCAAGTGTGACCAGGCGTGACCGGGCGTGACCAAGCGTGACCAAGCGTGACCAGGCATGACCATGCGTGACCAAGCGTTACCAAGCGTGACCAAGCGTGACCAAGCGTGACCAAGCGTGACCAGGCGTGACCAGGCGTGACCAAGCGTGACCAGGCGTGATCAGGCGTCACCAGGCGTGACCAAGCGTGACCAAGCGTGACCAGGCGTGACCATGCGTGACCAAGCGTGACCAAGCGTGACCAAGCGTGCCCAAGCGTGCCCAAGCGTGACCAAGCATGCCCAAGCGTGCCCAAGCGTGACCAAGCGTGACCAAGCGTGACCACGCGTGACCACGCGTGACCAAGCGTGACCACGCGTGATCAAGCGCGACCAAGCGCGACCAAGCGTGACCAAGCGTGACCAAGCGTGACCAAGCGTGACCAAGCGTGACCAGGCGTGACCATGCGTGACCATGCGTGTCCAGGCGTGACCAAGCGTGTCCAGGCGTGATCAAGCGTGACCAGGCGTGACTATGCGTGACCAAGCGTGACCACGCGTGACCATGCGTGACCAGCGTGACCAAGCGTGACCAAGCGTGACCAGGCGTGACCAAGTGTGACCAAGCGCGACCAAGCGTGACCAAGCGCGACCAAGCGCGATCAGGCGTGACCAAGCGTGACCAAGCGTGACCAGGCGTGACATCGTGACCAAGCGTGATCAAGCGTGACCAAGCGTGATCAAGCGTGACCAGGCATGCCAGGCGTGACCAAGCGTGACCAGGCGTGACCAAGCGTGACCAAGCGTGACCAAGCGTGACCAAGCATGACCAAGCGTGACCAAGCGTGACCAAGCGTGACCAAGCGTGACCAAGCGTGACCAAGCGTGACCAGGCGTGACCAGGCGTGACCAAGCGTGACCAAGCGTGACCAGGCGTAACCAGGCGTGACCAAGCGTGACCAAGCGTGATCAAGCGTGACCAGGCGTGACCAAGCGTGACCAAGCGTGACCAGGCGTGACCATGCGTGACCAGCGTGACCAAGCGTGACCAAGCGTGACCAGGCGTCACCAAGCGTGACCCCGACCAAGCGTGACTAGGCGTGACGAAGCGTGACCAAGTGTGACCAGGCGTGACATCGTGACCAAGCGTGATCAAGCGTGACCAGGCGTGACCAAGTGTGGCCATGCGTGACCAAGCGTGACCATGCGTGACCAAGCTTGACCAGGCGTGACCAAGCGTGACCGGGCGTGACCAGGCGTGACCAAGCGTGACCAAGCGTGACAAGGCGTGACCATGCGTGACCAAGCGTGACCAAGCGTGACCAAGCGTGACCAAGTGTGCCCCTCTTCCCCCACTGTCTCTTTTGCCTGCTTTCTCGTTCTTCCCACTACCTGGTGAAAGTGGAGAAGTGCAAGTTCCTGGACGAGTCCAAGTGTGCGCATCCCCCTCAACTGGTGGTGGGAAGAACGCGCATCCCCCTCAACATCCCTCTGTTGCTCTTTCTTCTGTTCCTCCTGCCTCCTCTCCTTCCGCTCACCACCACCAGGTGAAGATAGAGAAGTGCAAGTTCCTGGACGAGTCCAAGTGTGCCGGCAGCTGCATTCACACATGCAAGATGCCCACTCAGGTATGTGCATTCAAGTACGCATGTATGCACGGACATGCACATGCACACTGGGTGAGACGAAATGTGCTGGCAGCTGCATCTGCATTCACACATGCAAGATGCCCACTCAGCTATGTGAATGCAGGTATCTGCATGCACGCACGTGTGCACGTGCTGTGGTAGGGGAGGGATGTGTCCGTATACCCGTGCATGCACCTACGCCCATGCTGTCACTCCGGTTGCTCTTGTTGTCCCTTTTCGTCTCATCCAGTAGTTACTCACTGGGTTCCGTTCATCAGCTCGGGGGCATGCCACTGCTGATGGATGGAGCCCAGTGAGTAACTACTTTGCCCCCTCCTCCCCCTTACACCTTTATCCCCCGTTTCCCGTCCTCTCTCCTTCTCCCCCCACTTCCCCCCACTTGCCTCCACTTGCCCCAATTCGCCCCCAACTTCCCCCCATCACAGGCGTTAATGTTTCAGGACATGGGCGTGCCACTGCTCATGGAGCACAACATATGCCTGTTCATGCGCCTTCTTCTCCCCCTGTCCTTCTCACACCTATGGCCCCCAACTTCCCCCCAACTTCCCCCCAACACAGGCGTTTATGTTTCAGGACATGGGCGTGCCGCTGCTCATGGAGCCCAACTTCGAGGACTTCAGCTGCGAGGTGCGTGTAGTGACTGGGATGGGAGGAACTGGTTACCAGGTTACAGGATAATGGTTGTGTGTTTGCTCAAGCTGGTTCAGCGGACATGGGTGTGGCGCTGCTTATGAAGCCCAACTTTGAGGGCTTCAGCTGCCAGGTGAGTGACTCTGGTTACCAGGTTATCAGGTGCTGCTGCTTATGCTGGTTCAGCGGACATGGGCGTGCCGCTGTTATGGAGCCCAGCTTCGAGGACTTCAGCTGCCAGGTGCGTGTAGTGACTGGGATGGGAGGAACTGGTTACCAGGTTACAGGATAATGGCTGTGTGTTTGCTCAAGCCGGTTCAGCTGACATGGGCGTGCCACTGCTTATGAAGCCCAACTTTGAGGGCTTCAGCTGCCAGGTGAGTGACTGCGGTAATCGGGTGGGGTGGGAGGGAGGAACTGGTTACGGGGTTATCGGTTACTGGGTGAACGCTTTAGCTGGCTAGGCTGACATGGGCATGCCGCTGCTGATGGAGCCAATTTTTTAGGACTTCAGCTGCCAGGTGACTGTGGTGACTGGGATGCTGGGTGGGTGGGAGGAGCAGGTTACCAGGTTACAGGTTGTTGGGTGAGTGCTTTGGTTGGCTAAGCAGGCTGTTTGTGCCACTGCTCGTGGTCTCCTTGTGAGCAAATATTTGCGAAATCTAAACAAATCTCCCCTACCTCCCCCTTCCCGTTCCCTCTCCTCCTTGCTCACCAGTTCAAGTCAGGCGTGCATGTCCCTCCTTGGGTCAACGACCCTGCACTGCTCACTCGCTCTCTCCCTTGAAACATCACCCTTTGGTTAACTCATCGAGACTCCCTCCTTTACTGTCCTCCTTCCTGCTTCCCTCTCTCTCCCACCAGTTCAAATTTGGCGTGCGTGCCCCCCCTCGAGACACCGATCCTGTGCTGCTCACTCCCTGCCTTGCCACCTGCCCCATTCGCTTCCCATCTCGCTCCTCCTCCTCTCTCTCTCCTTCTCCCTCCACCTCCTCTCCACTCGTGGACCCTCAGGCTCCACCATGCACCTAGGGATGTTGCTAACTCACAAACCAGTTGATTCAAGCAGAAGTAACTCATGAGTTGACTGAAAAAATACAGTATGCCCCTAGGCATGTTTTTTGTTTGCCGGCCATTTCATTATGGAGGTTACAGTTTCTCCTCATCACTTAGTCTACTCAAGCAGAAGCAACTGTTCTTGCCTCTTTTTTAAACTCCACAAGAGAGCCGCATGCCTGCCAGGTTGCAAGAACCCTGCCCAATCAGTTCCAGGTTTTGTTGGATCTGGTGCAGATTTATTTGGAATTGTAGTGCCCCATTGTTAACAGTTTCTACACTTGTTTTACAAGCCATATGCACCGCCAGCTCCTCCTGCATTTAGTTATCGCTTTATACTGAGTGTGCTGCTGTATCGGAGATTCGTGGAACTTCTGTGTTGGAGATTCGCGAGTCGGCTGTGAGGCCTTTGGTAAAGCGTCCGCGAACGTGGAGGCTCAGGGATTCACGAACGCCACGTCAGAATCTCCCCTGATACCCAATCGAGCTAGACGAGCGTTGACGCTATCCACGTAGGTCGGGACTGCGTGTCACCTTGAGAGCTCCGTCCCTCGCTTGGTGTGTTTCCAGTTGTCCTTCGTGCGGTTGGTGTTGTGCAGATTCGAAAACCATCTCGCTGGCCGTCCGATCAATCACATACCTTGGAAGCTCCACATTTCTCCCGGCATTTCCATTACTAAGTTCAGTTACTCTAGGTCTTAGCTAAGACTTGCTTTCTTCCCTTTTTTTCTCCCCAGAGGTTGCTAAGTTCGCGTTAAACGGCCACAGGTGTTTCATCCGTAGCCCACCCAATTCCAGCCATTTCATATCTGCTTGCATCTCTCACCTCGAATAAAGGCCAAACACCAAGGTGGTGCAGGAAGATTTCACCTGACACATTACTTTTCTAGCAGCCTTAATTCGTGGCCTTAGCTCGTCTCTCTTGTGTCTCGGCCCGAATATCTTGGCAGATTTGAGTTTTCGCCATGGCCGTCTCAATGTCTGCCTCCTCGTTCTGCCAGCTGAAATCCGTGTCGCTGGGAAGCGAGCTGCGAAGCTCCGCGAAGAATGTTACACTCCGAAGCCTCGCTTCGCGAGACTTGGTGAATCAGGCCATCTCTCTTTCCTACGAATCCCGCAGCTTTAACGCAACGGCAGTTCCCCGCACAAATGTCGTTTCCATTTCCGCCTCCGCCATTCCTCCAGTGACCGCCGCTTCCGCTGCAGCAGTGACCGCGTTCCAAGGGACGCCTGTGCGTACAACGAGTGTGCTTGTAGTGGGGGCGACGGGGACCCTGGGCCGTCAGATCGTTCGCAAGCTTCTGGACGACGGTTTCGATGTGCGCTGCCTCGTTCGCCCTCGACCACAGCCTGCTGATTTCCTTCGCGACTGGGGTGCTACTGTCGTCAATGTGAGTTAGGCTTTCGCCTTATATGAGGCGCCTCAAAAATGGAACCACAGCATGCCAAATTCCTTTGCGACTGGGGGTGCTACTGTAATCGAGTTCTGTTTTCCAGTAAGAGCCGTTTGTCAATGCGAGAGTTTGTACGGCCGTTACGTGTGAGAACTAGCATCACTAATGTGAATCTCTCGTTGATGTAAGCTCTACTGCGTCAATGTGAGGTCTAATGCCGTGAATGTGAGCTCTTCTGTCTTCAATGGGAGTTCTAATGTCGTGAATATGAGTTATGATGCCGCCCTAATGATCTCCATAATCGGGAAATGTGATATATTTTTTTTCCTTGCACATTTCTCAACACAACAGGGTGAACTCACCAGCCAAGAAACTCTCCCAGCAGCGCTGGTCGGAGTGCACACCGCCATTTAAAAGCGCGTGGGAGCGTTCCAAGGAGCCCATTCGCGCGGTATATTCAATCTCGTGCTCCCCTTTCCCTGTCTTTTTCCTCCCCCTCCTCTCAACAGGGCGACCTCACCCGGCCAGAGACCCTCCCGGCGGCTCTCGTCGGCGTGCACACCGTCATCGACTGCGCGACCGGCCGTCCCGAGGAGCCCATCCGAACCGTCGACTGGGACGGCAAGGTGGCGCTGATTCAGTCGGCGCAGGCGATGGGCGTGCAGCGGTACCTCTTCTTCTCCATCCACGAGTCGGAGCAGCATCCCGAGGTGCCGCTGATGGAGATCAAGAAGTGCACGGAGAAGCTGCTGGAGCAGAGCACTCTCAACTACACCACCATCCGCCTCTGCGGCTTCATGCAGGTACGCAACGAAACGCGGCTGTTGAAGCAAGCAGGTAGTGCTGTTTGCGTGGGTTGGTGCGCGGGTGCGCGAGGTGCCGCTTGTGGCGATCAAGAAGTGCACGGAGAAGTTGCTCGAACAGAGCACGTTATATTACAACACCATCCGCTTCTGCGGCTCCATGCAGGTAGGCAATCCAGGTTTCATCCCCGGTTGCATGGCTGTGTAACCCGAGGAGTTAACGCGTTTTTTGGTGAAAGAGATCCTGTAACGAACGCAGTCATGCAGGCACGGGACTGAATGTCAACTTGGAAGAGCTGTTCTTGGGGTTTCATCTTGCTGTGCATGCTGAATTGTAGGTGAAAAGCTGTTGCTTACGCCTCTCTCTCTTGAGGCGCCTCGAAAGCTGTTCATGGGGTTTCATCTTAATGTTCATGCCGAATTGTTGGTGAAAAGCTGTTACCTACGCAATGTAATGTAGCGAAACATTCCCTCCGTGTATCCCCATTCGAGCAGACCCTGATTGGATAATAGACCGTACCGTTTTCTCAAGGGTGAGTCAGTGTGAGGCATGGACGCCATATGCTTATTTCATTTTCTCGCAATGTTCTGCCAATCCGTTCTGCTTTTTTCCGTTTCTTTCCATCCATTCTACAGGCCCTGATTGGCCAATATGCCGTTCCAATCCTGGAGGAGCAATCCGTGTGGGGAACGGATGCTACGACTCCCATCGCGTACAGTGACTCTTCAACATCATACACCCCCTCCTTCCCCTGCTCAGTGCATTAATATCTGTGAAGGCGCTGATTGGGCAATGCGCTGTTCCAATTCTCGAGGAGCAATGTGTGTGGAGAACAGACCCCACGACTCGGATCGCATACATTGACTTCGATTAATGAACCACCCCTTCCCACCCCCCTGTTCCCTCTTCTCTTCATTGCAGGCGCTGATTGGGCAATACGCTGTGCCAATTCTCGAGGAGCAATCCGTGTGGGGAACGGACGCCACGACTCGCATTGCCTACATTGACTCGCAGGATGTGGCTCGCATGACCATGGCTGCCCTGAGGAACGAGAAGACCTACCGCAAGACCATCACCCTTGCTGGTCCCAGGGCATGGACCACCCAAGAGGTGAGATGGAGGAAGAGACGAGAGGAAATCTAGTGAACGGAGATATAGCAGAGAGATCAAAACAGAGAGAGCAGTGAGGGCATTGATTCTCAGGACGTGGCTCGCATGACCATGGCTGCCTTTCGGAATGAGAAGACCTACCGCAAGACCATCACCCTCGCTGGACCCAGGGTGTGGACCACGCAGGAGGTGAGATAGAGGGGAAGACGAGGGGAAACCCAGACAATGGAGAGAGAGAGAGCAGAGAGATCCGACCAGAGGGCAGTGAGGGGCATTGACCCGTAGGACGGTGTGAGTACATGAGTAAGGCTGAGTAGACTTAGTTTTATAGATCGTTCTTAATCTCTTAGAAGGCTTGCAGCGGTTCGAAACCAACCGAATTTTAATTTTGACGGTGGGAGTCCATGAGTAAGGCTGAGTGCAGACACTGCCCGCTGTGGGTAAGGCCTCCTGTGGAATCCCACAGCCCTGTGCGTGACCACTGCACGATTCTAGCGTCTCTCCTGCCCTTGCGGAAGCTGAATCCATCATTCCATGCGCCCATTCCCTGGCAGGTGATAGCGCTGTGTGAGCGCCTGGCAGGGCAGGACGCCAAGGTGACGACGGTGCCTGTGGGCGTGCTGAATCTGACGCACCTCCCCTCCTATCTCCTTCTCTCCCCTTGGTTGTCTTTCCCTGGCAGGTGATAGCGCTGTGTGAGCGCCTGGCAGGGCAGGACGCCAAGGTGACGACGGTGCCTGTGGGCGTGCTGAATCTGACGCACCTCCCCTCCTATCTCCTTCTCTCCCCTTGGTTGTCTTTCCCTGGCAGGTGATAGCGCTGTGTGAGCGCCTGGCAGGGCAGGACGCCAAGGTGACGACGGTGCCTGTGGGCGTGCTGAATCTGACGCACCTCCCCTCCTATCTCCTTCTCTCCCCTTGGTTGTCTTTCCCTGGCAGGTGATAGCGCTGTGTGAGCGCCTGGCAGGGCAGGACGCCAAGGTGACGACGGTGCCTGTGGGCGTGCTGAATCTGACGCACCTCCCCTCCTATCTCCTTCTCTCCCCTTGGTTGTCTTTCCCTGGCAGGTGATAGCGCTGTGTGAGCGCCTGGCAGGGCAGGACGCCAAGGTGACGACGGTGCCTGTGGGCGTGCTGAATCTGACGCACCTCCCCTCCTATCTCCTTCTCTCCCCTTGGTTGTCTTTCCCTGGCAGGTGATAGCGCTGTGTGAGCGCCTGGCAGGGCAGGACGCCAAGGTGACGACGGTGCCTGTGGGCGTGCTGAATCTGACGCACCTCCCCTCCTATCTCCTTCTCTCCCCTTGGTTGTCTTTCCCTGGCAGGTGATAGCGCTGTGTGAGCGCCTGGCAGGGCAGGACGCCAAGGTGACGACGGTGCCTGTGGGCGTGCTGAATCTGACGCACCTCCCCTCCTATCTCCTTCTCTCCCCTTGGTTGTCTTTCCCTGGCAGGTGATAGCGCTGTGTGAGCGCCTGGCAGGGCAGGACGCCAAGGTGACGACGGTGCCTGTGGGCGTGCTGAATCTGACGCACCTCCCCTCCTATCTCCTTCTCTCCCCTTGGTTGTCTTTCCCTGGCAGGTGATAGCGCTGTGTGAGCGCCTGGCAGGGCAGGACGCCAAGGTGACGACGGTGCCTGTGGGCGTGCTGAATCTGACGCACCTCCCCTCC